TTGTTCTGATCCTGGCTCTGATCGTTGCTCTGATCGTTGCTCTGATCGTTGTTCTGATCGTTGTTCTGGTCCTGGCTCTGATCGTTATTCTGGTCATCGTTCTGGTCATCGTTCTGATCATCGTTCTGGTCATCGTTCTGATCATCGTTCTGGTCATCGTTCTGGTCATCGTTCTGGTCATCGTTCTGGTCATCGTTCTGGTCATCGCCCGTGCCACCACCATCATCCTGGCGAGCGCAGATGATACTTCTCTCGTCATCCGCCGTAGAAGTCGCCGATGTGGACAGTCCATCACAGTCTCTGACTGCGAGATGCTGACTATCCCATGACTCCCGCGGCCGGATGACGCCGGCACATGCCAGCTGCGCCGCGAGGGCGATGGTCAAGACGCGCATTATAGAAACTCCGCGCGCGTAGTCAAAAGAAGCGGTAGAACAACTAGACAAATGGAAGTAAAGAGACTAAAGTAATGCTGATATTCCAAACCGAATCAACCGCGGGTAGTGGTGCCCTTTATATGTCCCTCGCTCTTCCCCACGACCCCACGATCGGCCTCCCATCAGATGACCAACTACAACGACTGTCCCGATATACAGTCCAGTAGATTCAGTGTTCACCGCTACGTAGAGAAACTGTCCTAACCGGCCCGGCTCATGAGGTAAGCGAGAGGCGGACAAAGAACGATCCCCCACCGCAGGATCACCGACAAGCGTAGTCAATGGGGGCCGAAACTGGTCACGAACCTGAGACAACCCTAACTGTCGACCTTGCCATGTGATTCATTCCCCTCTCCACTCGCGAAGCTTTCATTACTCCCATACCATCCATACACGACCGCACTACCCTTTTTAGGCACGTTCCTGGAACCAGAGGATTGGAAAGCGTCTTAATTGAGGCAGTGAGGGATGAATCGTGGGGGCGACGGCCCCCATCCGACGTGGATCCACCCACGGGAGCGCCTCCCCATAGGTTGATAGCGAGATACGATACCGGATTGATAGCAGAGACACATAGAGCTATTGACTACATATGGTAAACGGCCCATTGCCGTGCAGAAGTGCCACGCTAGATCGTCCAACCCCGCTACACCGGGAACAGCTAGTCAATACCGTTTAAGGATCAGGCTATTGCCATTTGCGAGAGGCCATACCGCTCACGGCCCAACACTGCTCCTGCAGCAGGGAGGCCCCCAAACTGCACCGGGCCGGTGATGGCCTCGTATTCTCTTGATCTACTGATTGTGAAGGGGTACTCCTCTTGTGCCGGCTTTACAGTTATCCTGCAGGAATTAAGTCTACGTGTGTAGGTACGTAGTATCGCCACACACGGATCCCAAGTTGTCTTATATAATCACACGAAACAATCGCTAGGTACATGAGGGTAGCGGGGGAATGTTCCGAAGATGAGATAGACCCAGTCTCGAACCGTCCAAACCGGACCCATCGTCTCCACCGACCAACCCTCTGGAAATGACATCCGAACCAGTCGATGTGGATCTCGACAATGCATGGCCCAGCCATGGACATTGCCCAATACTAGTGCGTCACCCTCAGAACAGGCGATATGAAACCCCTGCACTAGCGGCATCGTGGACATTGGTCGTCTGCCTATCGGCCCTTCTCGGACGTTTTACCGCTCCTTCTATTGGTCACGACGCATGATGGCGCTGTGCCCCGTTCATGGTGTGCTGTGGGATGCTGGGATTTTGATAGGATAGATATCGCCTGCAGGGGGCTGTTGTTGCCCCGGTGGAGCGGATGTGGAGATGCTGGATAGTGCCATATCATCTCGTTCTGTCTTTTTGCTCTCCTCGGCGTCACGACCCGTGATCATTGGACTGGTACAAGCAGACCCCGAGGATGAATAGATCATATGGCTCTATTGCTATGAGCTATTGCGCTACCGTGTTGTAATGGTCTCGTTGAAGCGAAAGACAGCAGTAGTACGAATATGGTCCACAGGGCTTTCTTATTTGCTAAGGGGATACTTTCATAGTAATAGAAACCTCAATATAAGAAAATAGGCAACATGACTGTCACTATAGAGAATAAATGACACCTACCTAGTGCCCTGACGAGACAACACAGATTCCACACGGCTGTATCACCTGCTATGAAAAAACTCCAGCCAGTTCGTACTTTGATCCTGAGCCCTTCATGTTCGGACCAGGACTATAGAAGTAGTGACTGTTAGACGTACTGCTAGTCCGACAGGCGAGTCTTGAGTGGCTCCCGGCTGACTTCCATGTAATTCTGGCTGCAGGTGGACTGCACCCGGGGATGAAACACACTCCAAAGCCGACTACGATGCGCCCATTCTGTGCCCATGTACCCACTTATGGCACACCTAGAATCGCCCCATCATTGCTCATATTCAATTCAACACGACGTTGTCTGGTTGATCCTAAGCCGCTCATCTCTGCTCAAATGACTCCCGCGCGTTTTGCGCTACCGCGGCATGAATTTACACTCCCAGAGATCAGTTTATTTTTGGTATGAAAAACATACATCGGACCAGTGATTATGTGTAGCTATTCAGGGAGGACAATAATCCACGAAATTCCTTAGTGTGGTCACCGCGGGGCACGATAGTTATTCCCTCAGCGCCACCTCGAACTCGGCGTCATACGTTCCAGATTGCCCAGCACGAGTCCGGACAGCTGACATACCAGGGAATGGGGAACGGGGCATACCAACAACCGCACTAAAATTCTGTCCCGCAATTTGGGAGGGCTCGACCTGACGAGGGTGTCTAGCAGGGCATTCCGGTGGCGTCGAAGTGTAACCAGCAATATCTCTCGGGAGGTTGCCCCGGGGGTGGCGGGTTGTCGAGTACACCGTTGACGTGATCCAGACTTACCAACTGGCTACAAAAAATATGGTAATGGTTGGCGCCCCATGAGTAAACGCATACTTAATGTGATAATTTGTGAATATAGGCTGCTCAGATACAGGATCCTGAATCAGGATGCTGGCATAGTAGTCGAGATCCAAACTGAACCAAAACTCTGCAACCTACAATGTCCGAACATCTATTCCGCCGAGTACTTGTGCAGGGGGGGATCTGTTGTGATAATCCATGGCCCTAGAATAGAGCCCACGTATTGTAGGCTGACAGCTCTAGATGCGCAACCTGGATGACAAAAAAGAGATACCATGTCCAAGGACACCGCCAGGAACCGTCCATCCAGACGCTCAGAACAGCCCCAGATTCCCTCCACGCAGTTCAATGTTGTCTGAGATCTGGAGTATGCTTTACTGCTTGTCAGTCATGTTGGGTAATAGCAGAGCCAGTGAGATACACAAACATCACCGCGTCGGGCATTACATCAGCCAGCACCACTGCTACCAGCATTTGTTTCCCCCACTGGATCGTTTCAAATGGGCATGGGTCGAGTCCAGCCGGTGGTAGATGGGCAACACGTTCGAACATCGCATCTCAGCGACCAGTGTCCGCGATAGGATTGTTAATCACGAAATCACAGTCGTTTTGATTCTGGCGACGCATAGTATTGTTAAATTCTGATAGCATGCCTGTAATCAAGAGACCGTTCTATGGGTACATATCCACGACGGTGGAAGTAATTACTCCAGGCACAAATAGTCGTATAAGGTTGGCAGCATGCACCATTGGTCGGACGAAGAGGTCTCGTGGTAATTCATTGTGTATCAGTTGACTCCGACGACGGTCGAATAGGCTTCTGAGACTCTCGGGACACGATAAATACCCTGAAATCTCATGGGAGAGTCGGCTGCGTGAGAGCATTCTGCCTGATGTTGGGGTTATCAGTCATATCCAGCCCGACTAAAATGCCCTTCGGCCCTTTGCTGCAGTTGGATTGAAAGCTTAGGGGTGAGATATAAGCAAATAGAAACTAGGCAGTACAATTGCAGTAAAGAGACTTAAGGCGTTCAAGTCATAGCAAAGTGAAGAAGTGAATCTATAGAATGAATGCGGTCAACATGTGACTTGTAGAGCTGTAGAATCTTTCCCACACAACTTGTCTTTTACAACTTCTGGCAAATTCTTGCGACCTTCTTCATAGCTTTGGTGTCATTTAGAGTCATCATGGTTTCCACTGTTTTCGCACATTATTCCATAGAATCCAGTGTTAAGAGCTGCTACGAGGAATCTTGTCTGTGGACTGTACCTGTCTTTGGCTACCTCACGAGTGCGATCGTTCCTGCAATCTGTGCTTGGAGTACATAGTGACTTCCTCATACAGTATCTATAGAATTTTTAATATCTCCTATAGGAAGACGCAACCGTGAATGAGCCATACAGCTGTGATAGTCATATTCTGATATCACGACCCCGCATCCGGGCGCGACGTTCACTTCGCGCTGGAATTCCACACACCCGACTTTCCCGGCGACAACACCCCACGGGGGTCCAGGAGATCCTTCAAGGAAGCATTCAATCGTCCCATAGCCCCGCTGTTAAAATTTTGATGTGATGCCACATCATCCATAAAGCTGACATGAGTCCGATACTCCGTGTACCCCAATTGAGCAGTCATGTCGGTCAGCTTTCTCAACAGTGACGCCATGGTGTCCTGCTCGGAAGCGGTGAATAATACTAGATCGATGGGAATTACATATCGCGCAAACAGGTGGAAGTCAGCCAGGAAGTCGAACCCGGCTGTCATGGTCAGTTCCTTTGCCTCCAGATACCACTCGTACATGTCACGCCCCGATGGAGGCAGCACCGGTGCGAACGCAATATGACCGGCGCCTTTCCCACGAAACTCCAGGCATGACAACGAGTGGAGGGTGGGACGGCCAGTTTGAGGGAGAATCTCCGGTGTTGGCCCAATTATTTCCGCGTCCAAGAACTCTCCTGGTGGGCTCGTGTGTAATTCCCAGTTGATACGGGACCCAGGGATGGCCTCAAAAGCGCGCTGCACGACGTCGCGCTGCACTTTAATAATCTCGGGAGGTCCGTACAGCGAGAACAGGTTGACCCACCATGGCCATTGCTTAACTTTTTGGATCTCTTTCACAACCTCGTTTGGGATGGCGCTGTGTCCAATGTAAGGGGCAATCTTCGCGCGGACGGCACTATCTTCTCCCGCGGCCAAGATTTTTCCGAGAATGTTGGTGATGCCGGGAGAGTTGGACAAAATCCGACGACGAAGAAGGTCCGTCGAGATATCAATCAGAGCAGTGAGGTCTTCCTCTCGGGGAGTGAATACCTCACAGCGGATAAATGCCTCTGGAGCCGGATTGCAGTGTATTCCCAATTTCGTGACCACGCCTGGTAAAGGTTAGTCGACAATAGAGTGCAATTACTTGAAAGCATACCTAAGTTAGACTGGAAGAAGAGACCATCAACACTAGGGCCTAGTCCTCTACAAATGCCCGTTAGCCAACCGCATTCCGAGCGCTATATCCATCCCAGTAGCCTACCCCTTGTACAAAGCAAAGCATTTGTTCCCTTCCATAGCTCCCATGCCTGTCCGGACGAGTTCACCATTCGGAAGAACAACTTCCATCCCACACTGCATCTGCGCGTGCTCCCCTTCAGGGGTATAGCCGAACCCTCGATCCAGGGTATTTCCCAGCACAGAACCCCATGCCAGTGATGGCACAGACGGCCAGAGCTTCAAGCCGCGCTCTTTAACAGCCTCATACAAATCAAAGAAGGTAGCTCCGGGCTCCACGATTGCATATGCAAACTCCTCGTTGATTTCAATAATTCGCTTCATGCGGTGCAAGTCTAACACCACGCTTCCTTTCACGACCGGAGCCGACCCGCCATACCTAACCAACCTGTCAGACCAACATTTGGCGAGAAGGGTTGATATTAGACACTGTACCCTAAATTCTTCCCCCGAGACACCGTCCACAATGGGATTCGAAACCGGTTTGCGTCCCTAAGGATGGCCTGCACTTCATCGACCTTCTGCGGAGGTACCGCACCGCTAGGAGTATGGTCTCGCGCGATGGGGAACGGGTCGGCGTAGCTACACGCACCTTGACGGTCTGGTGATGCACCTTCTATGTAGTCTCTGGAGACATTTTCAGCACCGACGTGGCTGGCAACACTGTTGAAGAAGGCGTCGAGGGTGACCTCGTCTGTATTTGGGGGGAGGATGCGGCCTGTGTACATTTTGCTTTGTTTGCTAGGGGATGCAAAGAAAGAGTACGATTTGGTATACACGGTAAGTATATTTATAATGACCAGGGTATCTCTCTATCCTTATCGTGTAGAAATGCGTTTGGTCGTGCGGGGGGTTATGATTGAGGGTCCGGCGGGGGCCCGGAGGGGGTTGCTATTCATCGATGGTGGAGACATTACTGCACTTTGATGTGGGAGTATTATTGTTTCGAGTATTAGGGCTACACATGAAGTCTACATCGTGTACGAAGTGGAACTCCAATGTAGAACAGTCATAGTCTACCCAGATTCCGAAAATTAACGTTTGTATCCATTGATTTAGTCCATAGGTCAATGTGGCTACATCGGGGTTCTTAGTCCTTCAGTGCTGTATAGTGTCAGCGGACCTGTAGTCCTTTCCCCACGTATTTCGACCGTTCATACTCTATTGTCGCATCGTGAGATAGTTCAAAGGTGACCCACAGAGCGCATGTGTGGGTGGTGGGTATATGGGTTTCGGTAGAGCCCGAACAACCGCTTATTGGCCCTTCGTTCGAGACGCAGGTGCTCCGTGTCAACGTACTTCGTTTTCATGTCGACTTGGCCGTTGCGGATGCGGAAGGCGGAGACGTTGCCGTCGCCCTCGATGGGGATAGCATTCTCAGGCTGCTGTGGGAAGAACGGATCTACCATGATGCGGTAGAAAGTCCCGTCGATCTCCTGAGGAATACTACCGTACACTGGAAGATTGGCAACTTCGCCTTCCAGCCGACTGGGGGCTGTGGCCCATGGGACACTTTGCGCGGCAGACCAACCACCAGAGAGCCCGTGGGTGGTGTATACTGGGAATGGTGGTTTTCCAGCCTCCATACTTGGTTTGAATGTAGAGACAAGATGATAGTAATGGATGCTCAAATGGTGCAGAAATCCACACGGATATATCACGACTGGGGTGTTGTCTCACGGTACCCCCTCCGGGAGAGCGCCCCGCCCCCGCCGGGAGCCCTGAACCGACCACGGGGCCGTTAGACCACCCCAGTCCACTGATGGACCATCCCAAGCTCGGCATCAACGTCATACAACAATAGCGACCCGGCAGGTGGTAGTCGACTTGATGACATCTTTGCCTTCAGCAGTTTGACTAAGCCATTTACCAATTGTGGCGAGATATCCTCGCAAGTGCACGTGCGGTTGAGAATGATCTCGCACACAATATCTATCAGGTTTTCCGTATCACGAAGGGGAATAGACATTCGCTGGGTTCCTCGGAAGTCCCCTTGCAACGTTGGGTCGGCGAGTCCATGCTGGATGAATGCGTCGACACCACCATCCTCGCCTCCATTGAGTACAGCATTTGGTAAGCCATATTCGCTGGGGATTTGCCCCTGGCCACGGGTCAAGACCGAGTATGCAAACAGGACCAAGCCAGCGTGATATGCCATGACGACCTGGAAGCTAGTTAGGCGGCCCAAGTATTTGATTAATCGTAGCATCTGTCCAGCATTCCATATCGCTTCTCGGGCACCAGCTGTCTTTACCCAATTTTCCATGAGTTGGGATATCTCCTTAGATTCCTCGTAACCCGCCCTACCAAAAAGAATTTCGATGTCCTCGATAGACACACTCAGCGTCATGGTCAAATAAGACACAATGAACGAGCCAATGTTAGAGGCGCAGATGTCGTTGCGGAATGCGTGGTCAAAATTTCTGATCGCGGATTTCAGCTCCCTCTCTCTCTCCTGGACACTACTGGGCCCTGTCTCGATACTACCGCGAGCGAATATTTGCGAGGACGATTTGTGGTCAATTATCAGCCCCCCAAGTAGGTGGAACACGAGCTTAACAGTGAGATCCCGGTCTACGAAGCCCTTAGCGATGGTAATCCCAGGAAGTGAGGACAGAAGGTCCGTGACTCGCGGCGTGTACTCATGACTATGCGAGGGATAAACGCGACGCCATTCAACAGCGGATTGCGCCAGCCACAGGGACTTCGGCTGTGGAGACGGCCACCGGTATGCTGAAAACGAAGTAGAGGTTTTAATACCAAGGGTCATGGAGAGTTGGTTATCGTAGACACAAAATCGGGTGGCCAGCCTAGGAATGTCAGCTACTACTAATTACTTTCGCTGGTTATCCATTGAAACCATTTTCTGTCCAGGTCGGCGGGGCTGTCCCCCCAGTCGGGTACTTTTGTCGCATCCGACCGCGTTTCCCTGGCTTGTCGCAGTAGAAACTGTAGCTTCTGTCAACATACATGGATGATTGGTCGGATTATAAGCATCTAACCCTTGGTATGATATTGGCCAATCGCCCAGCGCGACAGAAAGGCTCGTCTTCGTCGTGCCAAAGCTCCAGTTCCAGGTGTAGAAGGAATGCCTGGTAGAGCTGCAGTTCGCAGGGAAATTTGCGATCGTTCTCAAGCTGGAGGGACTTAGTATATTATTTGTACATTCCGCACCGGGTCTTTACCTTCGCAAGCATCGAGGATCGTATCAAACCGTACACGTCGCATCCAACTTCGCGTAAAGCCGAGGACGAGGCAGTCGACGCACTACTGGCCACAACCATGGCCGTCAGCTCAACGCTACTCTCCATAGGTTGGAACGTGACTGAATGGATCCACGAGTCAAGTTTCCTATCATGCCTGGCAAAGAATCGTTCCGTCAATGCATTCAATGATTCAACAGAGGGAAAACCTGTGCGGAGTTGGTCCACACGCTGTAATTGTTGACTTCGCGCAAAACATGCTATAGTAAAAAGCAACCGATCGCGACTTTGATTATCAAACAACCGACTAGATATTCCGTTCATTATGGGAGGAAGTAGAGCGCCACGGTTTCCATAGTCTGTCTGATATTCTGGGCTAGTCGGAGTTTGACCTGGTGCGCTGCCCCACAGTGGTTCTCCGGCCCCTTGAGCGCTATTGTTTATGTGTCCTCCGCCAACCATAGTATGCCAATTGCTGCCTGGTTGAAAAGGCTCGTATAGCATGTCTTTGAATGGGTCTACAGGGTAGCTTTCCATGCGTGGTGTATCTGCGGTGCCGATTATGTACTGGCCGACATCCGCTGGGGACGTCATCGCCAGGATGGCGCTCGTATTTCCCCGGCTCTCTATCGTTGCAGTACTGCCTGTCTGGGCATGGTCTGCTTCCGAAGGGGATCCACGATAGTGGGTATTGTTAGACGCCATGGCAGTACCTGTGGATGGACAAGACATTCCCTGCTTCATACATCTGCGACACGGTCTTTCATCACAGCATTTTGCCTTGGCAACTGCACAGGGACTACACGCCCTGGCCACACGCCGAGTAGACAGCCTGTGCCATTGAGGGTCGGCAGTTGGTCTCGGATCCTGTGCGCCATGTAATGCCGAACGGTGACGCAAAAGGAGATCCCTGTGGTGGATGATCAGTACGCCGAACGTTTAACTCCAGCACCATGCAACCCACGCCCTAGTGAACGGCCTTCCACAAATGTCACAGTCGAACGACCGTTGGTCTGTATGCGATCGCTTATGCCGAGTGAGGTGGTCTCGCCGGGAATAGGTACGGTGGCATTGGTCGCATTGATGCCGAGCATTACTCCGGCGGGACCCTCGACTTGAAAGGCGCATGTCTTGAAGGATGTCTCTCGACATAACTGCATCGGCTCGCAGAGATGTTTGTAATTGCTCAGGGCGTGACGGGGAAAGGCCACCAAGGTGATCGGCAACCCCACAATTCTATACACCTCGGGAAAGCTGGCCAATTATGGTCATACACAAGGTCCACTAGATGACTCAGCGGAACGAGGATGCCGACTAGCTGCCCAGGTATAATCGGTCATGGTCATGCTCGACAAACTCGATCACCAAGTCTAATCTATGATCGTTCCTTCTCCAACAACTCTGCATAACGGTTCAGTGACCGCCCAATTAGATTGACTAACTCCCATATGTAGTCCGCCGTAAACAGGCGCGCCCACAGCCGAGTCACCATCGCGCTCAGTCGTGTATTGTTGGCGAGCAACCAGTCACGCGACACCCCATGCTCGGCCTCCATGACCATATCAATGACGAACTCCAGTACGCTGCCTTCTTGCTCGGTCAGCGGGATCCGCGGGTCTGGCATAGTGGCTACCGTTTCGAGCCACTTGGCGAGCAGGACGGCACACTCAAGTGAGCACAGGGCATATTGGTTGGACCAGGACACGACTTGTGTCTGCGCGACAAAGTTGATCCCCAGTTTGATGGGGGTACTGAGGGCGTGGGCGCAGTGAAGGGCTGCTCGGGTGAGACGGTCGCTGCGGTGGACCGAAAGGTTCTCTTTCAGGGATTGCGCAATCTGATTCGGGTCCCAGGTCTGGAGACGTCGGGCGGAGCTGAAATCGGCGTTGAGACGAATATAGGCGAGGCGGAGGAGAGCGGTCGACGTGAAGGACAGTGGTCCGTATGGATTGAACGGATCAGTAGAGGCCTCCTGGTTGCGCTCCCAGCACTGGCACCACCGCTCCAGAGCCTGCTCCAGTGGTACGATCTCGGCCGGGGAGAGTGCACTGTTCTTGTAGGGGGTCATCCGGCATGTTTTTTGTATGAGCCAGATATTTTGAAGGATAGCATGTATCAGGACATATCCCCCTAGCGAAGAAAAGCTCTCGAGGCGCCCTTGCACGCCCGGGGGTTGTGTAAAGAGCGATGACAGCGCGTCTTGCAGCATCGGTTCCTGCGCACATTGTCTACGCTCCTTGGCCCATTCGCTTGCCGTCGGGGCTTCCCATTCTCGTTCAGTGCAGGGTAGGTCGAGCGTGATCTCCTCGGTGAGAATCATAGGAGGAAGGTCGAAGACAATGGTGAACAGGTTAAAGAAGCAGTGAACGATGAGTTTGGTGCGCTTTACGCCCTCACTCCTGACCCAGCTTTCCCATGACCCATCCTGGACGGGCAGTTCGTTCAGTCCGCGTTGACGCATCAGTGTCTCCATGTAACTGCGAATGTACAGGGCTTCATGGTGGGGTGGGTCCTGTTGGAACCACAGTGACACCGATATTATAAGCATCAATGCCTGTATCGTTTCCAGGAGATCCTGGTCTACATGAGTAGGGCTTGTCTTCCTATCGTTACACCCGGTGAGAGTGGCGGACTGCCATTTGCGGCGTATATGCTCTAGTATAACCGGTTTGGCTATCTGGTATAGGCTCAGACTGGTCTCCGGCTCACGGATGTACCGTGCGCCGAGGGCAGCCATAGACAGAAATAATTGCAGTGACAGCGACTCCACGCTTAGCGTTGGGATGTGCATGAAAGGGTAATGGTCCTGGAAGCCCATGAGATAACCAGTCAAACAGCGGGACAGAGCGTGCCGTGATGGTAGACGCGGCTCAGATAGCACATTCGAGTAATCGGCCAAATATCCGACAATGCGGTCCCGACACTGCGTCGTGACCGAGATAGAGCGCCTCGGCTGGCGGGCCTTGTACGGCCCGTGTGATTCTTCTGCTTGGGGCGACAGCAGGTGACATCCATGCTGTGGTAAAATGGATCTTGCGGGGGTGGACGCACTCTCCTCCCCGGGCTGAGTCTCGGTCGGTTGATCATAAGTCGGGCCCGAATCGAAAGGCAGTGGAAGAAACACCGGCAACGGCTGGTAGGTGGGCGAGTACGGGTGGCTCGGAAGAGGAATGCTATCGAAAAATGAAGTGAAGTCATCTCCGTCGCCATACACCATGGTGGAGCTGTAATCGCCTGTGGACTCCGCCATGCTGGATTCTGTGGGTCCCAATTCGGACAACGCGTCCGCCACTTGTGCCTGGGACGGGACAGCCTGATCTTGTAGAGGTGCCATGGGGACAGGGTTTTCCGTGACAGCCAATGCTGGTATGTTCAAGCCATGCGCCACACCATTGGGCGAGGTTGGCGAAGATGATATCCTTGCCGGGAGGCTGTGAGCCAGGCGCTCATGACGGCTCAAGAGATCCCTAACTTCTTTTAGCAAATTGGTATTCTCTGAACACAAGAGGGAGAATTACACACTTTCGAGTAAATGACTTCGAACATCTACCACAGACAAATGGTTTCTCCTTGGTGTCTACCTAGGTTAGTAATGTAGTCCCGTAACACCCGTTGTTTACATCCCCTTAACACATACGTGACCGATCATGGCGCTGCAGGTGCTCCAGGCGAGCAAAGGCGCGCAGACATCTTTGGCACTGGTAAGGCCGTGAGCTGGTCACATTGACCATGACGATGTCTTCGGGTGTATGATCAAGACAGAAAAATGAGACATGGGGGGGATAGTCGTTGTTTCTCTCGTTTCATTGATTGTTTCAGAGTTGGAGATCCAGATCGGGCCGATCCCGGCAACTTAAATTCGCAGGATGACAAATCACCCCATGTCTCGGCAGTTGCGCTGGTCACACTTACCGCCGAGCCCTGAAAATGCATAAATCCTGACCCGCTCCTCTACTGATCGCCCTGAAGCAACAAACTTTTGGATTAACAATCTAGGTAGACCATCTGGATTACATGAAAATCAAAAACAGAACAGAGCCAGAAAAGGAACAACAGAGAGGAAGGAACATAAATCAGGCACTCCGTTATACCGGGCTGTCCCTTTTCCTCCGATAACCCGCCGAGTCGAATGTCTTATCACTTCCACCAACTTCCTTTTCGATGTGACTACGCCCATTATGCCACGATGGTATATGTTGGCTCAGGGCAGACCTTGGTCCAGTAGCAGGTTTTGCCCGGGGGATCCTCCGGCTCATCTGGTTCATCCCCGCCAGGCTCAGTCGGTCTAGGGATCCAAGTAGTCCTTGTCTCGGTCACTGTTTCTGTGATCGTGGTCGGGGGCGGAAGTGTAATGGTGGGAATCGGAGCGCTAGTGGGAATCTTGGTCAGACCCATGCTAGAGCTAGGCGTCCTGCTTGGAGTCGGGGTGCTGCTTGGCATGGGAGTACTGCTCGGAGTCAGAACACTACTTGGTGTCGGAGTGCTGCCTGGGATTCTCGTTGGATCCACGCTGGTGCTGGGAGTCCTACTAGGACTCGGATCGCTCGTTAAAACTCTAGTCGGGTTCACGCCAGTACTTAATGTCTTGCTCGGGGTCAGGGCGCTCGTGGGAACTCTCGTTTGATCCACACCAGTGCTAGGAGTAGCGGTGCTGGTCGGAGCTCTCGTCGGATCCCCTCCAGTGTTGGGAGTTGTAGCACTTGTTGGAACTCTTGTCAGATTCACGCCGGTACTCGATGTCTTGCTTGGGATCGGAGTGCTTGTTGGAATCCTGGTCGGGTCCACGCCAGTGCTAGGAGTCGGGGTGCTGGTTGGAATCCTGGTTGGATCCACGCCGGTGCTGGGAGTTGGAGCGCTCGTTGGAAAATCGGTCGGAGAAATGCCCGTGCTGGATGTCGGGGCGCTCGTTGGAACTCTGGTTGGATCCACGCCAGTGCTCTGTGTCTTGCTCGCGGACCCGGTGGTTGGCTCCGTGGTGCTTATAGGAGTAGACGTAACAGTACTAGTCGGGGCAACGGGGGGCACGCGCGTAGAAGAACCGGTTTCTGGCGGGGACCTGGTAGGGATCTCAGTGGGAATTGCAGAGCTTGTAGATAATGTACTAGAAATAATAAGTGTTGATGGAGTGCTTATGCCAGGATGACTAGTAGGGAATTTCGTTGGAATCATAGGGTTTGTAGGAGATACGGTTTCAGGGGGGCTCTGGGACGGGACTGTCGTCGGCGTAACACTCATGCTGGGACGACTAGTGGGGTCCAGGGTGGGAGTAGCAGACATAGTTGGAGATACAGTTCCAGGCGAACTCGGAGAGGGGACTGTCGTCGGCGTGACGCTCATACTAGGGCGGCTAGTGGGGTCCAGAGTCGGGCTAGTAGAGGTAGTTGGAAACACTGTTCCAGAAGGAGAGCCAGAAGGCACACTTATCGTCACCGTGTTCGTACCAGGTGTACTCCCACTGCTAGTAGGAAACTTAGTTGGAATTACCGGGCTTGTAGGGAACGCAGTTGCAGGGGAGCTCCGAGAAGGGATCGTTGTTAGCGTCCTGCCAGGGCGACTGGTGGGATCCTCAGTACCCGTAGTAGGTGTAGGAGCCACGGTTCCAGGGGTACTCTGAGTCGGAGTAGCAGATGTAGGTGGGGATACAGTTTCGGTAGGCGTGCTGCTAGAAGGCACTGGTATCTGTACGGTACTCGTACTAGGGCTGCTCGGGCGACTGGTGGGGTCCTCGCTAAGAGCAGTAGATGTAGTTGGAGACACTGTTCCTGACGGCGTGCTGCTATAAGGCCCTGTTGTTGGTACAGTACTCGAACTGGGACGGCTGGTAGGGTCCTGAATAGGAGTCGCAGAAGTGGTTGGCGATACAGCTCCAGGAGAGCTCGGGGTGGGCGTAGCGGACGTAGTCGGAGACAATGTTCCTATAGACGTGCTTCTAGAAGTCGTTGTTGTCGAAACAGTGCTCGTGCCAGGATTACTCACGCTGGGTCGACTGGTGGGATCCTGGATAGGGCTAGCGGACGTAGCTGGACTAGTAGGCGTGCTAGGACTTGTGGACGTGGTTGGAGACACTGTTCCTGTAGGTGGGCTAGAAGACACTGTTGTTGGCATAGTGCTCGTGCCAGGACTACTCAAACTAGAACGACTGGTAGGGTCCTGAGTAGAAGTACCAGTGCTCGTGGGAGACACTGGTCCGGAAGGCGTGCTGGAAGGCGCTGTTATCGGCACAGTGCTCGTGCTGAAAGTGCTGGAACTACCAAGACTGGATTGATTGGTGGGATTCTGGGTTGAACTAGTAGGCATTGTTGGAGACACTGTCCTTGAAGGTGTGCTAGAAGGCACTGTAGTTGGTACAGTGCTCGTATCAGGACTACTCACGCTAGGACGAATTGTAGGTGAGTCCGTAGGTATAACAGATGCTGTCGGAGTTCCTGCACCCGAGGGAGCGCTGGTAGGGATTGACGTTGTAGTAGTACTCGTGATGGGGCTGCTGGTAGGATCCAGGGGTGGTATAACTGAACTACTAGAAGACGTCGTCCTAGACGGTGTCTCTGTAGGAGTCATTGTGGTCGAAGGGTTGCTGGTAGGGATTGGTGTTAAGATAGTGCTTGTGCTAGAGCTACTAGTGGGGTTCTGGGTTGGAATATTTGGACTACCAGGAGACGTGTTAGACGTTATCTTTGTAGAAGACGACGTCGTGGGCAAAGACTCAGTTGGACGACTAGTCGGATTATGTGTAGGTATATCTGAACTCGAGCGCGACTCCGTCCCTGGAATAGTCCTAGTCGGGACAGACGTTGGGGTAGAGCTCTGGGTTGGAATAGGAGTCTCTGTCGGGATAGAGCTCTCTATCGGGGTAGGACTCTGAGTCGGGATTAGAGTCACTGTCGGAATAGTGCTCTCTGTGGGGTTAGGATGTTTTGTCGGAACAGAAGGCTCGGTCGGAGAACTAGTGGGACTTTTAGTAGGACTGGCCGACGTGGTAGATGACGTAGTTGGCATAGAGTCTTTGGTCGAACTTCCTGTCGGCTCAACAATTGTGGTACCAGGAGTAGATGTCACAGTCGAGTGTTCGGTGGTCTTTGAAGTCGTTCCAGTCGTCCGGGTCGAGCCTCCCGTTGTCATATCAGTTGTAGTGTTACCAGTAGATGTCACAGTCGAACCTCCAGGTGCCTTTGAAGTCCTTTCAGTTGTCCTGGTAATAGTCTCCGTTGGAACAACAATTGTAGTGTCATGGGTGGATGTCACAGTTGAGTCTTTAGTGGTCTTTGAAGTCGTTCCAGTCGATGTCTCTGTTGGCTCCACAGTTGTAGTACTGTCAGTAGATGTCACGGTAGAGCCTCCAGAGGTTGTCGAGGTCGCTCCAGCCATCTTCGTCGATGCCTCTGTTGACCCTGCGGTCGTTTCACTCTCCGTGGACTTCACAGTAGACGTTTCAGAAAACTGGGAAGACAAGGAATTCGGCTTATCTACATCCTCAACAACATGACCCTCGACAGGGGGGTCTCTCCTGATACGGTAATAATCAGCAAGAATCGACCCAACACTAGTAGAGGAAGCTAGTCCAGTGACAGAACCGCTGAGCTCGGTGATAGCTGGTACAGAAGTGACAGGTGCAGAGTCAGTGAAATCGACTGCAAGGAAGCTGTTCGTAATGTCTCCCATAGGGCTCTTGATCTTGAAAGACCATAAGGGAAAGCCAGCTGCTGATCCCGCAACGGCCAGAATCAGCAGGTAGGAACGCTTCATGTTGATTATTCGCAGTGTTCGGTTTCCTCACAACTATCTGATCTTGGAACAGTTCCTTCCAGGTCAATTCGAGTAGGTAGGACTGGTAATTCAGTTGACTACAGTCGATGTCAGAGTAGTGAATCGGGGAAGAGCATGATGGTTAAGATTCAGGGAGAAAATCTTTGCCTGATGATGATAGAATGACATGAAATTTGCGTGTGGTCAGTTATCACTTTGGTTGCTTACGCACGCTGATATCTTTTGCTTCCCTGGTAGCGCGACGTCATCTATACAACTGTGCCGTCCAAATGATGAGGATGATAGTCATTGTGGGAACCTTGGTAGGTGCGGATTAATTCCCTCGATATAGCGCACAAGTATTATCACCATAGTTTCTACTAAGTGCTCGAGGACCAAGGATACATTTTTTTATTAGTTTCGCTATCCGGGATGACATGGTAGCGGCAGGTCCACCTGCTCAGCAAGCCCTAGACCCATGTTCAACTTTCTAGTGACAATCCCAAAGATGCGTCGAACATCCAGCACTAACCATTGACAGTAGCATTGTCTGTCGTCAGGACATCGGGCTCTATGGTCCAGCATCCTCACGGACGCTACTGCAAATCTCGTGGTTCTGAAGTTAGTGAAAAAACTTTCGACCATCTGACTGGACATAAAACTCATATATATACTTTTGTCTCATTTTACCCGCCAGCCCAATGTAACATATATATAGTTTAAAATACTCCGGATAATTCCCATGAAATCCAACGGTTATATATTTACAGCCCACACCAGTTTAACAATCTCATCTCCATGAAAATCCCCCATATCACGAGTCGCAGTGATTGACGCCTAAGGCAGTGAATGGATGGAATGTCCGAAAAGTGGGACCCATGCCTACTTTTTCAACTGCTGAGCTTTTCCGAGATTCTGCCAAGAAAAGGGTTAACTCCAGGCCCCAACTCGTGAAGAGTATTCAGGGTTAGTGGTCAAGCGTTGCCAATGGATAAAGTAAGATTTCACTATTTTCGGAATCTAGGAGGCATATGTTGATTACCGAACTATAGCAGATGTGATGATAGCGAATTCTACATGCGTGCTCTGATTGGGTCCGCACAGCCCCACTTGTTGTTGCCGTAGGGCGCGGACTTCTCCAATTCGGAGACGAGCTATGAAAACATCGACCTTGGTCAGCAACACATGAAAGTGCGCTTTCTATCCGGACGGGTGGGACCTCGCGTCTCCACTCCCCGCCCTTTTGAGCTTGACTACTCCTAGATTCCGTTGGTGAATGACTCAGGGGGTTTGTATTTTGTAGACAGTACGTGCACTGTTCCTCCAACATATATGTAGTGGGCGATTGGAGAAGTACGGAGTGAGTCATGGTACTGCGATGGTAGGCAGATGGAGTCGGGATAATGTCTCCCTCTTAGGGCATACAAACCGGTATACTACTGCGCACTTGGGTTTAAAAAGTAAAAGTCGACATATCGAATATCGCTGGGTTCTCCGACATCTCCGATTTCTCCGACTCCCCACTGAGCGGCACTAGTGCCGAAAAGCTTTGTCAGGAATCAGGATCTAGATAGGCATAAAACCAAACCGCATCCCTTCCTTACTAGCCGCCTGATTGACTTTCCGAGACGGACAGACAAGCGTGAAGATGGGATCGGACGAGACAGGAACCCATACGAGCGACCATGGCTCTACGGAGACCATCCAGGTCCCCATGGCCCAGTGCCCGAACACGACCGAAAAGCAATACAGCAACACCCCGCAGGAAATCGCATACCTCTACCTCGAGATGGAGACACCCCTCCCAACACCCCTCATTACATTGCCGCCGGGCCCGGGCCAACTGGCTGCGCCAGAACCTCCAGACCTCAAAAAATACACTTCGCCCTTCCTGTGGCCCAAATGGCGCAAAACCCTAATGACGTTGATTTCATGCGCCGTGACTGCATTGGCTGGGTATGCGGCGGGTGAGATCAGCCCGGCGTCCCACGAACTGACGGCTGAGTGGGGGATCACGCCCGTTGTGTATAATCTGGGGATAACGATTTTTTGCATTGGATTTGCGTTGGCGCCCATGGTCTTGGCGCCTTTTTCGGAGATCAACGGACGACGGCCCATTTTTATCGCCAGCGGGATTCTCTTTACGGGTGCGTTATCCGATCTGATGAAACTCGTCTGACTAGCTGGATTATGACTCGTGCTGATGGCTATTAGCGTGCATTATCGCTTGCGGCGGAACTCATCACTTTGCGGGTCTGCTCATCGCGCGGTTCTTTCAGGGTGTTGGTGGATGTACGTATCTCTTCCGGTGATTAAAGACGGCCTAACTAATTGTTGTAGCTACGTTTTCAACCATGGTTGGCGGTGTCATCAGCGATATCTATCACGCCGAGGACCGCAACACTCCCATGGCGCTGTTCTCCGGGGGTGCTCTCTTGGGCACTGGCCTGGCGCCCTTGCTGTCTAGCATTGTGGTCCATCACACCAGCTGGCGCTGGGTGTACTACTCGCATGCAATTGTGTCCGCGGTCTTTGTGGTTATCATCTACTTCTTCTTTAGCGAGACCCGTGGTAGCGTGCTGCTTAGTCGCAAGGCTAAAGCCGTGAATAACTATTACGAAGCACTTGAGAAGGCCGGGCACGTGGGTGTCATAATGTCCGATCAACACGAAGGCATGGGAGACAAGGCTGAGGGCAAGATTCGACGCATCCGGTGGAAAGTCAAGAGTGACGAGCAACGGGCGTCCCTGGGCCAGATGATCAGCATTTCATGCTACCGCCCTTTCCGTATGTCACTTGGCTAGTCTTCCCACGGGGTACGCTTCGCTAACAGCCTACGCAGGAATGCTGATCACCGAACCGGTTGTTTTTTTCTTCTCACTATGGGTGGCCTTTAGCTGGGCCGTGCTATACCTGCAGTTCAGCTCCATCCCGCTAGTCTTTGGCACCAGCTACGGGTTCAACATAGAGCAAACGGGTGCCGTGTTTACCTGTATGTCTTCTGAAGATCTTTCCCTGACAGACAACTGACCCGTACAGCGATGTGCATCGGCGTTATCCTCATCACCGTGATCAGCATCTACCAAGATAGCTTCGTTGCCAAGTTCATCTCCTTGCCCGACACCCCCGAACGTCGTCTGTACTTTGTCTGCATCGAGGCCGTCCTCATGCCCGCTGGACTATTCTGGTTTGGGTGGACATCGTTCCCATCAGTGCATTGGATTGTGCCCTCCATAGCGATTGGATGCGCCACTATGGGCATTTTCGCCGTCTATCTGGCGGTTTTCAACTACCTAGCAGATACATATCACCGCTACGCGAGCTCTGCCATCGCAGCCCAGTCATGCTGTGCGTTTTCCCGCAGTGATCCCTATGCACTGCAAAAAAAAAAAAAAAAAAAAAAAATTGGAGGTACGAATGGCTAATGACTGGACAGGTCGAAACCTCCTCGGTGGTATCTTCCCCCTCGTTACCAACGCTATGTTCACTAATCTCGGGTATCCTGCGGCATCGAGCTTGCTTGGTGGGATTGTGAGCCTCCCTTATTAGACCTTTTTAAAGTAAAATTGAAACCATGCTAATAATCCCAGGGAGCCGCTCTTACCTTCGTACCATGGGTCCTGGTGTTCTTCGGCCCACAGATCCGTGCGAAGAGCAAGCTTGCCAGTGTATGTGTCTCTTTTTTGCACGTGGAATGCGGCTAACGGCGGGTAGGAACTTGCTCATTGAGGGTGTCCGTGAGACATACAAAACGCACATCTAAAATAAAACTAGACTTGCTTAATTTGCGCATATAATTATCTTTTCATCTATAACTCGAGAACGTGATTTTTACATACTATAGAGATTCGATGAAAATAATCTATCCATCGTCTCGTTTATAATTCATCCTATCTGTATATATCCGTCTATATTAACACCACGCAATGAAGGGCAGCCACCCAAACCCAACCAGTATTCTGATTACGGAGACATGTTAAAAAAAAAAAAAAAAAACAAGTATGAAGAAAAGAAAGAAACGAACGAAAATATCATCAATACCCAACAGGCCCCTCCCCAGCCGCCAGATTACACTGCCTAAATAACCTCACCTCGTCATCCCCAAAAGCTCCTACCACAGAATGCAACACCCCCCGGTTATGAAAAAGCACCAGGTCACCCTCCTCCCAGTCATGCGGATACACATGAGCAGGGGAAATACCAGGCCGCTGCATCCTGTAGACGATGTCCCGCACGCGGGACAAGTCGTCGATTGTAGTTCCGTCTGCACGGTGGATTTTGCGCACGGCGCTCGGGTGGATCTGTAGGGCGGGGTTACCCGTTACGGGGTTTTTCCATACCATTGGTAGGATCTGGATCTTGGAGGGATCGACGGGTGGGAGGTCGGTGGTGGGGAGCTCCAGATTGGAGGAGTAGAGGCCGAGACCTGTGGGCAGGGAGCGCGCACGGCTCATCCAGATGTATCTGTTGGGGAAGAACCGGGTTAGTATTGAATTGGTTGTTTGCATTACGCTGTAGGGTTGGATATGAAGAACATACGGATGCGGCGCGTATTCAACCCGGCTGGTGATGGCAAATTCCTTATCTTCATCTGAGAGAAGACTGAACATTTTCTCGCCACTGACGAAGGCGGTCGTGCCTAGGGGCACGTCCAGTCTCTCGTTGGATCCGTCGTCGTAGCGCAGTGTTTGTCTGCGGCCTTTGGGCACCTGCACGGCGAGGAGTGTTGTGACGTGCGGCGGATGAAAGTCGTATAGCGCCGCGTCGATGTGCCACCTGTAGAATCGCGTATAGTCGCGGTCTTCTTCCATCGGGATGGGGTCACGGTGGAAGGTCCGGTGGTGGGGGTGTCTGAGCTGGATGTTGGAAAGGCCTTCGTACGACTCGACGAAGCCATGTCCAATGACCTGCACCTGAGGCTGGTGTGGTACTGTCTTTAGATCTGGGTGTAGGATACTGCGCTTAGCGTCGACGGTCTTCCCGTGGCCGTATTGTGAGGCGGACGGGTCGAAGCGCTTGGTGAGTTCATATTGGGCTTTCGGGGTGAGATGATGTTGATCCTTGATCACCACCACTTGGTTCTTGTAAAGTTCCTGGTAGATCAAGGTGAAGATGTCGTCTGTCGGTGTTGTTAGCTTCTCATCCAAGTATATAGTTAAGACAACACACCCGTCAGGTTCTCAAGGTCGACACCCTTGATGACGGTACCAAAGTCAATTTTGGACTCTGAAGAAGGCTTCAAGGACTGAATCGAGATTGTCATTGTTCCGGTATATTCCAAAACTTTGAGATGATATATGGTGATCTAACTGAACGAAATACCAGCTATTTATAATGCAGGAGCATACCTAGGGCTGATAAGCTATATGGCGGGTGGGACGGACAGCTCACCCGCTCCCACCAAGTACTCGATGGTGATTGGTCAAGAAAAGCAGTTCCCGTTATTTCCCGTTTGGGAATAGGAGTAGTCAGCCTGCGATATTGATATGCCCTGAAGTCATTGATATACAAGATTGCCCTATCATTCATAGTGTTTGCTGAGAACATCAGAGGCTCGCTGTACATTATATCCAAGGTGCCGAAGATAGTCCGCCAGGTCTACTTCCAGAGAGCGTTTTGAAACCAGGTTGTCGAGCCAGCCAGACAAGCCCCGCGACCTGGAGCCTTGCGTCGTTTCAGGCGTACAGCTGGGGAAGCTATGCATAATTACCTTGCACAGTTCAAAATGACACTCTAGACTCTCCCGTGGTGTCGTGTTCTCGAATGAGACACAGAAGGGATCAGACTAGGTCTGAGACTGTCACTTGTATCGCGGAGGATATTGAGTGATGCACAGACTTGGAATACTAGAATAATCTCTGAGGGGCTTGGTGGGCTCAGTATATCGGCAATCCATCACCGTTCGGGCGCTATGTTCGCTGCGCTGTTGCCAGTCGATAGACATGTACAGCTAGGGCATCCGGCCAAGGGTCGGCAATAATGAATTCCGAGCATCAATGATACGGTCGCTCAAATCGGGGGCAGGCGATATCAAAAAAGATCGCTTCCATTGCCGGCCTGAAATTTATCCCAGTGAATACGAACTACCAACGCTGGGAATTTGATCACCTGGACAATCGCAATTTCGAGGTCCTTCCCAAGGACTGGTCAAAGAGATTGGAACGACTGAGAAACGACGAGATGCTCGGCATAGGCGATGTTGACATTGGAAATAGTCTTCAACCGTGCCACATGCAGGAAGATTTCGCGATGGAGGGCTTCACCTCGGGATTTCTGACAAAAGTAGAGATGGTACGACGGCCCGCTCACCAATGGGCATCTATGTTGACACGAGACTAAAAATGCACTAATGCGATCCATCCCCCCACAGAGTTAGGTCGTCTCGAGGAGCCTGTGCGGGCCACCTCGCGGTCTTTCATACATAAAGTGGCTCCTCCATAGCGGGAATGTCGCCGTGACTCCACGGACACAAATCCCGGTCACCTCGATATGAGTGTTCTCAGCGTGCTAGGCTCGCTGGCAAGCGACCCCAGCCCGCTAAAACTGGTCGCATGGTTTATTGGTTTAGTAAGGACGTCAATATGGATATACAGGGCAGAGCGCTCACAAACTCACACTAGGCAATGTTCGCATCTCTTGCATCCGGCATCTACAGCGCCTACCTCCACCCATTGTCCAATTATCCAGGGCCTCGGATTGCAGGTGCCACGAGACTTTGGTTCTGTTACCACCTGATTTGCGGCGACCTGCATCTGGCGATCCATCAGTTGCACCTAAAGTACGGCGAGGTGGTTCGCATTGCGCCGGATGAACTATCGTACACCCATGCCGACGGTTGGAATCAAATCTATGGACAGAGACCCGGAAAACTCGAGATTGCTAAAGATCCTCTATTCTACGGAACGCTGAGCTCCGGCCCTGGTAGCATCGTCAGTTCACCTCGTGATCGACATGCCGTCCTGCGCAAACAGATGGCACCTGGGTTTTCGGAGCGCGCGATGAGAGAACAGGAGGCTATTATTCGCTCGTACGCCGATTTGTTGATCAATGCTTTAATGCAGAACGGAGAAGCCAGAGTCGCTGACTTGGTGCGCTGGTATAACGTCAGTATTTCTAAGTTTCCCTGCACCGGCGCCGTGCGGTATGCGCATTCACTCAACGGCAATATTATAGTATTTCACCTTCGACGTAATGGGTCATCTGGTCTTCGGCGAACCCTTCGACTGTTTGAAATGCACCGGCTACCACCCATGGGTTGGACTGATCTTCGATGCTATGCGGTCGAGCGCCTTCATCCGATCGTCCAATTTCTGGCCGTGGCTCACACCCCTGATTCGAAAGTTCATTCCCAAGGAGATGCAGCGTCGCCGACTTGAGCAGAAAGAAATGGCGCGGGGGAAGGTCGCGCTCCGTAAAAGTATCAAAGAAGCACCATACGATCTCAGCGCGAGTATGTTGAAGCCGGATAGCGGTGTCACACCGCAGGAATACCAGGCCACAGTAGAGTCAATTATTATCGCCGGCAGCGAGACAACCGCTACCGCCTTATCGGGCGTCACATTTCTTCTGCTCAAGAACCCGGATAAATTGGAGAGGGTTGTCAACGAGGTGCGGTCTGCTTTTGCGTCGCCCGAGGACATCTCCTTTGTCAACGTCAATAAGTTGCCGTATCTGCTGGCGTGTTTGAACGAGGCACTGCGGATTTACCCTCCCATCCCGGACGCGTTTCCCCGTAACACGATGTCGAATGTGGAGATGGTTTTGGATCAACTGGTGCCTCCAAATGTGAGATATTCATAGCGATCCTAGAAGCCTCATGCTGACTGCGCTAGACCATTATCCGTATGACCCACTGGGGAACGTTCCATTCTCCGCGGAACTTCACGCGACCGGATGAGTACCTCCCCGAGCGATGGCTCGATAAAGACCCTCTGTTCGTGAACGACAAGAAAAACGCATTCCAGCCATTCCAGGTTGGTCCGCGGAACTGCATCGGCCGAAAGTATGTTCCTTCCTTTCACACCTAGGCTTCCTTAGAGTCTAACAACACTTAGCTTGGCATACCTGGAAATGCGATTGGCGATGGCGTTAGTCCTGTGGCATTTTGACATGGAACTCTGCGAGGAGTCAAAAGACTGGAATAACCAGAAAGTGTACTTGTTGTGGGAAAAGCCAGCGTTGATGGTGAAGATGTCGCCACGGATATGAGCCAGGCTCACTGTCTATTTCTGGAGATAGAGAAATCATATCCCGTACATGGTTGGATTTCTCGGCTAAAATTGGTATAAGGTATAGCAAGAAATATGGAATGAATGTGGACGCCATAGGCACAGCATTATGATTGCGACTTTCGAAAATCGGATTCATTGATATTGCTATACTACTTGGTAGTGATATGGGGCTGGGGATGAAAGTTTTCGTAATCAGAGCCGTAAGCCACTTGGTACGTCATAAAATCCATGATGTCGATTGCTAGGTTTCCAGGGTCGGAGATGAAGCTGTTTTTCCCACCCATTAAACGTCGAATGGGACCAACGATCCTAGGGACACGGCTGGTTCCCCACTTCTCAGTCTGCTATCAAGCCACTTTCATTGAGATTCTCACCTATATAATGTCTACACAATGGGTGCTTCTAGAAGTATCCAACTTTACTATCTTTCATATCGATATTACCTTTTACTACGTGTATTATAAGTATGAGATACTTACTATATCTAGTACCAGATTTTAGTATAGATAATCCAGATAGTTTTGAATGGTTCTAATTGCCATCCCAATATTTTATATGATAAGTAGAAAACTTTACAGCAGGATATGATAAACAATGGAGTTATAGCTATAGTCTGCTATGATATCAAGGTATTGTATTGGTAATATCAGGTCTGATAAATCACTGATTAAGTACCCCAATGTAGTACTGAGATATTGCATTCATATATATATAGGGTACTCGGTAAATGGTGTCATAATCTTGATAATCACTTCATACCGATATATTAACAATGAATGAATCAATGATGGTGGGATCGGGGAATATATAATTCGCCGAGTATCTTAACCCTCAAGTGAACAGTTTTGTGATCATTGTGGTGAGTTGTAAGAGTCAACAGGGATGAATGTGCCGTAACATGCAAGCCCAACCTTGATCAAGCCGAGTGAAAGCCAACCAACGCAACTATCATTGCTTAGGATCAATGACTGCAGGTTCCAAGGGACAACAAGGTCAATCGGATGAGTAAACGGGGGACAACGGGCACGGTATAAAAGCATGGTCATCATCCCCCTTCCCGCCAACTTTCTCGTCCCTCTACACCCCTTTCAGTCCTCGCCCTTGACATCATAACAAGCCGACTCTTCCTCAATTGACCTCATTCGTCATTTAACCAAAATGATCGGAAACATGAACCTTGCCGTTACCATCATGGTGCTGTCCATGGCGGTCTCCAGCTCCGCCTTTCTGCTCGCCGCTCCCCTATTTCTGACTTCTACCCTCGCCGGTGCCGCCCTTGCGTCCACTGACCCAGCCGATCCCTTTTCTAACCTGCTCGACAATCTCGCCCAGGCCGCCAGCGACTATGTGGTCTTCAAACAGGCCGTTGATTCTTTCAATGGCGACCGCAATACAATCCGCAGCCTTGCCGAGTTCGGACTGATCGTCGAGCAATCCGTCAACAACTCCACGGCCACCGCCAAAGCCTGCCACAAGCTCAATGCCAACGAGAGCACCGAGGTCATGACGGCTCTTGCTAAGCCCTACCCCACTTTCATGGCGGATCTGCTGGGCAACATCACTGCCAAGGTATGTGTATCCTCGGAGAAGGGTGCTTCGCGGCGTAGAATAGAGCACCAGCTAACGAGATGCATCAGAAACCTTATGTCGACGAGCTTCGTATGAATTCTCAGGTCGTGGGTTATTTGCGTAGAATGTTTCGTGCGTCGGACCAGCTGCCTCTGGCACTGGAAAAGATCGCGGTTGAGAGCGACGCCAGGGTCATTGATCAGGGTCGCCTTTGGTGCAATGGACTGATTAGGGATGCTATCGATGAGTTCGGGAAGTGATCGGCATGCTCTATGAGTTGTGGTGGCCCAGACTCTTTTTCATGAGCTTGACTCCTTTACTGTCTGCGTTGTGATTCGATCTTTATGTTGTTGTCGTCAACGCTAGGCATAATTAGTCCCCTACCAATTGGAACATTGTTTCTATCGTGTGCCTTGTAGACCCCACGATGCGGTTGAGAAAGTCGAGCCGCAGATTGTGATTCTGTCCTAGGATAACAGCGAAAAACGTAACACAGAACGCAATTCCATGCGTACGATACATCTGAGGTCAGACAAGTGGGTATGCCAAGCCATGCATCAAGGAACGAGGCAGTGTTGAATTAAGTCCGATCCTGTCAGATATTAAGGCTCCCTCTAAACACCCATTGGGTTAGTTCGCGATGGAGTATAATTCCGACCAACGTGATCCATCACTTTTCGTCCAGGCTTCCAGCTGAAAACCCCCACCACGAATTCCACCATCTATTCCATCCCACACTCCTTTCAACATGCCGGGGGTTCCCTCTGGTCGCGGTTGCGAGGCGTGTCGCAAGCAGAAGAAGAAGGTCAGTCGTGGCCCGTCCGCCCCACCAGCCAGCCCTACCCCACCTAACCCTAGATCATCTTCCAGTGTGACCAGGCCCAACCCTCCTGCGCTCGATGCGCCCGTCTCAATATTCCCTGCGCTGGTGCGGGCGTCCGACGGTTCAAATTCATGGATCAGGGTGTTGTCGTCAAGCTGGCAGTGAATAGGAAGAAGAATCCCCAGTCAGAAACCCGAGCGCCCACGCCGCGATTCCTCCCATCCTCCGAGACAAACGCAATCGCCAACGCCTTCGTCTGCATGATGGAGGTCACCGACGTCCGATATGACATCTCCTGTTACGGCGCCTTTTTGAAACAAGTCCCAAGCCGGCTGGGAAACAGTCCCGTTCTCGATGCGTCCGTCATGGCGCTCACTCATGCCTCGGCAGCGCTCTACACCCGACAGGACCATGCGGAGGTTTTCCAGAAGTACGGACATGGATTGTCAGTCTTGCGCACCGCGTTGAATAATGCACACGAATCCCACTCGGCAGACACGCTGTGCGCCATCTACTTTATGATGATCGCCGAGGTCAGTACCGGCGTGTGCAAAGGACGAGGACGGCTCGCTAATTAGACCAGGGCTGGATCATGAGAAAATACGACATCTGCGCAGGACACGTAAGTGGCATGGCTTATGTATTGAATATTCTGGCTGCGAAAAAGGACCCCGACCCGTTCGAGCAAGACCTCCTCCGAACGCTGTGTATCCCTGTAGTAAGAACCCCACTCCCTCTTCCTTTTCATCCTGACATCCCAGCTTCTGGTGAGCATCTTCGATCCCACCGTCCAGCTCCCCGCCAGCGTGATGCGCCAGATCACCGTCGCCGGTCCGCGTTGTCCCGTCCTCAACGAGGACGGCCCCATCCAAAGTCTGCAGGTCACCACGTTCGCCAAGTATCCGGGCCTGGTTCACCACCCTGAGCTTCACTTCTCCGATATCGTGGCAACCTACCAGCAGATGCACTTGGATTATACGTTACTGCGGCGCCGCCTCGACACCACCACAGTCGACATCGATGCGAAGGCCAACCGTGTCCCTAACCTGGAAACTATGCGGCTTCAGGCCCTTTACCAGGTCGGATGCAGCTTGGTGCTCACACTGGCAATCATCTTGAACCGGGTCTACCATACTTGTGACCCCTTGGAGCCTAGCCTGGACGACGAATTGCATCACTTCTGCCGGGAGAGCTTCACCCTGGCGGAGGCGGCCCTGCCCCATCGTCCGCTGGGGTCGAGCCCGATTCCACTCAATTTGACAATCGCCTGGGCGGTGGTGCGTGATGATGACCTGCGGGATCGAATTGAGGGCATGATCGAGGTGTACGAAGCGAGCTATATCAAAACCCCGTGGAAAGCCTCGGCGTTCCTGTTGCAGCAACACTTGAAGCAGTTGCGTCTTCGAATAGCGCCTCTGCAGCCGTTGCAAAATAGCCTTCGGACGGTAACAAGCAGCTCCTCGGCGACGCCTTCCTGACGAGCATCTTTTGCATTGTTAGCGAAAGCAAGTCTCACTAGAGGTACGGGATTGCATACCTCGTCCTCCCCCAAATACACGGTCCCAACCCCAATTTCCTCCCCCTCGCCCTGGCACTCAAGCGGAGCTTATCGCCTCTGTCCCTGATTTCCACCAGACGTGCTACCGCTTGAGGGGCTGCTCCCAGGACTTCCACCGCCATTTGCATTGGGGGTTCCCGCGTGCGATCCTGACTGGCTTCCAGAAGTTGAACCGTTTGTCTGGCCATTCCCGTTGTTGGAAGATTGTCCGACGACCGTCTGGGGAACGAGAAACGCTTGCATCTTGTGTGTGGAATGCTGTTGGTGGTACTGTTCGGGTTTTGCTGTTGATTTGCATTTGAAATTCATCCCGTCCCAGTCCATATTTATATGTATCTGTGAGATCGCATCTGCGATCGATTGCACAATCTGGCATCGACATGAAGGATGAAGCAAAATGATGTAAACATTAAAAATAAACAAAAATCAACTCGTATTGATATCCCCGATATAGACACAGACTAATCAAGGGGATCCAGTACCGCCTCCACCGAGATCGTTCCTGATCAACTCGGCTCCCGGCCAACCATCCCTACCCTCCACATGGACAGCTCGCCGATGGAATACAGACGTCGCGCTCAACCGAAAGCCAGCTCCACCTGCGATCCAATCATATCCCAGAGACGAGGGGGGACTGAGCTCATCCTGATCGCCACGCTGACCGACGCCAAGCCGTCAGCTAGGCCCCCGCTTGGCCTAAATTGGCCAAATCGGCCGCTTTTCTGGTCTGTGCTGGGCTTCATCTGCACCAACGGGGAAAATGTAGTCGAGCTTATGTTATGCTCTGCATGGCGCAGCATCGCCTATCACTGTCGCACTATTAATATACTGTTGATGTTACTCTCTACTACTACATATCAAGTATAATAGAGATGGTCTGACTGGATATCTGGCTACTTCCAACAGCAAAGGTAGTAGTTCTGTTGGTTGAGAATAGCAGGATATGAGAGAGCATCTCACTTACCACTCTGGAATTTTATACCACTGTCTCAGTTCTATACCACCGTCTCCAACAAATGAGCGCCCCAATTCACCATCGACCAATTCCATTACTCCCCATCTGCGCGTAAGGCCGCTCCTTCGTCTCGCCTGGTCCTCAGCTCTGCTTCTCTCCATGTTTCTCTTGATGCCGAAACATCACCCCAGCGGTCTCCCTTACAGTCTTCATTGCAAATCTACGATGTCCGTGTCCCTCTGCGGTAAAATTTACATGGCTATCCCACAATGTAGAGTAGTAGATCCCGGTGAATCAGCCCGAGAACATCACCTTGGAATATCCCATCCAGTAGCTGTAGCCCCGGCAGGCAGATGCTAGCACTGAGACATGGTTGTCACTCTTGGCAGGTGCTGGTCAGCTGTAGGGCAGCATAAGGAGCGAAGGAAGTGTAGGGCTATGCAGGAACAGTACGATTCTCAATACGATGGGATGGGAGTCCTGAATTCTGTGTGGCTCAGACGGTGGACTAGGGTCCTAAGGTTGGAGGGCATGTGGGCCTTATGAAGAGTGAGAGTCATGGGTTTGTTGGATTGGTGGTGCTTGATGGTTCTCGCTAGATGGGGAATGCTTGTATTTTCTATTTTAGGTTTCATGGGCCTGGTTGGGAATTTGTATGCTACTTGATTGGTCTTCGGGGAGGTATAGCACTTTGTTGTTGTCGACGGTTGGATCAAGACCGCTATATATTTAGACGAACCTGTATGCTGACGCTTTGACATCATAACGGTTAGACGACTCCAACACACAATAAATGGCCGAGAGCGTCATTAGACAATCTGAATATAGGCCCTGATTCACTAAGAAGAGACAAAGTAATGATGGAAAAGTAAGACATCCGCTGAGGAATGTTGCATTGCTCGTCTGGTAGTTCAGGCCGTTCAGGCATACAGCCTCTGGTCTACTGTGTCTTTTCTTATCAACATCATCAGAGTACCCGAGGACCTATACAGGCGAAGTGAATACCCCTTCCAGTCACAGGATTGAGTTCCGTTCCCTGGTCAAGGAGGTGAGACCCTTATGCTGACGCAGTCCTAATCTGAATATCTGTGGAACTCAACTCACTCACCCACCCCCATTGCGATCCTGAACATCAACATGCATGTTGCTCTATGAATCCTGCCACTTAAGCCAGTGATAATATCGTGATACCCTCTGGCAAATACACGGAGTCCATGTCGTTCTCAAGTGACAAGGCCACGACAGTATCGAGGCAAAAGTCGCGTGTCCACTGGCCCAATCTCTCTCCAAGGGACACGATTGGGGTACCGGCAGCAAGGAATGTCACCCCTTCAGCGATGCAAGGGATGTGATACCAGCAACCCTACATCCCGACGCAGATTTAAATGCTTGATGTGCGCCCGCAGGAATTGACCACGTTGCGAGAACTGCACTATCCCGGAAGAACTTGAAGCCATGTACGCTGCTTTGATCCTCTTGCTGGCGACGTCCACCGCGCTGGCCAAAACCATCACGGTACAACTCCAATCTGCAGATAAACCCGAACAACTGCTAATCCAGATAGGTTGGAATCGGAACGAGTGAGGCGAGCCGGCCACTGCACGTCTCCGTTGGGGAGTGCACAGACGTGGACGAAGAGTACTTGCCATACTTGCTCTTATTATGACCTTTGGCACTGCTAACATGAACAGGGAGGTATACACGTTGGACCTAAAACAGCCCTGTCGAGCATTCACGTAAGTCTCTGGATTGAACCACTGACACAATGCCACCATGCTAATAGCCACAGCGGCGTCATGTGCACAGGGCAGACAGTCTTATTGAATCCCGGCGAACATACCAGTATTACTCCCGTGCCGGTCGGAAGTCTCTTGTGCGAATAGACGCGGTCGTGATCAGATCTATTATGCGGTGGATCGGGCTGTCGATACTGTATTCCAGGCTTTACCAAAATATATCCAAGACTTTGTTGTTTAGTCACTGGTGTTTTTTGTTGTCGAGAACCGGTCAACATGCAACAGCAACTTGAAGCACGAATGACAGGAACAAGCTACTCAGCTTAGACCCGTGGTCGGAAGGTTCTTCCCAGTATTTCAATGCACTGCTCCTACCGTGGCACCGGCACTTCACCCATCTCTGGGAGACGGCTCTGCCCGAGTAATAACAGTATTGTCTTTCTCTCAGGTAACAGTACTTAAAAACTCCAATGAAAAGCTCTGCTATGATTGTTTCTTTGACTATGAATTTAGATTTTAAGAAACCAACAGTAGATGTGTCATATCAAGTTTATTCAAGGGCTTCAAGATCAAATTTAACCTACAATCTCTCCCGCAGCTTCAGAATGCGCTCTGTCCCCGCGTCAAACTGCTCCTTGGACACCGTCCCATCTTCCACGGCCGCCACCAGCGCGTCCACAATAACCGCTCCCTGTGTGACATTCCTCGCCGCCGCCAGCAGCAAGTCCATACCCGCCTGCGCCGCGAGGATCGCCCGCGCCGAGTCGTCTCCAAACGCCGTCAACGCCCCCGCTTCGATCGCATCCGTCACGGTCACCCCGGTGTATCCCAAGCGCTGGCGCAGCTCACCCTGAATCCACGACTCACTCAGTCCCGCCGGCATCTTCGGGTCGACCGCGGGGTATACCCCCCACGAGGCCATCACCATGGCCACATCCACTGCCATCGCCCCCTGGTACGGCGCCTCGTCCTTACCCCTTAGCTCGTCGATCGTCAGGTCCAGCGTCACCGGCTTTTCGTCCGTGTTCGAGTCCGTCGGCGCCGCTCCTAAGCCCGGGAAGTGCTTCGCCGCAGCGAGCACCCCCTCGGCCTGCTGCGCCTTGATGAAGGCCGACGCGCACTTGTCCACCCGCTCCGACGTGTTACCGAACGACCGACCGAACTCGTCGGCAAAGTCACCCGCTTCTCGGTAGATGTCTAGCACGGGCGCCAGATTCGCGTTCATCTGGTACTTCTTCAGCGCGGCGGCGGCATCTTTCCCTGCCTGAGTCGCCGCGCCGACTGGATCCTTCGCGTCTCCGACCGCCTTGGCGGGGGCTTCAGGTCCGCCCGGGAGACGGCGCACTTCGCCACCCTCTTGGTCTGTCGAGATGATGAGGGGTGTGCCAGCGTAGGCGGGGCTCGCCGCGTAGACTTCTTGGAAGTGCTGAATGTGCGCGGGGAGGTTGTCGTCGACGTTTTCGCCGAACAGGATGAGCCCGCCGACTTTGCCGGCTGCAATGAGGTCGAGGAGCTCTTGGGGCGGCGATGTGCCGGGATAGGAGAAGATGACGTGGGCGCCGGCTTGGGTCGCCAGGTCGGATGGCGGCGCGGATAGGGCGGGCGTGCCCTGGAGGGAAAAGGCCAAGAGAGTGAGGGGGTGGAGGAGCTTCATGGTGGGTTTATTATTGTGTGGAATGCCTTGAGTCGCGATTGTCACGTACGGGGTGGGGCAGAGTGCTTTATATCTGGCTGATACGAGGCCGTTAAGCGATGTTGCATGATCGACATTGTCTGGTCGGTCGAGGCCGTCGCGAAGTGGATATCGACCAATCGCACCAGTGTCTCGTATAGATAGGATCCGACTGGGGTTACATCGTTGTTGGAGGATAGTTAGATTGAAGGGTCATTAATATCGACATACGCATCTATGGTATATACAAATTCGTCCCCTGGACTGCCTTATTAGAGTACAGTCCCCGCTATCACGATCGCCCCCAACACAGACAGCCCCGGTCGCATCACCGCACCGATCGACTTCTTTCTCGTATCTGAATCCGAATCGTCTCCTTGATTCGTATTCTCGCTCGTATTTTCACTCGCAGAGTCACTCGTCGAACTGGAAGAGGAGCTACCACCCGCACTGGAACCCATCGGCTCATCATCCCCAGCATGGCGACCCGCCTTGCGCGCCTCCTTCGCATACTTCCACTCCACCTTGTCCCCCGACTTGATGTCGTCAAATGCCGCCGTACAGCTATCCATATTCGTCTCGCCCTTGAAATAACTCTCCAGACACGCAATCTGCTTCTCGTTCACCTTCGCCTGGCACGGGTCCGGCTTTCCGTCCTCCCCCGAAACCAGCTCCGGGCACGAATCACTGGGATCCTTGGCCGTGATGGCCCCGAGATATTGCGGACAGCCTGAGAACAGCTCGTCGGTGCCGCTGCTGTCCTCAACGATTCTAAATCTTACACTCCCCGTCCGCACGTTCCCCGTTTTGATCAGTATGCTGTCCCCTCTGTCTGTGCACGTCGTTGTCGAATACTCCCACGAGAGCGTGTACTCTCCGGCCTTGATGTCCTCCCCCCAGTAGGTGGAGTCGGCGAGAATCCCCACGTCGCCCGCGGTATAGTTGAACTGCTTTTGCCAGCTGTCGGAGTCGAAACTCCCGGACGCGAAAAATGACGGCTGATCCCCGTTGATTTCCCAGTTGATCGTGTACCTGAAGAAGGCGGCGGTCGGGGCGTTCTGCAACGCGAACACAACCGGCGGTACGGTCATTTCATTGTAGGTGGTTTTGCCCTTAGGGAAGACGAGATCAATCTCGATGCGTCCTGGGTTGGATGCCTTGGCCAGTGCGGCGGGTGCCCCAAGGGCGAGGAGGGCAATAGGGAGGAGCATCGGGAGCATGTTGGGTTGGTGTGGTGGTTGTGAAATTTCTCCCTACATCGCCGGGTCAGAAAGACTATTTATCAACACCGCCCCTTTCGTCTTCTTTGTTCTCTTCAACAACCTGATAGTTTTGTCTGTTGCTGTCGTCTGTATTAATATGGATGCAGCCTTGAAATACGAGACATGGGCCAATCCCACCCGACGCCAAGCAGTCTGCCTTGCCCTATCTGAGGATAGTCATCACCATCGATAGAGTCTTGTAGAATACAACCCCCACTAATACAGTCTAGCTTCAGGCAGCAAATGGCCAGATGACAGAATAGCGGGGCCCGGGTCCTCAGGGAGCTGAATCTTGTAGAATCGCTGAAAAACATCGCAGATCACGTCGTAGCACGCGCCGAAACGTACCACCCGCATACTCGCAAAGTCGATCATCGTCGACGATGCCCGCGGGTGGCCGTAGCGCTGTCTACCGTAGTCGATGACGAGGTCGGCGGCGGCTTGCACTTCGGGCTCGATCTCCTCTACCACCAGCTTAGTCCCGGTGCCGCTTATGTTGGCCGATGAGCCCATCAGAGGTAGTCCGGCTGCGGTGGTCAGCCGCGAGAGTTCTTCTTGCAGGTTACCCCCGTTGACTAGCATTGAAAGGGTGTCGTTGATGGTGCTCTTGGACAATGTCGTATCTCCGAGTCTGCGGACCAAATGGTGGTCTGCACGGAACGGGGCGACCACGCCGAGCGGGAGATCGAGGTCGACTGTCAGTAGGCGCACCATAGCCTGTCGCTCGGGTGGGAGAGCGTGGATGGATTCTTGTAGAACATAGCTTCCGATCATGGCGTGTTTCTTGTGTGGTTTGCGTCGCTTGACGGTGAAGAGTCGGTCTAGGGCTTCCGCGTCACATGCTACCAGGCCGTATCCAACGTTGGCGGGGATGATGGCCAGGCCACCGTTGCGCAGCACGTTAAACACCCGCTGGGCGTCTCGAGCGATGTCGACTGACTTGCTTTGGGACATCCTCGGTGCTTACGGTCGTGGTGGTCAGAACGGCTTGACGGGAGTGTCCATCTTAATACAGATATCTGGAATGACAACTTTCTACTGATGGCTGTCCTACACTTGTCTTACTGTGATAAAAAATAAACCGACGTCTCTGGATTCGCACCCATGGACGTTGCCGGTGGCGGTGTTGTAACCTACCGGTTGTGTTAAGGACCAGAAACACCACATCAAACCAACATCGGCATTCAAATGATATGGGACATTCAGATAAGACAAACAAATTAACTACTCGACTTTGACATCCACCTTATCCGAAACGTACTCCCCTCGGGACGACCCCTTCAAATGTTCTAGATGGGAGCCCGTCACATCGCTGGCACCCCCCTGCCACACAGCATGCCACACCCCCTCCGCCTGGATGGAATACTCGTGGCCATCCACCAGCGGCACATTCGATAGCTTGATAACCCGGTCGATGGAGGCGTTAGCGGGTATTTCCACCAAGTCGTTGTGATCGGCGGGCAGCCGTCGGTTGATTTTGATGGTTGTCAGCGGCACGGCAGAGTCGTCGTTGGTGTGATCGCGCACGGAGAAAACGCCGAGGATATCAGCACGAGGGTCCAGTGGGGTGCCCCAGGTCAGGACGGTTACCGGATAGTCCGCATTATTGTGGACCGCGACGTGAACGGGGATGGTTGCTGGGGATTCCAGCGGGGTAGACAGACTCGGGGGAGTCAATGTCACCTGAAGGTTGGAGATATCGGCCATCTTGATGAGAACGTTATAGTACCTTGATGCAAAGAAAAAAGTGCTAGGTTGAATTGAGCGGCATCTCCGTCGGGGTGTAGCTTGATCAGTTGTTTATATCACAGCTCCGGTGCTAATCTGTCTTCTGCGCGATGAAACCTCGACTGCTAGTCTTGCCGTCGATTGCACCAATTGATATCGCGCACTGCTAGATAATGTCCAGCTGATGGACAGGGACGAAAGTGTCCTCAGCGCTAGCGGTGCGGGGCAGCCAAGCCACCGAGTGGAGGGTTGCATTCCTAGAGGCAAGACTAATTTCGACTCGCGCTGTTGAAGAATGCGTGCTAAGCATCGTCCATTGTTCCTGGATCTTCCGATCAACATTCCCATCGAGTCCCCACGTTGTGTACATCGCCCTAGGAGGCTGATCCATGGTTACAGTCAACAAGATATTGTTTCCAGGCATTTTCAACAAGCTGGCTTCTGCCATACTCACTCTTCGCTTCAAAGTGCAAATATAAGAGTCAAGCCTTCCGGCTGAGACATTTTGCCGTCAGAAGCTTGAGCTGGCCACAGCGGGGGCCGGCGGACGAGGCGTTGTCCTAAACTCTTATCTCTGGAAAGCATGCACGCCGTGCAAGCCACCCCCATGTTAATATATCTCTAATCGTCGTGAATAAGGCCCAGGGACGAGTTAGAGACGGCTGGCTCAGCCACTTAATCTCTTTCTTAGCGGCTTCCCGCCGGGCCAAGACGACTACGACACGGATATGCTCCGATTCAGGAAAGGATCCTTTGCGGTTAATGGTCAGTCGCGGAGCTTTCGGCAATTAGGGTCTCAAGTATAGCAAACCGACGGTATTGAAAACTGCTGTGGACTTCAAGACATGACAGATCCTAGCCATGTCGGACAGATATAAAAGGGCCAACATGACCAGCGTTGAGAAAGATGTCTCCATTGCCTCCACTGCAAGAACATCCAGTTTCATAAACATCTTCCAAATCATTCATCATGCGGACTCCCTCAGCTGCTGCCCTCCTCGCCCTTCTCCCCAGCGCCCTCGCCATCCCGGTGAGCGCTGACTCCCCCTCTCTGGATGTCACCCTCACCCAGGTGGGCAACACCCGCGTCAAGGCAGTCGTGAAGAACGTCGGCAGTGAGGACGTCACCTTCGTCCACCTGAACTTCTTCAAGGACTCTGCCCCTGTCAAGAAGGTGTCCCTGTTCCGCGAGTGTAAGTAGAGCCCCGGCCCATTCATCGTCCTTGACTGACCCATCTAGCCTCCGAGGTTGCCTTCGAGGGAGTGAAGAAGCGCTTCCGGTCCAAGGGCCTGACCAAGGATGCCCTCACCTCCCTGGCACCCGGTGCCGTCATCGAGGATGAGTTCGACATCGCCAGCACCAGCGACCTCACCAAGGGTGGCTCCATCACCGTTCGCACGTCCGGCCGCGTCCCTACCGCGAAGAACAGCGCCATTGTCGGCTCTATCCCCTACTCATCCAACGAGCTGACCATCACCGTCGACGGTGCTCAGGCTGCTAAGGTCGCCCATGCCACCAAGGACATTGTCAAGCGTACCGAAATAACCGAGTGCTCCGGTGAAAAGCAGTCCGCCCTGGAGAAGGCCCTCAAGAACTCCGTCGACCTGGCCACCAAGGCCGCCACCGCTGCTGAGTCTGGCGACGACGCCCGCTTCAAGGAGTACTTCATGACCACTGACGCCGAGACCCGCAGCACCGTCGTTGAGCGTCTGCAGGCTGTGGCCAAGGAGTCCGGCTCCACTACCAGTGGCAACACCCAGTACTACTGTGAGGATACCCTCGGCTACTGCGAGCCCAACGTCCTGGCCTGGACCCTGCCTGCCCAGAACATTATCGCGAATTGCGATATCTACTACTCGGAGCTGCCGGCTCTGGCCTCTAGCTGTCACGACCAGGACCAGGCGACCACCTCGCTGCACGAGTTCACCCATGCCCCGGGCACTTTCAGCCCTGGTACTGATGATCTGGGTTACGGTTACGACGCCGCGACTGCGCTGAGCGCGGAGGAGGCGCTGAACAACGCTGACACCTATGCGCTGTTCGCCAACGGTATGTTCGCTTCTCCTTTGGTTTGTTGGTCGGTAGTACTGACAATATACTGCAGCTGTCTATCTCGACTGCTAGTCTGGGACTCTTCGAGGTTGATGGGATGTTTTTATGGCTTATCACGTTTGGAAAATGTTGCACATAGCTGGAATGAAACTGGTGTTCTTCTCTCAATCTATAAGTAGCGATTCGTGACCATGCAGGTCGGGTGTAAACGCGCCAGCACCATAGCGTAGCTTGTAGTTGTCTCGATATTTATTCCGGTATATGCCCCAATACACTTGAGACATAACTACATTATGTCGGCTTATATCCCTGGGGGGGTACGCGGGACGTAGCTAAGCCTTGCAAGTTCCTTCTTACGGTTCGTCCAAGGAACTTCATAACGACTCGTTTAAAATATCCACCTTACCCGGGAAGAACAATACTGTTAAATGCCAGGAATATACATGTATAATTTTTGAACTGTTGATGGTAAGAATTATTCCAAAACGAGTACCCTAATACTTCCTTGCCGTTCGACCTCGAGCAGTCCGACACCAAGGACTCTACTCCCGCGTGCAAAGTCCCTCGATACATTTATTATCATAGCAGCAATTCTCATCAGCCAGACAGGGGCCGTTATCCTCGCGACAACCAGGCCACTCGGGGTCAGTGGGCCGACACTTGGTGGCAGCGCAGTAGGTCGAGCAGCAGCCCTGGCCGCCGCCGCCGGACACACAGTCGGCTGGATGGAAGTGTTAGTATAAATATTAGATATGTTCAGGCTGTGCGTCAGTCAAGCATACCATACACGCCCAGGCAGGTCGCAGTGGGCACACAGGTTGTGATGGTCGTCGAAGATGGGCTCGTGAAGGTGGCCGTGGTGCAGAATTCAGTTCCGACGCAGGCGTCGGCGTCGCCGCACTTGGCTTGCGCTGTTCCTGTTGTCAGATATATACATGTTGAATGAAGACATGGAACGTACCCATGGTAGCTAGGGCAAGACCGGCGAGGGGCTTGATCAAATGCATCTTGATGTCGATTAGTGTGATGGTGGTTGATACTATCAATTTGTGATGGACTCAAGTCATTGATGCTAACCCATGGGGTATTTTATACCCGGAAGCGATGCGCCAAGACAGCGCGTGGGACGCCCGATGATCGAATACGAGGACAGACATCATCGTTGCGATTGTTCGGCTTCCATTTACCGTTTCCGTCTCTTTCCTACGATCTGGCTGTCATCTGCTGGTAAGATTTTGGTTGCGAGGTGGGTCTAGCTGGTAGACTTTGGATGCTGTCCCCAGTCTACCTTGGTATAACAGATCCCCGACCCGAGCACAACACTGACAATTGGAAATATAATGCGTTGTGTATGTTATGTTGGCATGGAACATGGACAACAAATAGTTGGTGAAGAGGTACATTGGGCGAATTCAGGCGGATACGACTAACATCCGGCGATCATTCGCTGGGTTCCAGGTTTTCGGTCAAGACGTCCTGTGTCGTGGTTGTAATTGGCGAGATGAGTGGATATGGATCGGTTGATAAGGTTTGTTTCTAAAATCGGCTGTAAGGCTACCCATCACCGATCGTGGAGCCAATGGAAGCATCTTTTCTATCAAACCGCGATGAAAATATCCAGATGACTTCAATAACCGTGGACTAATTTGGCTTTGACCTTTTGGCTTCGGGTGCCCACCGTAACTCGTTCATCCTGCGTAATTAGAAAATCAAGAACCGGTGTATGTAACAGCGGATGCCCGCATATCCTTCTACGGTCTTTTGAATAAGATTTGTCAACTATCTCAGGGAGCTTCCTCAACATGCAACACGTCGGGAGGTGGGGGATATTAGACTGTGATTTTGTACGCATTGGATATATTGCCACTAGCCGCAAGTAAGACCGCATGGTGGTGGATCCTGCAACGACAGTATCTGCCTGAATACTAGGCGGTTGGGACTAGCTGTAGCATGCTCATGCGACCTCGTAAGATTCAATTCGTCTCTCGGTTGTCACATATTAGTTTACCTCATGCGATTGATCAATGGGAGGCCGTGGAATGCGTTACGGCAACCTACATTGACGGCCAATCATCAAGCAAATACCCTGGGCGTGGAGTGGGATCAACAATTCCCCTTCAGCACCCCTTGCAGCTCAGGAATGGGACGCGACCGTTCTTGCTGTGCTCGCTCACACTAGGGATGAAAGGAACATCGCGTACTTCGAATGTCTTTCTTTGTCCTTCCGACACCCCGTTAAATGCGGATATCTCTATCTCATATTCAGCGATCTGGTCTCCTACCAACAACGATGCGACCGCTGTACCTCCTCCCCTTTATATTTGGCGCTGTATACGGCATATCTACCAACCACGGCGACTGTACACCAAGCGGAGAGCATTGTGACAGTGAACATTCGTGCTGTGCGGGCTCTGCCTGTAGCGAAGGGATGTGTGTCTTGATCATGTATGTGGCATCCACAGGCAACTGAGCAGCGCTAACGAGGATAGATAACCACGTTCAAGTACCAAAGACAATGAGGATGAGAATAATAATGTATGATGATCTACACTAAGTATGCATTATGGTATTTGAGGAGGAAACAGAAATTCTTTCGACATATTTCATACGCTTGTCCGCGCTTGATACCGTCTCAGCGTCCTCCATTGCTTAAGCAGGATAGTGCTCACATATCTCTCAAGCCCCATGCCAAAAGGGGGAAATACAAGTTTGTGGAGTGAGGAGGCAATGAATGACCTGTGCTTCACGGCGTAGACCTATCACTTAGACCCATCTGGGATCGCACCTTCCATTTTAATTGTCACCTTGGTTTAGAATAATCTAAGTCGAATGTTAGACATCAATATTCATTCCAAGTGCTCTTGACGAGACGACTCTTCTCTTTATCTCATCCGGATATCTTGCGATGCATTGGTTATCTCTTTTTTTCTTTGCCGGCACTGCCTTGGCAACTTCCTCTTACTTCCCAGATCATGTACCGACATTCAGGAACATCCAAGTTGGTCCAAGGCCATTCTACCTAGTAGAAGACATGGATGATAGTCCACTGAAAAATCATCTATCCTCATGCAGCGAGAGGCCCATCCATTATGCCCCTACCTTTTCCATCTCGCATCGCGGTGCTCCTCTCCAATTCCCGGAACATAGTCGAGAAGGCATGCTGGCAGCTGCACGACAAGGGGCTGGGATCATCGAGTGCGACGTCACGTTCACTCAAGACAATCGCCTAGTCTGTAGGCATTCGCAATGCGACCTCCACACGACGACCAACATCCTTACCATCCCCAGCCTAGCCGCCAAGTGCACGAAGCCCTTCTTCCCGGCCACGCATAAAATGTCAGCAGTGGCAAAATGCTGCACATCTGATATCACATTAGCTGAGTTCAAGTCCCTCTGCGCCAAGATGGACTCCAGCAATGCTTCTGCAGTCACCCCGGAAGACTATCAACACGGCGGACAGCTATGGCGCACTGAACTGTACAACCAGTGCGGAACCCTTGTCGAGCACACCGAGTATATCAAGCTCATCGACAGTCTAGGGCTACAGTTCTCACCGGAACTCAAAATCCCAGAAGCAGTCCCGCATTTCAATAGGAACTTTGTGCAAGAGGCCCTTGCACAGCAGGTGATCGACGATTACAAGAATCTGAATATCAGTCCATCTCGAGTCTGGCCCCAATCTTTTTCGGAGGCTACCATCCTATACTGGATCCAACATGAGGCCGACTTTGGAAGACAGGCTGTCTACCTCGATCGCCGTGTTAACACTCCCAGTGGCTATGCCGAGGCTGTCGCCAGTTTGCCCCGTCTGCAGCAGCAGGGCGTGCGCATCATGGCTCCGCCCATTTTTGCCCTGCTAAATACGTCCTCGGACGGCGAAATCGTATCGTCGGAGTATGCACGTGCTGCCAAAGACGCCGGCTTGAATCTGATCGCTTGGTCGTTGGAACGATCTGGTCCAATCAAGCTGGCTGCAGCCGCGGGAGACTATTACATCCAATCGATCGCCAGTGTTCTCCGTAAGGACGGCGACATATACCGTATACTCGACGCCCTGGTGATCAAGGCCGGTGTCAAAGGAATATTTTCGGATTGGCCAGGAACAGTGACCTATTATGCCAATTGTATGGGATTGTGGTAGATGAATAATAGCGACCGTCTGGCCAGTTTCCTGCATCTAGAATAGCTTTGCTGAAGCGCAGTGGTTGCAATTCCATGGATATCGAGTTTAACTCTGTAGATCAGACCATCGATCCATTCCCTTCCAATCATAATCATTGCCATTATGAAACTGCATTCAATATCATTGGTTGTGCATGGCATCCGGGCTGCCAGTCTGTCCGATTAGGGTTTGCCGCGGATGGCGTGACATCATCATGATCATTCCACTCAAGCGACGCGCCTTTTATATTAAACCTTTCAAGCATGCCCCCTCGATTCAAAGCAATTGTCTTCAACCGGTGAATTCAAACAATCATGTTGAGACTACTTCGCACTCCTGTTACCCGCGCCCCGATTAACCGCGTTCCAGCGGTCTTGTCGTCCCGAGTCGTCGCAAGGGGTCTCCACCCCGAGGTGCATTCCATCAAGGGGGACGACTGTATGCACATTGCTGCGCTATCACGCTCATTTCCAACACACTGATAACGTCTAGTTTACTTGGCTCCCACTTTCCCCGACGATTTTGAATCCCCGACGATGTACAGGAACAACATTGGAACGAGTCAGTGGGACGAGATCCACGCCACATTCAGCGAGGCTTCGGTATGTAGCGCCGGCGCTTCGTTGCAGTCTGCATTCTTTCGGTACTAATTGGAACAGGTCAAGGCCGACCGTGGCGATATCAGCTTCGAGACCGTGTCTGAACGGGGATTGGAAGGGCTGGCACCTGAGGAGATGGTGCCCAAAATGGACGAGATGTAGCTATGTCTTTGCCTTCGAGACTGCTTCTGACGGGCATTCTTGATCAAATTGGGTCGTTGGCATTGGGAATTCAGTATGGATTTGTGTATCATCGGAATCTGATACTATTTTTCAATCGGATTCTCTTGCTTGTCATTGTCTCAAGACCTACTTGACTTCCTCCACCTGGTGCACCATACCATCCACCTTCGCCTCAACATCTCTCTCCTGCGCGTGCTGTCCTGGCATGACGGTTCTCCCTCCCTTGGAAGTGAACACCCCGCCTGTAAACCCCCCCTTGCTAAATAGCATGGGGATATCCTCCAACTCAAGACCTTTCGTCTCAGGGTAGAAGAAGTAAACCATTGGAATAAACACAGCATTCAGCACCGCAAAGATCACAAACGTCTTCCACCCAATATTATCAAACGCGATCGGCGTAATCTTTACCACAGCAAACACCGCCATCCAGTTCCACCCCGAAGCCATGGCTTGCATCCGCGTGCGCACCCGCGTCGTGTTTAGCTCTGCCGGATAGAACCATGGCACTGGCAGCCACCCGATGCCGTAGAACAGCTGGAACACGAAGATGAATGCCGTCGCCCCGTAGGCGCAGTCCCTCCGGTTCAGAGAGAGCAAGATACTGACCATCACGAAGCAGAGACACAGGCCGGCGGAACACACCATTAGCAGAGTACGTCGCCCGAACCGGTCCATCAAGAATACCGGAATCGCTGACCCCACGAGATATGTGCATTGGATGCAACCGCCCAGGATCATTGATAGGTCACGACTCATGCCCATCGTGGTCTGGAACATCACTGGTCCGTAGTAGTTGATCATGTTGGACCCTGTGAATTGCTGTCCTAGCTCTATGGAGATGGTTATCAGCAGGCGGCGCAGGTTCTGCGTCTTCCCCCAGGTGAATAGCTCCAAGAAGCTGAACGGTCCCTCTCGTTGCTCCTCTTCTATCGCTGTTTGAATATCAAGGATGGTCTTGCTGACTTCGGGGTCGCTGGCGGCGCGGTTCTCGATTGCCGCCACCACCGCGCGGGCGTCCTCGTGCCGGTCGTGCTGGACGAGCCAGCGGGGCGTCTCGGGGAGGCCAATTATTTGGAGGATTAATAGAATGGCAAAGACCGCTTGGAAGGCGAGCGGAAAGCGCCACTGAAACGAGGAAGAGCTGAAACTCGTGCCGTAGTCCATCCTGCCCCGCACACGTCGTCAGTCTCGTCGGATTTATACAATATGAGCAATATATACAAACCAGTACGCAATGACCACACCGAGGATGGTCACCGTCCCCTGGGTTGTCAACAACGCGCCTCGACACGACGCCGGCGAGCACTCGCTCTGGTACACCGGGGCCGTGGAAGAGTTCATCCCATTGCCAATGCCAGTCACGATTCGTCCTGTAATAAGCTGCGCCACCGTGTCGGACGATGCCAGAATTATAGTTCCGATAACCATGATTGATCCTCCGGCCATGAGCATCGACCGTCGCCCGTATCGCTCCCCAACAAAGTAACACAGGATTGACCCCACCACGCATCCGATATCGTACAGTGCCGTGATATTTCCTTGCATTGCAGGGTCGGGATTGTTGAAGTCTTGTCCGAATCGATTTTCCGCGCCAACGATTCCTGCCATAACGCCTGCCTTTGTCAATATTTCATCGTATGTACGGGGGATGGCATGGGGGGCAAGAACGTACCCTGATCGAATCCTAGCAACAAGAACGCCTGGCATGATGCCATCGTAATGGCAGCTATCAACACCTTGCCGCGGAATTCATGTTTCCAGAGATGCATCTTGTCTGGTTGATGTAAGAAATGGTTGGGACAACGGTTGGGGTCGTCACAACATCGTTAAACAGGTTCAGGAGCTAATCCTCAGGTTATATTCCGCACTGAACTCCCTCGCGGAAGGTTCACCCGACTGCACAACCCAGCTGTTTACTTGCCGATGTTGCAGGGGGGTTAATACAGCCAAGTAGTCGATCATACCTCATGAGGCATAGATGCTAGACGAGCTCGGTCTATCTTCTCCCGAGATGCGGAGTTCGCTTCCCCACGTTTTCCGCAAAATCTGGGGTTGGTCGTCATCGCAATACCGTTTCGTGTCATTTCTACCTAATATTTAATGGCTCTCGGTGAAGAGTGCGAGGTATACTTGTATTGATTTGTCATTTCTGAAAACGAGGTTGCCATCACGATGATGACAGATGCAATGAGCCTAGGGTTGACACGTCCACGTGCACTTCGAAGTCTATTGAGCGAAAAATATCGCACTTGAGTTATGAACTGAGTTGGGAAGATCTTCTATATCATGTATCGCTGGATATTATACCTTTGCAGCCGGCTTATATCGATGTTTCTCGAGGGACATGAGCATCCAGCTGAAAACGACTCCCCGGGTGGAAAATGATGTGAGGAGGTTGACAGCAACGAGGCCAAAAATCGCGTGCTTATATTAAGGAGCCGCGGCGTATGCGAGCGAGACACTAGGCAGGAACATGTCATGTTTTGAACAATCTTATGACCCCACCAGCTGCAGCATATTCTGAACCTTCAACGACAGGGACAGGCCCGGCATCATTTGCACAAGAGCAATCGCGTTCATAGCAGTATCAACTTCATGTTGGTTGCATATCAATACCCCATGCGGGAATTTCCACCGGTAATCGACCAACATCTGCCCCTTTCACACCCTGCATGTCTCTCAACATTCCCTCGTGTCTTTGACACAAAGATTCCTTCCGCAGGAGGCCTTCAAATTACCTAGCGTTTGCAAGTGGGTGTCGGATTTCTTCTGTCAAATGGATGGAGTCCCATGTCAAACTACTCAGTCATGCTCACTGCATGTGTCTCATTCACTGTTGCCTTGCTGCACGGGTTACGGGTGGTCACTCGGCAGTCTGGGCATGGTTCAAATATCCCTCATCCGAGGTCACCTATACCCGGCTTATTGGGTTCTTCGCGGCTTATACGAGTCAGAGAGTAGATGTAGACTTTTCGGTAGAATAGGAACTGAGGACTGGGCTTGTGCTTGACTTTTCCTCCATCGTCTCTGCCTTTTTTCCTGGTCTAGCGCCTTGTGAATGATGAGACGAGCCTTGTTTTCTATTTTTTTCAAGCTTCAATATCCAATCAGGTCTGAAAAAATGCAGGTGCCAATGTCATGTGTCACAGGTTAGACGCTGATGATATATATGTGGCTGACCGAGAAGTGTTCCATTTCTGGAGAAACATTTTCAGGGAGAGTGCGGCTGTCAAATAAGAATAGACTAATTGCTACAAATGAGAAGAAAATGCCTGAAAGGCTACAGGACTGACTGGAGAATTGACTAACCTCGCAGCATGTCTTTCAGGGACGAAGCCACACCCACATCCACGAGCACTCAGACAAATATCTCCCAGAGACCGATTTACAGCGGAAAAATCTCGCAATCAGGGGCTCGGAATCCAAACTGATATAGTCCTCGTATCCAGTACCAAAGCGCTGTGTAGATTACAGGGGACGGACATAGTTTAGCTGGTATAACTGTAAGCCCTTATAGGAGCTCGAGGTCCCTACACGACAAAGGGGTTATACAGGTAGTATACCTTTGGGGCTCATCGCAAGTCAATCCACGTCCTGCGAAGCATTGAGGCTGAGCACAACTAATTTATTTAAACTTCGGTGGCATATGTGGCGCTGTTGGGCTTTTCCACATTTTTTGATACGAGACATATGAAAGATCTGACCGTCTGCTTTGACCATCGGTCTGGAGAACCTCTTGGGGAAGAGGGGGGCGTTCGAATATCTCTACGCACGTCTAGACTACCGATCAATTCCGACTCGTGTTGAGCATCCAGTCAAGCAGTTATCGCCGGTTTGCTCCTTGCGTGTCTGATGTTGCCCATCCCAGCCAGGTAAACATTGCATTTCGGACCCCATCACCCCCGCCAATTTGGCCTGGTCCGTAACTTAAAGTCTATATGTGGTATACTCATTGGCTCGCAGAGCCGCCTCCACTTGTCTCTTGCATCCTCCAGCCTTATACCCGACGCTCTCACCGTTCCTCGTAGCCAGATCGGGATACAAACCGCGAGTAGCCAAGAACACAGCTCACGCTATCATGTAGCCCCCGTTGGGCTCTATGACCCTAGAGCCGATCTTAGGGGTCTCATTCGCGCGGAAGCCCATTCTGTGTATCCCTGCTAGTAGCTGGCCCCGAGAAATTAATTCTCCAGATACCCTCAACTGGGATATCCAGATGTCGATCATCTCGTATTATCGCCGACGTGGGCCCAGTGGCTCGTATCGAATTCGTGTCAAAGAGAACCGCTGGTTGTTTATGAGTTTATTCTTTTTGAGGGCATGGGTTTAATGGAGACATCTTGATGCGGTGTGTCCATTCTTGGCGAGATGGTCTCCGGCTATATAAAGGTAGACATGTTCTACCTGCTGAACAAGTTCTTACATTTAATTCAAATCAACATTCCTCGGAACTCTTCCAAATCAGTTCTTACCAACCATCCACAATGAAGGTACGAGACGCGATTCCACCGCTGTCTAGAGCAAACATACTGACAAGAAGCAGTTCACTGCCGTCCTCGCTCTTTGCGCCCTTGCCCCCATGGCTCTTGCCCAGGGCTCCCTCATGGTTCGTTTTCCTTTCTCTCCTGCTCCCGCTGGACTTGCCGATGTCCAATAATATCCGCTAACGTGCTGCACTGTAGGACAAGAGGGGATGCAAGCCTAGCAACTGTGCTTGCATTGGCCGTCAGGGCCAGTTCTGCGGTGACGAGTCCATCAACAAGGCTTGCACTAACGGACACGTTTTCGAGTGCAATGGTAACAGTGGCAAGAGCTGTGACTACGGTGTGCGTGACAGCTGCAGAAAGTGTGGCAAGCTTAGCTGCTAGAGATTTAATCTTGAGAGCATTACTTAGTTCTGGTCATGGCTGTTTATGTTTGAGATAATCTATTGCTCGGGGTCGTCATTATTCCGGGAAGGAACAACACACCTCTGCATGAGTACATTTTGGAAGAGTAATTGGAGATTCAATTTCATCCTTCGATTTTGTAATCGATTTAGGTGTAACCAAAGTATATACAACTCTCAATCTCCCCATTTCATACTCAAACCAATCGTTAGATTCCAATAGAGAAACATGTTTGACACAAAGTTCCCAGATCAACAGTCGACTGTAGGCCACTATTCAATAGTCATGCTAGCAGACCCACTGCTCTGATACCCCTCAGTCGCAAGAATCAAGTAGTCATGCGAGCCCAGTGTCAGCCCCGACTTGGACCACGCATCAAAGTGATTCTGCACCGTGACTGTGCCACCCACGCGGTGCTCGGTGCGCACCGACCAGTACTGGTCGAAGGTGGCCGTGCCTATAATGGACGGTGCATCCACGCGAGTGGTCTTGTAGATCTTGTACGTGCCGCCGTCGCTCTCCACAGTGCCGAGCTGCTCAGCGCCAGTCGACGGATCGTAGGTGCTGAAGCTGTCGACGATGTAGTACTCGATCAGCGGGTCGGTTGTCCATCCGTACACTGACACGTAGCTGTTGCCGCTGGGGTTCCAGGTTCCGCTGTAGTTGATGACCCTGCGGACAATAAGTAAGACTCATAGTATGCTGGTTGAGGCATCCTACTTAGCACTACCGGGGTTCCAGCCTTTGCCAGCAACGAAGTTTCCGGTCTCTTTCCACTCCACGCTGTATTGGCCACCCTCGCCGTTGGTATAGGTCACATCACCACCACCGTCGGTCCAAAAGGAGTAGAAATAGCCGTTATTCGTGCCAGTACCGGGCTCGGTCGCCTGGCGCTTAACAAGTTCAAGCAGCGCCTTCCCATTTGGGGCAGCACAGGTGACAGAAGCGACGGAAAGCGCGAAAAGGATGGATTTGAGATTGAACATCGTGTAGTTTTCAAGTGAAGATATGTTGCGGTTGAGAAGTTGGGATGTAGAAGACGAGGGGATGCTTCGCGACTTTTTATAAATTCAGTCTCCCTTGGTTTGTCTCCAATTTAGCCGGCAGTAATGGAGGTAGATCCGGTCAGATCACCCGTGGGCCTATCCCCGTCGATCAATAGCCGGCCGCGGGATGTGTTTCATTTTGATTGACATGCACTTTTGCCGGCCCCTCTCCGTTTCAACATCCCTGTTCCGGCAGCGTGACCAGGTGCAGGACTTTGACGAAATCTTCGTCGCAGGCTTGAGGTTCAACATAAGTCGAATTTCTTATTGTGTGGCCATGTCAATGTGAGCCTTGAGTAAGGATTCTGCTCGTCCTAGGTATGATAGGACTTCCCATCGTTTTGGCTGGAAACTGCCGGCTACTCCTCTTGGCATCAAGCGCCTGCCCACGCCGTAACAAGGCCAAGACGCTGGCAAAAAAGCCACACCCCGCGTTATATATCCGGGTGTACACAATGCCTAATGTAGGGTTTGTTTTGGGTCATTGTTCACCTTGCACACTACCGGTTGTTGGCGACGCCATGTCGCTCAGTTCGGCCCGATCAGACCGCTGCTGATCAGCTGGCTATTCGCGGTTCTCACGGTCGATGTGTGAGATGCTACTCATACAGCCGCCATTCAGATCAAAAGCCAGTCGCGGCCCAGTCTGCCGACGGTAAATATCCAATGTGAAGGCTTCCTCGCGGTAGTGTCTTGCGTCCAATATGTCTGCAAAATTTGTGCAGCATTGAGTACATTCAGGCAGCTGGTATAATCCCAGAATCGTCCGAGACTCTCTATGAGAAAGTCCCGGTGCGACTGTTCCTGACATACAAGGCCAGCAATGAACATCGGCCACAGAATGCACTTGAACAGTGCGGTATCATCGCGTAGTGCCCCGATCACGCTAATCAACTCTGCTACTGTTGTGTGCTGTGATGTGGTGGTCTTGTCGATGATGTCGAGTACGCATTGCCCGTAGATACAAGCACCCAGTTGGTAGGCCCGGGAAAGTGTGCAGAGACCATTGATGTCCCTGGGGGCTGACGGCTCCTGTGGCAATTCTGTAGCCCATAGGTAGCTGTCAAAATTCTTCACGGATTCCAGGACAGAGCCAACTTCGTGAGGTTGGTCAGGAGAGGAACGGGTTATATCATTCTCCTCTGCAAAAATATCCCTTTGCGACGAGAAAAATTGGATAGCACTTAGAAGATACCCGGGACAGCCAAGAAATGACTGTTCAACAATGTCGCGCAGGCGGGCTCCTGATCCGTTCAACGAGAGAAACCGGGACAATAGTTTGGGCCGCACAAATGTAGTTCCCAGAGTTTCAATCCTGGCATGGTCAGTATATGGTGCATGTACCTTGACAGACCTACAGTGCATACAAATGGATCTGCGTAGCTAGGAACTGGCGAATCCCCTGGATGGTGGATCCTGGATCATCAGGGTTCATCATGGCCATCATGGTCTTCGCACCGTCCAGATGGTAGTTCCAACGGTCGCATCCCGATTCCAAAAGGTCTAAAAATACCAGCAGAAACGTGGTTGCCACGGTTGTGTCTCGCTGGCACGCTTTCGGGTCGCTTAAGGCATTGGCGAGGCCTTGGATGGAGCGATGTTTGAAACGAAGAGCCGCCTGATGAGCATCAGCTGACTCTGGAAGTGCTGATGCCTGATGCTCCGAGAAGGGTCGTCCGGTATTGGCGCGGTGACGGGCAGCCAGGGCGAGAATTGTCTGGAGGAGCACTGGGTCACCCATGGCGAGGGATATGAGACTTCGAAATGGATTTTTCTCGCTGTCATACACGATGAAGACCTTGCATATGCGATCGTTGTCTGGCCCGATTAGTCCACTACCATTTTCTCATAGCTAGGTCACTTACAATATTCTAGGTAGTACATGGAAGTGGCATCCAGATTCGGTATGGACAAAGCACTCATGGTCAATCCCAGGGTGTTGGGGCGGCCATACGCCGAAGCATTATCCAGTGCATCAGGGTCTTTGTCTGCCGAGCACAGGTACGCCGTTAGGTTCTACCTCATACCAGAGTAGCGGAGATTCGAGACATCATTGAGGAACTCACCGTGGTTTAGGTTAGGCCCCGCATCGGCGATCAGCTGCATAGGACCCTGGCCAGCGTTCTCCACTTGAGGCCTAGCCGTCTCTTTGAAAGACTTTCCTCGCATAGAGCCCCGGATAGCTACTCCACGAACCCATCGCAACGGTCTTTCCCTGAAACACTCGAGCCCGGCCTTCTCACATTTGAGGCAGGGCTCCTTGGAACGGTCACATTGGATGCGCCGCCGGCGGCATGTATAGCATGGTTCGGACATTTCAGCCACGAAATCGGCCTACGAGAATGGAGGGGAATTATCCACTCTTAATATCACAGTTTGCATGGTTACCAGGAGAGATAGACGAGGTTTTGTGGTGGACGAGGGGCAGATGTAAATATTGCAGGAGATGACGATGACCTCGGATCAAACATGAATATCAGGCACTGACGCATCGTTATCAGTCGCGCTAGCCTGTTTTGCTTGTCACGTGTCGTTATGTGCATAGTAGTGCTTGCTGAGTCAGCTATGCAGTCTCTGGGTGCACAAGTGGAAAGCCGCACTGGTAGTGATTCACTGCCAAAATTGTGTGTCCAATTCCACCAAATTGTCCGTAGTTCTTTCTACTGTTTATCACTATCAAAGAACACGGCAGGACTCTCGGTTTGGCGGGTCTTTTAGGTGTGTTTTGGACACAGTTTGTACCAATATATATTCCTGCTCCCGCCCTAGAGATGATCGGTGTTGTTGAATATTTAATGGCGTAAATCCCGAGAGAAGAAAACAACAATGTGAGACACTTTGAACGATATATGCACTAGATACCAAGCAATGAGACAGGACGTTACGAGATACTTCTATCTATGAAGCCTTCTGATCCTTCTTCTCCCCTCGCTCTTTTACACTTTGCGCAATGCCATCCCCCGTCTCGGTCCCCAAATGAGAAAACCCACCGATGACACCCTCGCGATCCCCTGGACCCATCTCCTGACTCATCTTGAATTTTCCCTGCAGTCGATCGATTGTGATCTCGATCCCGATGATGTTCTTCTTCAGCAGGTCCACGTAGCTCGTTGGCGAATCGGACACCGCCCACGGCGTCGGGGCCTCCCCGCCGGTATACCCCATGATGCGGGACTCAGACTGCTGCGTAAGATCGGTGACCTGGCGCTGCAGGAAGGATCCGGTCTTTTCGGACTTGGAGTCGCAGAATACGCGGATCTTGCCGTATGCTTGCACGGCGGAGTAGTTCCACGTCGGCACGACCTTCCCCGTCGCAGGCTTGGTCTCGGTGTAGAATTTGGGCGTCACGTAGTGGTGGTGAGGCCCGTTAAAGAGCACGAGCACTTCGTCAGGCAGGTCTAGGCTGGGATGCCCTTGCGCGTGCTGTGCGGCGAGGGCCTCCATTAAGACTCTGGCTTGAGGGTTTTGCTTGGCGATATGACCACGGAGGATACCGTTGGACGGGGTTCCATCGCTGTTATCTGGTACGTCAAGCACGAAGGGGATATGGCTGGACTGGATCAGCGGGTGTGATGAGGATTTGATGGCTGTGGTGAGGATGCCGAGGGGATTGTCCCGGATAAGTTGTTGGAGGACGGGTATGCAGCCCTCAGCGTGGACTGCACGGAGATACATGATGGCGGGGGTTCAACTGTCGTATGATACAGTTGGAGAAAGAGGGGCACATTCTCCTTCTTAAATAAGTGTTATTGATTATCTTAAGGATCTTTTGGTCCTGTGATTGGTGGGGATCGCCGAGGACAGTACGATGACTCAGATGAACTAGAATATTGTAGCATATATAGAGAAGAATTGAATTAATATGATGATAATTTCATTTATGGTATGGGGGACATGGTCTCTCCTCCCCGAAGCCTTGTTCTATACCTCAACATATCTTGAGAGACTCATGCTGCTCCCACCCTTATTAATGTAGCTGTGGAGTCGCCGCTTGGCCTGGGCGAATTCAGTGCGCGTACATGGCTGTGATAGTCACTCAAAATCGGGACGACTTATTGTCAAAGCGAACGCTCACTACATACACTGAGCTGTAAAACCGCCCATTACACTTCTTAAACATCTTTTGAAGGTACCTTCTTGTTATTAGATTCGTGGTTAATAGATTCTGTAGTCGAGGCCCATGGAATCAAAGAGGATGCCATACCAGATGCGGCAGTTGACGGGAGTGGAGACGCGTGCTGAATTAGGGTTGGCCAGATCACCACCCTGTATCCACTATTCAGCAACTTTCGGAAAGTGGAGAACGCCCAGCATATTTATACCCTTGTTGTATGTTCGACGAACAATCCTCTTTAACAATCATCCTCCCTGCAACATGGCTCCCTCGAATGACTCCCATCCCGCGACCAGGGCTTTACACGCCGACGACCCCCTCAATCTCGTCACCGACGTGGCACCCCCAATCCATTTATCCACCACCTTTCGCTTTCCTAGCCACCCCGATCAATTGGTCCCCAGTGAAGACCCAGTGGTAGGTAAATGCCTCTTCCAATCGTCACAGGGATAGAACTTGACGAAAATTTTAGGATGAATTTGACGGAAAAAATTATGTCTACGCTCGCGAGTTTGCCCCCAACGCCACCCGCTTCGAGCGCATCCTCTCCTCGCTGCTCAATGGACATGCCGTCAGCTACGCATCTGGCCTAGCTGCCCTTCATGCGGCCTTGGTGCTGCTGAATCCACGACGTGTGTCAGTGGGAGACGGGTACCATGGCAGCCACGAGGTCATCGGTGTGCTGTCCCGTCTGTCAGGCTTGAAGAAGCTGGCCCTCGACTGTCCGGCGGAGGAGCTAAGCGAGGGGGATGTTATTCTGCTGGAGACGCCCGTTAACCCATTTGGGACCGCGTTCAGTATCGAAGAATACGCCGCCAAGGCCCACAGTCGCGGCGCGTATCTCATGGTCGACAGCACGTTTGGCCCGCCCGGCTTGCAGGAACCGTTCCAGTGGGGCGCGGATCTCGTCATGCACTCCGGGTCTAAGTACTTCGGAGGCCATTCCGATTTGCTGTGCGGAGTCCTAGTAACCAAGCGCGCGGACTGGCTGAAGCAGCTGTTTGAGGACCGCCTGGCGCTGGGCAACGTCATTGGCAATATGGAGGGATGGCTGGGCGTGCGCAGTCTGCGTACGCTAGATTTGCGTGTCCAACGCGCCAGCCAGAGTGCTGAGAAGCTGGTTGCGTGGCTTCAGGCTGGTTTGGAAGCAGCAAACCCAGCGCCAGGGAGTGAGAAGAAGGCGGTGCAAGATATCGTGCAGACCATCTACCACGCCAGCTTACAGGACGAACCGTGGTTAAAACGACAGATGCCGAATGGTTTCGGCCCAGTGTTTTCCATCATCCTGCGGGGGGAGGAGCTGGCCCGGAACCTACCCAGTCGGCTTCATTTCTTCCAGCATGCAACCAGTCTAGGGGGTGTGGAATCGCTTATTGAGTGGCGCGCCTTGTCAGACTCGCGGGTTGATCGGAGTCTATTAAGAATCAGCGTGGGACTGGAGGATTGGGATGACCTCAAGGGTGATCTTCTTCAGGCGTTCAGGACTCTTGGTACCAGCCACGCGCAATGAAAATTCACTTCCCCATTTCGCAAAAGGGCCCGATCTGTGCTTAAAAACCATATATGGGATATGTTGGAACGCCGGCTCGTGCGCCGTCCTGCCGGATGGAAGGGGAATGTAGTCTTGATGAGAACCGTCAACGACCACATGAGTACATCTATGCTAGCAGTATGATTTTGAATACGTCGAAGTATCAACAGTCCAAGCCGGTTGGGTAGATCGGTGCGCTTAGAGCAAGAGCCACCAAGGAAAGTTCGAGTCACAACAGGTTAGTCGTTGGATATTAGCCATCAAAGGTAATATTATTGTCGAAGCCAGCGTGTACCATCTACCTAGTGCCGGTAGGAGCGATAGGCCCCAGATATTAAGGGTAGTTCGTGCTATCTTGTTCTGGCCTCATTTCTTCTCATTTACCGCTGCTAAGTGACCGAATTACAGTAAATTAGTGCAATTATGGGCAGCGGAGCAACTGCCCGCTATTATAAAATGAATTACAGCGACGAGAATGGAGATATCGCCCGTACGATCGAGCAAAATCAACCCTTGACCAGAAGCTGCTTCTCCTTCTTGATCTGCTTGACCACCTCGATATCGACCTTGAGGGTGTTGGCGACGGTGTCGGCGGGGGTCAGCGCCAGCCACTGGGCGAGTGAAATGTCCGCCACACGGTCGCTCTTGTATATTTCGATCCAGATAAGTTTCTCCGTCTCGGAAGTGTTCTCAATGTAGTGGCCTGGTTACATTAGTATTGATTCGAGAAGTGGTAGTTGATTAAATTTACTCACCACTGTTATCAGGGAAGACGCCGGTATCTCCTGCGCGGAAATCGAAAGTACGCGCCTTGGAGTCGCCCAGGAAGACGGTAGCGCGGGCTGTACCCTGGTGGAAGTACAGCCATTCCTCGGCCTGATCTTGGTCAGCATTCGCTTTATGAATAGGCGGGAACTGAAGGACGAAAATCATACGTTAGGGTGCCAGTGCAGCTCGCGAAGGCCCTTGGGCTCCAACTCCACAACGGCAGCGGCGAGGGTCTTGGAGATGGGGAAGTTGGTCGAGTCGATCTTGCGGAATGTGCCACCCTGGCCCGGGACAGGCTCGGGGTCGTGGTCGTACGTGTGGTACACGTAGGAGCTGGCGCCCTTGAGAGTGCCCTGGGGCGCGTCGTCCAGCTCCTCGCTGACGGTGCCGTTGAGGATGTAGGGGTCCTTGGAGGGCACCTTGTCGAACACGGACGCATCGACACCGAAGTTCTTGGCGAGGATATCCTTGGGGGTGTGCTTGATCCAATCGTCAACCATGAAGGTGGTGCTGTGGGTTTATTGTTAGTCTCGTGTAAACTCAAGAGGTAGTGGAGCGACATACCCAACTTTCTCGAAGTCACCGTCATCGAACGCCAGCAGGTACTCGTTCTCGTCTTCGATACCCTGCACATTATGTGCCACACCCTTGGGGAAATACCAGATATCACCGTAATTCAACTGCTCGGTGGTGAATTGACCGTTCTCGTCCACACCAGTCAGCAGAACGGAGCCCTTGTACACAAAACCCCATTCAGCCTGTTTATCATAGTCAGCGATAATTTCCCGTTTGGCTTGTCTCATGAGAAATACTTACCACGCGGTGCCAGTGCAGCTCACGGATAGCACCCTTAGACAGATGTTGCTGTGCTCCTGAGATATCATGGCTCTGGGGCAGGTCCTGAACAATTTGTTCCCGGCTCCAGCCTCCCGGGAAAATGCGCGCCTTGGAGTCAGAGAAACTCCACTTCAAGTTGGGTACCCAGCCGTCATCTGTGCTCTCCTGGCCCAGGTTGGCAGGGTTTTGCAGGTCAAGAGGCTTGTTGGTGCCGCCTGAAGACACCGTCGCGTTAGTCGTGATCGTAAAGCATGGAGGGAATTCTTCTTACCATAAATGGGAGCTCCTTTGCCTTCGCCGTTGATGGGCTGGCCATCCTTGAAGCCCGAACGCTTCCCAACTGCCGGTGAGGCCACAGAGAGTGTCGCAAAAAGCGAAAGTCCAAATAATTGACTAGCCTTCATGATGATGACCAAGATATCTCCCAACAATGTAGACGACTAGGACTTGGATTGGCATGAGAGAGCGCTAACAGCCTGGTATATATTTGCCATTCCATCGCGAGGGGTCGCTGTTCGGGATCTCGAAAATGAGGAATCACAACATTGACCCTGAAAATGGTGACTTTTTATTGATGTTGATCGCGATCTACACGACCCAGCGGGGATGAGCATCGCCATTCGCACCCCCATTCGGGAACGTCCCAAATCACGCCATTCAATCTTGTCAATGATGCCAAATTGGGACTTCTGGATCAAATCATATCAATATCTTGAGAAAAGATCAACCGTTTACTTCGCTTGCGACGTGAAATTCTAGAATTGAGCGATGAGGGGTTCTGGTGAGTGGACGCGATGGGGTGGATGACGAAATGCTTGGCATATTGTAGAAATCGCATCGCACCCACAGTGCGGATTTCCTGGATTGCCCCTTACGGATAGTTTGAGTCAATCTGGAAATAATCCTGCAGAAGCAAGAAGGCCCCTGCGGCGACTTTCGGCCCTGATGTCATTTTTATTGGCCGTGGGAGTCCCGTAGGGTCCGTATTGCATAGGCAAGCCTTGTTAGAGTAGCAGGCCAAGCACAGGGATGGTGGACTTTCGAGTCCACCAGCCCGCTCCTGGCCATGTGTCGATCAGTTCGCGCAGGCCCTAAATCCTGGGCGAAGCTTTGGTAGAGGCTATCTCTCTGGTTCCCCGTGGTGGGATTGGGAAGGTCGACTCCGACGCGAGGCTATTCCCATGTGCGATGAATCCATGCGTTGTACCTTTAGTTGTGATAAACTCGTTGCCAAACCAATAAACAACGACTAAATTATCTAGGTCAGGTCGCCGGAGCTGGACATCAGTTGGAGTCTGCCAAGTGTCAGCAATCCGACATCCCTGCGTTGACTGGTATACTGGGTCATCAGTCGACGATCAAGACACTATCGAGTTCGGTCTGTCCATGTGGTGGATTGAGATTTTGCTCCTAGTTCTGCTGTCTTGGATACGATGACACCATCTCTAGCCAAATATATCAGCTAGAAGGGCTCTGTTCGAGAGTCAGCTGGAGGCATGCCTATTCCAGTAACCCAGTGGTCGGTTTCTGGCGTGGTTTTTGAGGGGGGATTTGCAATCACGCAGATCGAAGACGTCTTATACCAATCTCCCTTCCCTGCTGTCGATTGACATAGTTTTGTATTGCGTGCTTTGTCGCATATCTTTCATGACGCCGAGTGTGTTCGTGGTGGACAGGACTTCGACAGGATGCGTCGATATCGGAAATGAGGCGCGATGATGAGATCGCTAGGGGGGCCTGAAAAGTGCATATATAGGTCCAGAAATTCTCTCAAATCCGCTCATTCATTGAGACAGTGAGGTCTAACATCCACTTCCGACATCATGCGGTCTTTTCTCATTTACTTAGCCTCTACGGTGTCCATTGGTGCTTGCCTTTCCCTTCCTCCTTTGATCCCCAGCATACCCGGGGTGACCGAAGTGTTGAACAACGTGGTTCCCCCTCTGCCTATTTTGCAGGTCCCAACCCCTGCTGAGGACAGCCCCCCCTTCACCCCAAGTGATATCAAGCCCAAGAAGATTGGTTACTTCTGGACCGGTGCTGGAGACAAGAAGCATAAGGACTTCCTTGCCACCTACAGCTTGGACGATGTATGATATCCCTAACACTCGCCGATTAATGGCCCATCTAATTCTTTGTAGGATACCTTCGGAGAGCTGATTTATGTCACCGATGTTCCCACCAGTGGCAACGATCCTCACCACCTTGGTCCCTCCTTGGATGGCAAGACCCTGGTCGGTGGTGGATTGCTATCCCTGCTGAAGACCCAAGACACCGCGTTCTACTTCGATACCTCCAACCCCTATCGCCCCAAGTTCAAGAAGAGCAACCGCGCCCTCCTGTCCTCTATTGCCGACGAGATCCGTGCAAAACCCGAGGGGGGTTTCTACATCACCTACATGGGTTCAGCCCTGGGTACTGCACCTGGTCGTCTTGTCGAGACCGACGAGGAGTTCAATATCATCCACGAGTGGCCCGAGGACGTCCCAGGAATCTTGAACATCTTGGATGAACAGTTTTCCCCGCACGGGCTGACCATCGATTGGGAAAAGAAGCTCATCCTGACGTCGGACTTTGTGGAGCCCATCAGTATTCTGAAGCCCAGCCCCCGAATTCGTCGTGCACACACATTGCGTCTTTGGGACCTGGACACCATGAAGATTACAAATACCATCCGAATCCCGAACGTAAGTTAGGTCACTCTTCAATTCCCTATTTCGGGTCAGCAATTAACGTTGGATTTCAATAGGGCGGCGGTATCCAAGACGTCAAGTTCATCCCCGGCAACAAGGAATCGGCGGCCCTGGCGACCGCGGTCCATCTCGGCCAGGTGTGGATCATCTACCCTCATCGCAAAGATGAGAACGGTAACCCAGGTGTGGCCGAGATGCTCTACGACCTGGGGGACAAGGCCCGCGATACCACAGCCATCTAGTAAGTACCACTGCCAGTCCGCATTGGTAACCTGCCAGTACTGACCATCCCCCAGTACGGATATCACCCAGGACGGTCGCTTCTTCTACCTTACCCTCACCACCGGCAACCACATTGCCGCTCTCGACATCAGCGACTTGTCGAACGTTAAGCGCCTAGACGACCCCGATGAGGACCAACCTACCATCGGACCCCACTATGTTAAGGTCACTCCCGACCAGAAGCACCTTGTCGTCACCGACTACTTCGTCCAGACGGGCGATATCGGCATCATCAATACCCCGGCTGATTTCAAGGCCCTTTACATTGACCTTAACGAGGACGGCAGCATGAGCTTCAACCGCACCATCGACTTCCAGAAGGAGTTCGCCAACCGCGGTGGTGCAAAGCCGCACTCCACCGTTGTCTTCGACCTTACGGACCCAGAGAACCCGGTGTACTATTAGCCTGTCGCCGGAGACTAATGGAAATCAACGTAATGTATGGGAGGCAAGCGGGGAGCTGGATTGAAACTATTTAGTAAATAATTAATATGCTCGATGCCTTTATGTGCACCGGCCTGCGGTGCCGAGTGAAACAGGGTATGAGTCTTTTGATTTTGGCCTCTATATAATCAGGAATCACAGGGTGAGATACTTCTTATCCACGGATTTTGACATGCATCACGTAAGTCTATTAAGTGACTCTTTTGGTCACTTTCTTCGCTCTAAATTAAATGAGGGCGCACAGACCATAGGCGTAACGACTCCTCCAGCCCTACAAGCATGAGATCCACGAGATCAACATCCCAAGGAACGGCAAGCGGGTGAGTCATTAGCATACTGCTCGGGCAAATTTAACCATGGGACAAGTGTCTTGGCCACGCCCAACTTGTCCCATGTCACTGGTTCCCAAGACACGCAGCGGATCTTACAACAGCAACAGCAGCCCCCGTTTGGAACAATGGCTAAGTGATTGACGTCGCGGTGGATATAACGTTCCATTGTTAATTGTGCACTGCCATCGGTGTCTCTAGTTTGCCTAGGTATCTACTTTGGGTTATCCCCACTATCTGGGTTCTTGGAGGATGGCAACAAATAAGGTTTTCGCAGATGCGAAGTATGACGCATGCCACGATCGCAGGCTCCATGCTGCAGATTACTGCCCAGATTCTTGGAGGCCTTTATCCGGAGCTTGTTTATTTGCTGGTGGTTGTGATCATGAAGAGGGGTTGAATATGGCATGACATGCAGTATGATGTCATGGGCACTGGTGATGACATATATGTACTGAGAATCGCCATGTTCCCCGAGCATGAGAGCATCCTTTTTGAAGGCTCGAATTCACCCAATTATCATCGTCATACTCTTTGAGCCAAGTTCAAACCATCATCATGGATATCGTGCAGAAGTTCGGCCACCTCAAGACCGACCCGAAGACGGGACGGCGCACCAGCTCCGCCCAGGCGGAGGAGGAACTGGCCTTGAAGCAGCGTGGTACGTTCCAAACATCCCTTCATATCTTTTGTTTAGAGTATTGGGCCTGACTCTCTGCTGGATAGCGTTCAACTATCTCCTGGGCAATTTTGGTCGCCCTGATAATGACCACCCGGACCGGAGATCTAGCGGCGCTAGTAACATGGCTGGCATGGTTTACGCTGCGCAGCAGAATGCCCGCGCTGAGAGGGATACTACTCCCTCTATCCCTGGAGATAGCCGGTATGTTGCTCCCCACTCTCATTTATATAACATGCCGCTAATCAGGAGTCACAGTAATGGGAGCCACGTCAATGATACCGCCAGTAGAGAGGAATCATCTTTCGACATCGATGATGACTCGGGCAGAGAGGCAGTAAATGATGGGGATGGAATCAGCCCCACCAATACTGGCCCTACGTATCGAGATACGGTCCCTCCTTCTTACAACACGGTCAACGAGACAACGTACTATCCCGACAATGCAGTCAGAGAATCAAGGTATTATCCCGACGATACGGCCAGAGAGACGACCACAACTGAGTATGTTCCGGGAGCACCCGGGATTATCAGACCCATTTGATCCCCCTGTAACCAGTGTAATTTCAGGCGTCGGAGGCGTTGGGTCAAGGGGCCTGCGTGGAGGGCTATCTCATGCTCCTAGACTGTATACGTCGGGATAACTCCATGATCGACAGCTCCACTTGTCCTGTGTTTTGTTTTGTTCCAACATTGTATAGTAACCTTTCCCGCTCAGTATAATGATATCACAAACCATGTTTAGTTGTTTAAATCTGTCTAGAAAGTCCGTGTTGGAGAAGAAGTATATCTAACTCATGAGGAGACCTTGTCTTAATGTCCATATCGGCACGGATGAGGATAGGTTGTACATGTCCATGGAACACGTACATTTGTAAAAAAAGAAAGAAAAAATTATCTTAATATACAATAATAAAACCATCTCAACCTCTCTTCCCGCCAAACGCACGAGCGCGATATCCCGCCTCGGAAATCCACGCTAAAGTGTCCTTCTCCTGCTCCGTGAAGTTGGCCGCGTTCTCCGCCGTCAAGCAGCAGATATTGTCCGAGTGCAATTGCCACGCCCCCGGGTCGCGCACCTCCCGCGGCTCCTGGATATACGACTCGAAGCGCGCGGGCTCGTTCTTCTTCCCGGAGTACTTGTTCGCGAGAAGCCATCCATTGAACCAGAGAGGTTTTCCGTCTTCATCCAGGTGGAGGAGTTGCGGTGCGCAAATGGTGTATTGCGTGGGGGTTTCGTCTTTATTTGGGTCCTCGCTGGGATTTTCCTCTGGTGTTAGTTGCGGCTCGAGGGTTCCCATGGTGGCTGCGTCGCCCTGGTGGAATGCGTAGTCTGTGTCGCCGACGAGTTCCCATCCCAACCAAAATGTTTCTTTGTCGCCTGGTTTCAATCAGCCGAATTCTTCCCGAGATAGTTTCAACGCATGAAGCAGACGAACCGTAAACCATGTCATAGACACCAACCCTGCCGGCTGCAGCATTTCCATCGCGGTCTGGCCCATTCATCCGCGCCACTAGGAGGAGCGCCACATAGTGCACCCACTTGTCAATCACTACGACCCCCGACTCCTGCATGTGTCCGCTGTCGCCTGTCCAGAAGCGGCTCTCAGTCGCCTTCTTTGAAATCGGCCGGGGGAGGATCTGCTGCATCCACTTCTTCTTCGACTCAGGCATCATGAACCGGTCCCGGAAGAACAGCGCCCCCGTCGCCCGGTACGACGGATGGTCGAAGAGATCTGCCGGGTTCTGGAAGAACAGGGCGTCGGCGTCGATGAACATCGCCTCGCGGAAGCTGGAGAAGAGGATCGCCCACGGCTTGCCGGCCCATCCGGCGAGTTTCCAGCCGCGGTCGGTCACCATCTGGCTCACATCGCGGGTTACCACGCCCGGGATGGCTTCGAGCTCGGCACGGAAGTCCTGGCTGAGATCACCGTCTCCCAGGTACATAACTTCAATTGGTAGGTCGCAGCCGAGCCGTCGGATAGATGGGATGGAGGTGAGGAGGAACGGGGCGTGGTTGTCTCCGGCGCAGAAGACGAGACCCTTCCCACCGTGGTGGAACTCCGCGTGGAGCGAGATGTGGTCGGGAAAGTAAGGCATAATCCACGGGAACAGGAGCATCGCGAACCGGGTTATAAAGGCGCGATACGCTTCGTATGCGTGGAGGACCTGCGTCACGTCCATCTCGAGCGCGGTGGAAATCCGGGGATCTCGTCGAACCGTCTGCAAAATGTCGTTGCGCGCGTGGACACTGCTGCCCTCCACAACTAGATGTAGGGCTTCCCACGCTGCGAAATGCTTTTTGAACGATCGTGTCCGTAGCCCTAACTCCCGCATCTTTTCCTCTCCCGTTCGATCGATCGGCCGCAGGAGGTCGCGGAGGAGGGCCTCGTCGGGGAGAAGGGAGATCACTTCGCGCAGGGCGCTTTCAAGCTGTGTGTTGGATCTGATGCCGTTCGTACTAGTCAAATCTCCGCTAGTAACAGGGTTTCGGGGTGCTTGAAGGGGCGTTTGGGGTAACTCGGCTTCGGGATCGTGTCGCGCTGGTCCGGGAATGGCGTGTGCGACGTCTTTCATGATAGCATCGGGCTTGAGCGGGCGACCGTGTGCGACCGTCAACGCCTCTCTGCGCTCTGGGTAAAACTGATCTGCAAAATTCACGTAGAAAAGCCACATTAGCAGCGCGACCACTATCAGCCTCAACGCTACGGCGCGTCGCCGTCGCCAGGAGTGCGGTCTCGGTCGCCACTCCATCTCTACCATACTGACGCCGTATGATCTGCAGATGACGGCTCTGAGAACAGTCTCACTCCGACAGAAGCCAGTCCCAGATGTATTGGCACATATTTTAGACTGATGTTGAGGAGATGGCGAGAACGGGTTCCTGGCGGAGAAGATGGATCTCCTGCACGAGGCAACAGCCACCAAAAAACCGAGCTTGGTCTAGTGTCCACGGTAGGAGATGTTACATGTGGTCTTGGATAGATCTCGACCACTGTGGACAGCAGCTGCATATATGTGAATATCAATTCAGTCAATTAGCCGGTGGCGTGCTGGGTCTCGTGTTCCGCCTCAGGCACCCCATCCGGCGCGACGCCACGACTTTTTGGTCGGTTCTTCGACCTATTTAGGGGGGTAAATGGGTGGTCGAGGCCTCCTGAGTGTGATTTTGTGCCTAAAATGCATCTCATTCGGAGTGAAAATTGTATCATGTCAGTGTGATTGCTGCAACATCCCTGAATGGTGCTGAGGGGCTGAGACTAGTGGATGCCATCTCAAACCTCACCAACGGGAAGTCATCCTGAGCGGCATTAGTCACACCCAGACCCTTGTCTGGTATTCTGGGATTTGGCCTTTGCATTACCAATTGGGTTTGAATGAGTAACTAGACAAAAGGATGCTTTTTCAACATAGCTTAAGGAACAGATTGGAAAGATCGGTGGTGGTAGTATCAGTGGGAAAGTCTCTGCTGTCGCACTGAAGATAGGGCTACTTACAGAGCCCAAAGTCCCATAATATATTTTTGTAGGAAATGTCTGACTAGAGCGTTTTCTGGTTGCCAATCATCCTTTTGTATTTGTGTATGTCCACTATTGACGCCGACTGGTTTGGATTGAATTTTCTCCTCCACCAAGGTACCACTGGGGCTCAAAATTCTCATATTTTCTCCGCTGTTCGGCCACAATGCAAGTGCCCTGACTTACAGGCCACACGGGACTTCCAAGCAGCCGAGGAATCAACAAAGCAAGCGATGCGCCACGGTTCCTGCATATTCTTTATCAACTCGGCCTGGAGCAAGAATATCGGTCGACACGTTTGCAGTATACACTCGTCGATCGACGCTTGTGGAAACAAGAACATTGGCCATGAGAGTTTCCATTTTAGTGACGCGCCCTCCCCTGTGATAGGAGTGTAAAGAAGTAATATAAAACAAGCATCTGATCAAGAATATTCATAAATATTGTAACTGATCTCATATATCACGACTAACTGTAATCTTGAGTTCTTGACTTCAACCTCGACATATCCGTGACTGGTGCAGGCATTGAGGACGTGGGGAAGATAGATGCGACGTATTCTCTCCTTCTGTGATAGCAGTGGTTCTAGGAGGAGGTCACATGGTCACCTCAGACAGTAACGGCCGACATAAGTCATTTCTTTTGTCTCGCATCTTGTTTCTTGTGCTCTTCTGAATCTCATCAACTGTGAGAATAGTTCTTATTATCATACCCCCTCTATCCAACTGTTCAACTAGATTTAGTACCGCTTCCATCAAGCCCGAGCGGAATCTGGCAAGAGCTTGCTGGGTGCGAGTTCCTGACACACTTCCCCCGACTTTCCCCCCGGACGTCGAGTGTTAGCCCTCGTGAGCATTACAGACAAAGGCGACTGAGCCAGCTCATCTTCGTGACTTCTTGCTACTCCGATCTCCGATGGTTGGCTCGTCCGCCCAGACATCAACTAACAGCAGCTGAACACCACAGCTATAACCGCAATGGGGGGAGGGGGACAATGAATCATTATCATGGACTGTCAGCTGGAGTACCTCGCGTGCTAGTTGTTCGCCGCCAACCCAAAAGAGAACAGAGTCTCCCACTTGCATTGAAATCTCAAGATCAGTATAGAACTTTGAAGGACATGGGAGCATGCAGTAATTCCCAGCAGATCTACTTCTTTGCAGAACATCACATCAGACAGAAGATAGCAATTTCACCTTGGTCTGCCCCTGACATCATACAACAACAAATATTTGTCGCTACAACAGGTTCCTCCCTCCCCTTTCTCGACCAATGGGCCGGAGCCGGCGAAGACTGGCGGTCAGCGCCTGAAACTCCTGAAGTATCTGCAGAAGAATACGTCCTACCCGAAATACAAGGCATATAGGCTGACGGAAACCACGACGTACAGGCTGGGGACAATGTACGAAGCAGACTATTTGAGGGAGCAGATAGGGCTGAACCTCCCCTCAATGCTCGGCATGAAGACTCCCCTGGCACAAATTGAGAATCAGCCCCGCAATCTGCAGTGAACGAGCTTTCCTAGAGGCTTGCAAAAAGCTCAGGTAATCACCATGAACGACGTCGTCCACGCGGAAGATGCTATTGCGTCTTTTGAATGTTCATCCGCCTACTGAAAAACACACAACCACTATCATAGAAGATGCCATAGTTGCTGTTGTATGAGATGTTGTTTTGATGGAAGTTGCCCTCCGAATACAGCAGGTCATTGAGGAAGGCACCGGGTTCCTGGGCAATTTAGCCACGGGAGTACTCGGTAATCGTGTGCCAAGCAGCCCTTGTGGTATGTAACCTATCCTTAGTTTCACTTACATTATGTCGCAATACAAGATGGCTGTCAAAGGGTACCTAAAGAGTTCGAAGGTGTCTGGATATTTTTTGTAGCCGAGTAGTATTTTTTGTCACACAACAACATCCCATCTATCTCATTCCATACACTACAACCCCTACCACATCATCATTCCCCTCGTCGGCGCTTCCGGGGTCGGTCATGAATGAGCATTAAATTTTTTGTTGTGGATTCCTTTGCCGCCTCAGGCATCGACCTCTCGTAGCGAGATAATTCATTGAAGCCCAGGGGTCATATACGGTTACGTAGACGGGTCAAAACAGCTAACAAGACCAAGGGGTCGAATCACGAAACTTCAGACATGATCTTGAAGGACAACCGTTGGAGAATAGACAAACTGTACGAGATGATGATTTCCACCCCGCAACGTGTCGAGAATACCGACCGTGGATCCGAGGTCCTGGGGCGATAGCGTGGCGATCGGCACGAGATGATTTCATAAGTTGCGCATCACTGCCGTTTCGTCGCGCCAGTGGGTCGGATGGACATGGGCTCTATCTGGTTTGGTTGGGGTATTGGCATAGGCTTTATTGGCATGGTAAAAAACAAGACCATGAACAGTCAGAAAAAAATTTGGCCGTGCTGGTTGTTGGTAGATGCATCCATCCGCAATGGCCCGACGTGTCAAGAGGGGTATCAGGGCACGTTGACTCGAACAGCCACGATCCTTCAGACAGACCCATCACCATGGGGTTTCTATGGAGGATTTCGGACCGGGGCAGTGGGTGGGGTCCCCAGATCAAAATGCAGAGTCTTCCCCGTACTTTCTTCCCCGACAAAGTTAAGATGAAGTGGAGATCCTTTCCTAGACGGGCCGTCGCAACGATTGACTATTAGGGCAAGCTGGATGTTTCCCCACGGTATGACATTATCTATCCCCGCGTTACTTCCCAAAACCCACATTCCATGCACAACCAAATGCTCTATCTCGCTCGTCAGGTGTGGGGTCGATCACGGTCCCCAAGACTTCCCCTTGTCGCCGCCAATACTTGCCGACGAGCAACCGCATTGCCTCCCTGAAACGGACGAGCTACGGCATTGTGAGATGTGATCCTCGGTTCGTCGATCCTCCTCGTGGGGTGGAATTTCATATGCTACAGACGATCGGTGAGGGGTTGCACGGAGCTGGGGTCGGCTCATTAAATCTTATATAGTGCGGCCCCCAATCGGTGGATTCAATCCTTCCCTCGATCTTTCTCCCTATCCCCTTTCTCCTCTTCGCTCTTTCCTCCCTTCCGATCAACCATGGCCACAAAACAAACCCCCCAGGGCTTCCTGGGCAACCTGACCGCGGACCAGGAGATCCGCCTGCGGCAGATGTGGGCGATCGTCCTGCGACTGCTCGACGCCCAGGCTCTCGGTGCCGCCGAGCCCTCTCCCGACCCCGGTGTCAACCGCCGCAACTCTACCCTCACACGTACTAGCACCGCCATCTCAGCCACGGCCGGATCCGTCTACACTGAAGCGCTGGGGAAGGCTTTGCAAGATGTGGGGGTCAGCTCGACCGAGATCCGCGCCGTGCGCGACGCCCTCACCGGCTTGACGACGGACGACATGCGCTTCGGCTTGTTGAGCACCGCCAAGTGCGACCACCCCGACTCGCTGCTGCTGCGATTCCTGCGCGCCCGCAAGTGGGACGTCGGCAAGTCGTTCTGCATGATGCTGCATGCGATGGTGTGGCGTATCAAGGACCAGCACGTTGACGAGAGAGTCGTTGCCAACGGCGAGCTGCACGCCCTTCGTCAGGAGAAGGATACCTCCAAGCCCGACCAGGCCAAGGCGGGCTCCCAGTTCCTAGCTCAGATGCGCATGGGTAAATGCTTTATCCACGGAGTGGATCGGCAGAGCCGTCCTGTTGGCATCGTGCGCGCCCGTCTGCACCGTCCTTCTGAGCAGTCCGAGGAAGTCATCACCCGCTACATTCTGCATGTTATTGAGATGGCGCGTCTCTTGTTGCTGCCACCGATTGAGAATGTCACCATCGTTTTTGACATGACGGGGTTCTCTCTTTCCAACATGGTATGTCGTCGTCTTTCTCCTTCGTTCCCTCTCTCTATCCTTCTTCCGTGTATGTGTGGGTCTGTACCTAATAACACTAGGAATACGCCCCCGTCAAATTTCTCATCGACTGCTTCCAAGCCAACTACCCCGAGTCTCTGGGCATGATCATCATCTACAACGCCCCTTGGATCTTCTCCGGGATCTGGCGCATCATCAAAGGCTGGATGGACCCTGTCATCGTTGCCAAGGTGCAGTTCGCCTCCACGTTCGCCGACGTCGAGAAGTTCATCGCCCCCGAGAACATTGCCCCCGAGATCGGCATGAAGGGCTCGAGCTACGAGTTCGTCGAGCCGTCAGAGACCGAGAATGACCCCATGCAGGACACGGCCACCCGCGATCGCCTGATGGACGACCGCACCGCCATCGGCGAGGAGCTGCTAATCGTGACGGGCCAGTGGATCTCGGCGCACCAGTCGAACGACCAGGCGAAGGTTACAGAGACGGTGCCTCGTCGGAAAGACGTTATTGAGCGATTGCGTGTAAATTACTGGTCGCTGGATCCGCATATCCGTGCGAGAAACCACTTGGACCGCACGGATATCATCCAGCCCGGGGGTCGGATTGCCTTCTATCCTGGGTCGGAGACCACGTCGGATACAGAGACGGCCAAGGCGATAGAGGTGGAGCATGTTGAGCAGGCGCAGGTGAAGGTTGTAAACGTGTGATACCATTTTCGCTTTTTTCCTTTCTTCTTATGTCTTCCTTTTTGTTTCTTTCTTCTTTCTTTCTTTCTTTCTTCTTTCTTTCTTCTTTCTGTGTCTAGATTATGATTATGGATTACGATTTGGTTCTATCATATGCTCTCTTGTAGACGATATGCATTCATCCCCTAGCATCTCTATAAATCACTACAGCCGTGCCATTGGTCCATCCGACCTCACCACTCCTAGGCAGGCTGGAGTAATATCAGCAACAGTAACACAACCCGTCAGCTGCATGCATCGTTTGAACTCGTCGTACAGGATGTCCAGTACCTTGGACACGCCATTCTCCCCGTCGTACTACTCGTCTTAGCGGTTGCTAGCAGATCAAGAAAAAAGAAAAGAAAAGAAAACAGGAGAGAGGGGGAGAGAGAAAAGAAGGAACAGAGAGAGAGCACATACCGCCAGCCCCCACGGCGTTGGCCGTCCAATCCAACAACACTGCGCCCCCAACGCCAACGCCTTGAAGATATCCGTTCCCGTCCGAATCCCCCCATCGATATGCACGGGGATCTTCCCCGCCGCCGCCCGAACACACTCAGGCAGCACATCAATCGTCGCCGGCGTGTCATCCAACTGTCGTCCTCCATGGTTACTCACCACCACCCCATCAACCCCGTACTCCCGCGCCAGGGCCACATCCTCTGCCGTCAACACCCCCTTGATCCAGATCTGCAACTTCGTCACAGACCGCAACCACGGGATCTCGCGCGCCCACGAATGCGCATCCTCGTTGAACGCCGCGAACCCCGCCACGTGCGTCTGCGCCGGGTCTTGGCCCCACGTCTGCTCCAGCATCGGCAGCGCGAGGTCCGCCGGTGTGCGAAAGCCGTTGCGTAGCTCCGAGTACCGCACGCCAAGCACGGGGCTGTCTGCCGTCAGGAAGATCGCCTTACATCCGGCTGCTTCAGCCCGCCGGATGATGCGCTCTTGGTGCGCGCGGTCACGCATCGAGTACAGCTGCATGGCGTGGCTGATGGGCGGGAATCCGGTCGCTCGTGCAGCCTGCGTGACGTCTTCGACCGCGTGGTTGCAGAAGGTGGATACACCCATCGGGACGTGACGGCGTGCGCAGGCGCGGCTGGTCGCGAGCTCGCCCGAGGGGTGCGCCATCGCTTGGAGGCCGGTTGGGGCGACCCCTAGCGGGAAGTCGATGCGTTGGTCCAGGACGGTGGTTGTGGTGTCGATTGGGGAGACGTCGACTAGAACACGCGGGCGCAGTCGGTATTTGTTGTAGGCCGTGGAGTTCTCGGCGACGGTGATTTGGTGGGTGGAGCCGGAATTATAGAAGTCTATCTTGTGTCAGTGGGCCATCGTTGTGTGGGAGAAAGGGATATGACCCTTGATTTTCTGAGGCAATTTCTTGGACGCTGCCTGCTTGATATCATCGACGCAGAGCATCATGCTCGGAGAGTTAAGGTCGGCCATGTTGACGGTGTCTGGGCTGGTTTTGCGGGATTTGCAGGAGTATCGCAAAGTCAATGCCTACCATTCGAGACGTTGACTTATATGTTATTCATTTTTATTTTTATTGTCAGATTCCCCCGCTATACAGAGTGGGGATCTCGCTTGTCGATGAATACGAACCCCTCACCATTACCTACATTCAGGTCCACATGGTGTGCGTGTCTACAGAAATAGCATCCCAGACGACACGGGTGAAGATATGGTTGTATTACAACCCAATGCGAAGTAGAATTGTAGCTTGGTATACCATATAGCGAGATACTTCTATCATATATATAACGCATTGGCCAAGCTCGGTCAACCACAACCATTTTTCTGTCTGTTGGTGCTCCATCTATTGGTATGCCTTATGAACCTCTGTAACCAGAAGCCCCTCCCACGGACACTGGTTTGCCCTTCTTCCGCCATTTCTACAATTCTTTAGAGATCCATCACTGTGCTAATGCAGTCAATCACCCTAACAATGAACTCTACCTATGTGCCTCGCGTATTCCGAATGCGCGCTCCTGGATGAACGCATGGCTGGCTTGAGGGCTGAGCCAAGTTGATCCTGGATGGAAAACGGTCTGATAGATTCCTCAAAGTTATACCACGATGTGGAAGTCCGGGATTGGCATACCTAGTTGGGTTTGGTGTTGGAGAACGGTATAGGTTATGAGGTGGCTTTTTCTAGCAGGGGTTGGAAGGATCTGTTGTCCTGTCGGTGAGACTGACAGGATCCGGGCGAGACAGAGTTGACCTTAACAAGTGGATGTAGAATTTGAAATAGACGTATCTACACATAGAAAGTTGTTTCCAGAAAATCATTGTCTACAATGACTGATGCGCATGGTTCAGAGTACAATAGGGTCAAAGGGTTATCTATCACCGGATTAGAAAGCAGTGATTGTCTAGTCGTCTATTCTACATGTTGGAGATTCTTTGAATTTATCCTAATTTCGTAATGTGTTCAATTGAACAAATACTGAAATCTATCAGGAATAAACACTGGACTACCCTGTGGTAGTAAAGCACAGGCGTTCCTGCCACCGACTATATATTGTGCCGCTATTCCTTCCCATGTCCGATTTCGACCGAGAAAAAACCACTTACATCAACCGATACAAGAAGCGGCGCAATTATTCTCTTGGGGTCGTTAAAAAACCATAATCTTCCATGGGATAGGACATCCATACAAGATCAGGCGTCAGTCCGACCTCACGATCGTGAAGCGCCAAGATGGTGATAAAGTTTGGACCAGATCCTCTCTGTACGACCTTTTATCCACTTCATTGGTTCCATCTCTACTCGTTGCACCGCAATGACCCAGCGATCGCGTGTCGTGAGCTAGTGTGCAGATTTTGATAATTTACGGACCACTGAATGATATAGGCATCTCATTATCCAACGACCAACAAATACAAACAGAATCCGGGATATCAACAAGACAGAAGCACGCTCCAACGCCATCCAACTAGAAGAGAAAGAGATCCCTACGGCTGGTCGGCTCCTCGCACGACCACCGCAGGAGGCTGTGTAGGGACCGCGGACGGTATCATGACGGGATCATCTACCTGCACGTTGGCGCCCAGCCCGAAATAGTCCATCTTGCAGAGGGGACAGCAGGCTCGGCGCTTGGTAAGCCAGGAATCTACACACAGCGTATGGAAGATATGTCCGCAGACCAGCGCCCGGATGCAATCCTCCTCGTCGAAGTACTCGATGCACACGGCGCATTGGTCGCGGGTGTCGTCAATCACGGGCGCCGCGCCGGCGCTGGCCTCGGCGGACTCGGGCGCGGCGTCTGGCCTGGGGACATCATCGTTTGGCCGGCCCTGCTCGTCATGGCTCTTGCGCGGCGACGGGGCCCCCGCCGTGTTGGGTGTCTCGGTCGCGGCGGTTCGGGTCGCGGTCGCGGTCGCGGTCGCCTTCCAGAGCCCATACTCGAGGGCGGGAAAATACCGATCCACATCCTCCTCTGTGATGACGGGTCGGATGCGGGCCTCGAGACGGAGGCTTTCCGGGTCTGGGGGGTCTTGTTGAGCGGCGCGGGGACGAGAGCGCCCTCGTATCGAAACCGCTGTGCTGTAGATCGCCCCACGGGCATCAGTTGAAGCATTCCGACGGCGACTGAAAGAAGCATACCAGAACCCAATCATCACCAGCGCCAATACCGGGACGATAAAGTAGTAGAATTCAATCGACATGGGGCCTTCATCGCAGGGGGCGTCGGCCTGCGGTAGATACTCAAAACTGTCCCATACAACTTGGCGCGATGGATTATCCCTGACTTTGCATGTTGCACACGATCCGCTGTAGGACCGCCGTGATGGAAATAGCGGAACGAAGAAGAAAGGGAAACCAAAGAGGAAAATAACCTAAGTCACCCTGGTCGGGGTCTGTTCTAGTCAGCCATGTCCGGACTGGCCATTAACCCCGCAGAGGGCACGGAGGAAATAATTCACAGCAACATAAGCAGTAGCCGCTGGGCCTTGCTGGGCCAGCGTACGCTGTGGTCACAAGTAGCCCCTGGCGCAGCCCCTAGCTGCTCACTGGTGCAGGAAAACCTATGGACCCACTTCATGGGCCCCCAGTCGCGGTCCGGGGTTTTGATATCGAGGGACAATGGGGCGGTGTTGCCCCCATCCGATCGCTGAGCCGTCCTCTCCGATCGCACTTACTATGTTTCTGGCCAGTCAAGGCTGCGAAACTCATCGCCTTCCTGGTAATATGACACTGGATAATTATCCTGCCAGCGCAAACCAGGTGAAGTCATCCTGATGACCGCGACAACCAGTATGCATAAAGCGGTTCGTGATTAGCGATTCCACCGGCTGAGTCAGTGGGCGTTAGTGAAACAAGTTAACTATGCCGAATCTTTCACGTGTTAACTGATCATCGTCCGAACCCCTATTATCAGGGTTGGAATCACTTTGAAAAGGGCTTGGCCGCGCTCTGATTGGGAACCATGATGCTTTTTTGGTGTATCTCACGAAATGACTAGGACATGAGGGCTACGGCGGTGCGAGATGTGGGAGCGGTTGGGCCGTGCTTCCCAGCCCTGACGTCACTCCGTTGCATCACATACCAGAACCGGGAACACAGCCTGCTAGCAGGCCTCGTTTGTCCTTTCTGGCACTCTCAGTTCTAGACTCACTCATATACTGAGACTTTTTCTGATTCCTGGTATCGTGGTTGAGAATGCTATCTAGAGCACTTCGACTACCCGTCGCCTTTGCCGGCGTGCGTGGCCCAGGGCGTCGCTCCCTGGCACACGTCACCAACGCACCGGATGTCCCAACGGTAAAGGATGGCTGCAGGCATCTCACCCAGGCACAAGGAACTGACCAGGTCATGTTTAGGAAGAGGACAAGACATTCTCCGTCCCCATCGCCGAGGATAGCTTCGAAACGTACGAAATGGACCCTCCGCCGTATTCCGTGGACATCACCAAAAAACAGCTCCGCCAGATATACCACGACATGACATTGATTCGGTTCGGCCCCTTACCCCACCTCGGTTCTCCTTGCATTCGTTAACTCGTGGCTAGACGGATGGAATTGACCGCCGATGGACTGTACAAGGAGCGCAAGATCCGGGGCTTTTGCCACCTGTCGACCGGCCAGGAGGCTGTGGCCGTCGGCATCGAGCACGCCATCACCAAGCAAGACAAGTTGATCACCGCGTATAGATCGCACGGGAACACGCTCATGCGAGGAGGGACGGTGAAAAATATCATTGGGGAGCTGCTGGGCCGACGGGGCGGGATCTCCTACGGCAAGGGTGGCTCGATGCATATGTTCACCGAGGGGTTCTTCGGCGGCAATGGCATTGTCGGCGCTCACGTCCCGGTGGGGGCGGGGATTGCCTTTGCGCAGCAATACACCGACAGCGGCAACGTCACTTTGGATCTCTACGGTGACGGGGCGGCGAACCAGGGGCAAGTCCACGAGGCGTACAACATGGCGAAATTGTGGAACTTGCCCATCATATTTGGCTGCGAGAGTAGGTGTCCCCGGTACAGCAATGCGGGGATTATGCTGACATTTCAGATAACCACTACGGAATGGGCACGTCAGTCGAGCGCGCGTCGGCCATGACGGAATACTACAAACGCGGCCAGTACATCCCGGGGCTACGCATCAACGCGATGGACGTTCTAGCGGTCCTCTCCGCCGTTCAGCACGGGAAGGCCCATGTCACCGCCGGAAAGGGCCCCCTCGTCTTTGAGTTTCTCACGTACCGGTATGCCGGCCACTCCATGAGCGACCCGGGGACCGCGTATCGCACCCGAGAGGAGCTCCAGAAACAGCGATCGAATGACCCCATTTCGAACCTCAAGGAGAGACTTATGGAATGGGGGGCGTTCTCTGAGGACGAACTGCGGACCATTGACAAGGAAGTTCGCAAACAAGTCGCGAAGGATGCCGAGGAAGCTGAAAAGATGCCGGTGCCGGAGAATACCCCGGATGTTTTGTTCGAAGATGTTTACATGCGAGGGAGTGAGCCGAACCAACGACGGGGGAGGACCATTGATGAGACTTACTACAAGGGCTAATGTCGTGTTAATTATAGTAATTTAATGAAAAGCGTTTTCTCTTCAATATATGTATGTATGTATATCAATTCTGTCTCCTCATCACTTTATTTTTATTTATCTGGGAATTTTCTTTGTGGTTATTTTTATGCATGTCTATGGGGCTTGGACCCCATCTTACGTCTACCACAATCTCGGATTGTACACAGCCCCAACCTGGCTGGCAGCCTGGTCGGAATCCTTACAACTTCCTTGGATGTGGCTTTCGTATCCGGACCTTTTTGGATGAGTCGTTAACCTTTCTGGACACGCATTTGTTCTGTATCCCGTAATTGAATTAATATCCCGTCAAATGTCTGACACGCGGTGCAGTCAAAAGATTCCTGTGCTGGTCAGTGATAGGCGAATCATGCTGGACATGAAAGGCTACAACATGTGTTCATAGGAAAGACTCCAGTCCAATGTGGAGCTGGACATTGGGCACCGCGCTACATTGACCGTGGAAGAAGCAAGCATGCAGAGGATACGTAGCTGCCCCACCCGGCATCAGCAGTCGTTCATGTCCCAGAGTTAGCCATCACACCATGTTCTGAGGGCCTCCATAACATCAACAACTCTGTGCTGGGAAGGTGGTCCATCAACTGCTCAACATACTATGCCAAGATGTCTCTACTGGTTGCCTGTCGGCGACTTTGGATCGCAATAACCACCCCGTTGAAAAGGCACCTGTCGATATTCTATGACTACATTTCCAGCCTCATCAGACCATTCCGCGGGGGGACGGGTAGCCGGTCAACTATGGACTACATGTACACCCCATTAATCCCCGCCTCTTATGACATCCGCCTAGTGACGCTGCTCCCCGGGCCCCTCCATCACCCGCTCCGCATCAATCTCACTACCAAACCACTGCTCCCCACCCCTCAACAAGATTCTCACCGATTGCCCCTAGGTGAGCTACGAAAGTCTCTCCCTGACGGATGGGAAGTGCACGAAACACTCGAAGGACGGATTGCCTTTCACCACTCGGCCTTGGATGAAGTATCATGGGATCATCCAGTGCCGAGCTTTGAACGAGCTCTGTATCGTACATCCGAACGAGACGATTCCCCTCTGTCACCCTCATACGAGGCACTGTCTTACGTATGGGGATCTTCCGATATGTCTGCTGAGGTTATAATTGTGTCGATGAGTGACCTCGATGAACTTCAGGGCATCGTACGCATCACTGCTAATCTAGACGCCGCCCTCCGCCATCTGCGATTTGAGGATCGACCGCGGACACTGTGGATCGACGCAATATGCATCAACCAAGGAGACTTAAACGAAAGATCCGAGCAGGTTCAGCGAATGGCCCATATCTACACCCAGGCGCAGAGAGTCGTGGTCTGGCTGGGAGAAGCTTCGTCGGATAGCAAACTCGCCCTGGAGAGATTGTGCCACCTCGGACGCCAGAATATCATCACCAAGAGCAATTTTGGGTTCCGAGCACCAGAGGCAGAGCACCCCGACTGGTGGTTGCCCTCCTTCGACATCCCCTTCGATGACGACACGTGGAAAGCCATCTCCAGCCTCTTGGACAGAGCCTGGTTTCAGCGCCTCTGGGTCTTCCAGGAGATCCAGCTGGCGAGTCCGCGCGCGGTGCTTCAGTGCGGACAAGACGAGGGCTCATGGGCGGATCTCCGTGCCTCAATCCTCTGCCTGAAGGAAAAGAACCAAACCTTCCTACCTGAGGTAGTCTCCAACCTCCGCAAACACTTCATGCTGTGTTTGGATTGGCGTGGCGAGAGCTTCCCTTTAATGATGAACTCAGTCCGGCGACGTCTCTGTAGCGACGAGCGCGACCTCGTATACGCCCTATTGGGGCTAATGACCCCTATGTTCGCCTCTTTAATCCGCCCCAATTACCGCCTCCCGGCGCGCGAGGTTTACAAAGACGTCTTTCTGGCCCACGTCAGGGCCACACAGCGACTGGAGCTGATCTCCTACTGCGGTCGCGGGGCTGAACTCGGCTCCCCGACCTGGGTTCCTAATTGGGTTGTCCGAGACCAATACGACCCAAACCGTGGACTGGCCAGCGGGATTTCCCCGGCTGTATTTTCGACCCCGACGCCCGACATTCTCGAGGTCAGTGGGGTGTCATGTGGTAGGATCTCCCATGTTGGCAGCCTCGCCGAAGGCGAGGCAGACGAGCGCGTGGAAATGGCCAGAACCTGGTACCGAGAGTGCATCTCCTGGCTCGAGGAGTCCGGCTTCCAGGGAAATGCCGACGTGTCATTCCGGGACGCGTTTGCATCCATGCTTCTTGAGGGCGGCGTGGGCGATGTCTACCCCGAGATTATCGGCGTCAGTTGTCGTCAATGGAGGGAGAAATGGGTCGCTTACTGCGAGAAGGACCGCAAAATATCTGTCGACGATGTCATGGCTGATCCTGAATTCTTCCGATGTGCACAATTGATCATTTGGAGTCGGTTTGTTGCGACAGCAGAGGGATACATTGGTTTGGTACCACGTGCAACTCAGCCTGGGGATACTATCGCCGTCTTCTTGGGATCCAACACCCCGGTTGTTCTGCGCCCGGAGGGCGATCGGCACTTCGCTGTCATCGGGTCGTGCTACGTGCATGGGCTGATGCATAGTGAAGGCGTGCTGGGCCGATTCCCGCCCGGCTGGAAGGGTATTTTCCTCATGGATGAGAACGGCTTAGACAGACCGTGCTATCGCTGCGACGAGTCGGACAGTCCGGATGGCACGGTCACAACAGAAGAAGACCCACGATTGGGACCTGTGCCCCCTCCATTCGAGCGCGTCGCGTCACAGCGGACACCTGATGATCCGACCAACTTTGTTCGATTTCGAAACTGCGAGACAGGGGAAGTTGTTAATTACGATCCGCGATTGACTCCAGAAGCATTACGCGGGAGGGGAGTGAACGTGGAAACTTTCCACCTGGTATAGAACAGATAACGTACATATCGGTTGCCATGAACTTGACAAAACGTATACATTATAAGCGTGAAGTCGGTGTTTATCAAGTGATAGTCGAAAGTACTACTAATATACGGACCTAGGAAATGCGATAATCACCATGAATTTGGCGATATCGCTGCGAACATGCCAGAATTCCCGCCGGTGAGACCTACGTCGCTCAATAGACACTTCCAGGCTCCATAGGCTCAAACATGCAACCGAAAAGCAGGTGCAGTGGCCGCACCTTGTTGATTTTTCACTGATAGAGTGGATCTGTTATAGTCCAGCCCAGTCTGATCCCACTAGGTAGAATTACTCTTTACTGGTTGGGCAGCCACGCTAAGTCTCTGTTAGGCTCTGGCAGGGAATTTTACTGTTGAGCCTGTGGAGAGGGCAAAGCACGTCTAAGCCCCACCACAGTCACAACGGCTAACACCTCGTTGGATGTCGCCCAGTCTCATTTGCTTTTCACAATAATCATCCCTGTTGCACTTCGTGTAGTGGGATTTGTTATGATGAATGAACCAAGGGATCAGGGTCCCCAAGAAATGGAACTCCTGGCCAGCACGGAGCAAGGTATAGAAAACCCTATCCTTGTAATCCCCACCTCTCCAGACGAAGAGGCCACGAACGACACGAGCCGCGCACCACCCATAATACATGAAGGGGTCTTCTGCGATGGGCCATCTTGTGGCAATGATTCCGACCCACACCCTATCCAGGGTACACGGTTCAAATGCGCGACATGTCCAGATATGAACTTTTGCATGGATTGTCTGCTAGATGACGCGAATGCTCACACCAGAACACATCCGCTTCTGAAGTGTACCACACCATCAGCACTTCCTAGGTACCGGGAACGATTGAAAGCTTCCCAGACGAAAAACAAGCCAAGCAAGGGAGACCACCCGGTGCGACGGCACGAGTTACACAGTATCCGCTTTGAAGGTATCCAGAATCATGTCACCCAAACGATGTTGAGTGATGTAATGGCACGCAAAAATCGTGAAGGGATACATGACCCCGCGGTCCGGCAGATGGTCGAAGAACTAAATCATGTCCTCTCACGAGTGGGCAGAGAAACAACAAATGCCCTAGATGTCCTGGAGATGGACCGACCTGATAAAGAACCCCTCACGAGCGAGGTAATGGACAGAATCGCAGTCTCCTTTGTGACTGACGATTCACCACGGCCTGGGCAGAAGCAGAGTTCACTGGCCAACGCGAATCAGGAGGAGAAGTGGTCCCAGTATAGGCACCATCATTTTGTCCGTCGATGGGGCCTGTTCAGTGAGGATGATGGACGAGACGAGGAATGGTGGATCGAGGATCCGGAGATATTCGACGAAGAGGATTCCCGCTATCTCTGCGAAATGTGCCGTCATATTAACTTCAAGGCACTGTTCACCCAAAGAGGCCTGCCAGGCAACACCGAGCCCGGGCCAACTGATATCACTATATACGGGCTGGAGCACGTCATGGCCGGCAATCGCGCATGTGCATTCTGTCGGCTCCTACGAAGATCATTCACGGAGAATGGGTTGCCGGCCGATGGCGGTCGGGAAATCTTCGAAGGACAGGAGATAACGCTCAAAATTCTTGACGAAGGGCCAGAGTATGGTCTCCGGCTAGAGATATCGCTTCCTCTCGGTCTTACTCACGCCCAATATCACTCGCTGCCTCCCGTTCTGATTCAATGGGCCGAGGGTGGGGATGAACAACATCCTGGAGGGCGAGTGATACGGCAAGAATATACCGATCTAACGCTTCTCAAAACTTGGATTGACACCTGCGACCGCTGTCACTCCGTCCAGGACGACCAGCACTCGACGGATGTGCAGGAAGACGCCCTCCAGCTCCGTTTCATCGATGTCCACGCAAATCGCATCGTGACACCCGAAACACTCCCCCGATACGCCTGCCTATCGTATGTCTGGGGAGGTGTCAGTGGGACCCAGTACACATCAGACACGAGAGCCGACCTTGAGGCGGAAAACGGGCTGTACCATGCGTCGGTGACGCTGCTGCCCACCATTCGAGATGCAATGAAAGTGGCGAAAGCAATCGGGATTGACTACCTCTGGGTTGATGCTCTGTGTATCCTTCAAGACAACGAAGAAGACGTGGGCCGAAACATCGCTGGTGCAGGGTTAATCTACAGCGGCGCAGCGCTGACTATTATTGCCTCCACCAATTCCAATCCGAACCACGGTCTTCCTGGGGCTAGCACCGTGCCTCGGTCAAAGGGCCAGATCCGAGAGACAGTCCAAGGGATGTGCTTGGCCACGGTATTCCACAACCCTCGCAGACAACTGGAGGACATTGAAAAGACGGTATGGAACACTCGCGCGTGGACATATCAGGAGCGACAGCTGTCCCACAGAACCGTGTACTTCACCGAGTCGGAAATGGTATTTATGTGTCCCCACGCGACTTGTTTTGAGGACACCGTCCCAGCAATGAATCTCAACTGGAAACCATTGGCGAATAATGATCTCCTCAATTCAGACCCCCGGGGGATCGAGTTCCAAATATGGTCCGACCCAACACAGCGCTGGTTTCCGAACAAGGCCTTTGAGACAAGTGGTGGCAGTATAACTATGGTGGCAGTCGATGCGGACGGGCAAAAAGAGCGCGCGCCATGCTCCGATCCTGCCCCATTATACCGCATCACTCGACTCTCCGGACCGCATCTGCCCGGTCGACTAGAAGATCATGCTGAGGCCATGACCCCATGGAAGAGATACACTAACGCAGTGAGCCAATACACAAAACGGATGCTAAGTTTCGATGAAGATGCCGTGAGGGCCTTCGCTGGTATGAGGGGTTTGATCGCCAGAGGGGCCAATACGCGATTCTGGTACGGCATGCCCGAGTTTGCCTTTGATCGAGCATTACTTTGGTACCCGAAACAGCTCGTCGAACGAAGAAGGCAGGGTGAACGCTCGTTGTTTCCCAGCTGGACCTGGGCTGCATGGCAAGGCTCTATCCACTACAAAGGCAAGGGGTGGCACAACTCGCAGTACCATGGACCAGCCTCGGTCATCAATTGGTACCAAAACCTGAGTCGGCAAGACTTTCTTTCTCGATATCCTATCGATACTAACTCGGGACGCCCCATGGAGGAGGTGATCGAGGGGTCGAAGCTTGATCGGTTTCTTTCTTCACTGGACCCTGACGAGGTGAACAAGGTCACAGACCCGTCGGATGGCTGGATATCGCAGTTTGACGAAACCTCCAACCAGCACTATTATACCCATAAATCATACCCAGGACTCAATTTTGATTACCCGGTTTATCTTCCGGGTCAGGAAGTCCCAGAGCGGCCGGATCCCGAAGGGGTTGTGTACTTCAATGCGCATACCGCAGAGATTCAACTGTATGATGTGAGTAGTACTGTTGGCTCCGCACCAGAGCCGCCCCGGGATAAATTCATCCAGATTGGGTTCCATGACGAGAGAAGATCAGCAAACTACCGCCCCCCATGGAAACGCATTCTCTACCATCAAGGCTACCGATGTGGCTTTCTTGTCCTCAATATTCCGTTCGACGATATTCAAAACGCCCCCGCGGACGGAAACTACTATCTTGCTGCCATCTCCAGAGATTCTCTCCCCGAGATCCCCACCCCTGGTAATAAGGGCTTGGCATATAGGGCGCTGGATCCACGACAGGCCCAGTACTTCATATACAAAGAGAGTCAAGAGGACGACCCGCTGGCTTCATATGACGCACCTGATCCCACAGCACCACCCGATGCCCTACCCAAGTCAGAAAACGGCGATCCCCATTGGGATGAAGGGCGATTTTCGACATCAATGGCGTTTCCGATGTATAACGTACTTCTACTTCGAGCCAACGGGAGATTTTCGGAGCGTGTGGGCGTCGGCAAGATTCACTTCCATGCATTTCACCTCGCTTCTCGCAAAACTAGTCTCATCATGTTGAAATGAGACTGGTCGCTCTCGACCGGTGACAGGTTGGGACAAAGTAGGAAACCCGTTCATTGTGTGTCAGAGACAGGTATATTTAGACTGTGCTCATTATCTGTCGGTGTTCAGTCCGCGAGTGACACATGCCGTCCAAGCAAAACAGGGTCACACCTGCTTGTTATAATTGCCACTAGGTGGATGCACCAATTTGCGACCCCTCTCACCAGTAGTCTGCGGGAGAGCCATGATTGAACTGCCACAGACCCGGGCAAGGATCTGGATCCAAGAATGGACTCCATAAGTAGGTTTATCATCTGGTCAACCATCCCACGGGCTAGCGAGATTTTGCGGGCTGTGCCCATCATCAACCAGGCGCTATATATCTGAATAGCCATTCATCTACCAGCATTCCAATAGAGAATAAATATATGAATTGACCACTGGCGAGGACATGACATTACGAGTACTCAATATACTCGTTAACAACAGTATGGTTCATCAGCATTTCGGTCATTGAATGTGAGAAATCGTGACCAAGAAGCATCATTCCTCAATCTCCACCATTCAACCCATCCGCCAGATCAGAAAATACCCAGGGACCGATGGATTGATACAAAAAGCCAGTACCACGGGAACAAGTCATGACGACGAAAGAAACATGTCGATGGCTTGCCAACGCGCGATCTCCCATAGATATGGATTTGACGCAACACTGACCAATGAGGACAAACCGGCCTGTCTTGTTTTGAAGTCTGGTTATCAATAGAATGTACATCGCCTGGAATGACTATCAGTAATTTCGTGGTGGAGAGTGGTTGTTGTCCAGTATTTACTCATTGGGAATCAGCCCTATACCATACAACTGCACCACTGCTGCCACCATCACAACTATCCTACAAGACAGGATATACACGATCAGGTCGCCGCGCTGTAATTGCTAGTGCATTGAAGCTCCGCCGTCGTAGGTTGCGCATATATGCCCTTTGTTCTGGGGCGATATCATTATATGGATGGTCCCTATCGAGTGGTTGGTACATTCGAAACGTGCCCATTCCAATGAACAAACCGGCCACACAACCGACCAGGGCGACGAAGACGTAAAGGGAGTACTTTGAAGAAGCGCTCATAATTGTTGTCCTCGGGAATATTGCGTGCAGAGAAGGCTCATCAATTGCAGGGATTCACTGGGTTTGGTCCCGATGGAGGTTATGTAAAGGGACTAGGCGATGTGGACAAGGGGTTTTTATATCGCCAATGGATCCTCCCGCGTAATATGATAAAGTCTGGGGACGATGGCATTTTGGCACAACACCCTCTCTCTGTTGCGGCGAACGTAAAAATAGCACGCCGAGACAGTATTCCGGTCCTGGCTTTGCGGTGGGTGCAACAGCTCGCTTCGAACAGGAATAGTGCTTATCTCGAACGCTTTTCCCCCTCGAGTTGGTCTGGCACAAAGGAACCGACTAATTACACCTAAAACTCTCTGCGATTGTTGTATCAGCCAGCCCACTTACATACTGACGTATCCTGTCCCGAGGCTTGGTTGGTGACACCAGCTTGGCTACTCCGTCCGACTCTTGGCCCACTCAGGCTACGAATATTTCCAGGAACATGCCCTATCATATCGTAGTAGAGCGACAACGGTGTCGATCCATCGCGGGTTGCTCAGCTCCAAGGCCTATCGGACCCTCTTTCAGCCCAAGAACAAAAAGCAGTTCACCCGCCTCACGCCAGATTCACTTGATACAGATACTGCTCCTCGGGCCGATAGCTTACCGCCGCAGTACTGTATTGATCATAGTGATGAATAGAGGGTATCTCTCCTAGTCGGGCTCGCATCGAATGTTCCTCTCGGGGCCAGGGGTACCTGCATCCCGTTATTTCCGCCGTTTTCTCGAGACAGTCCACAAATGGAGGACAACCAACGGATAGACGTGTTTGTGGGACAGGTTTCAGCCAGGAACGGGCCAAGACCCTCAAACCTCGCTACATGCGCGTTTCATTGGACTGCTCAGTAATGGCAAAGGAACATGCGACGCGACAGCCACACCCATGGCCGTACGCTGGGCACGCAGCCATGGCTATGCAACTTTACAGGCCAACACACAGACTCCAAGTGATGGAAACAATGAAATGGGGAGGCCTTCTAGGTTGATTGCTCGGGAGTGATATTGTTACTGATCAAAACTATGGATCGAGCGAAACCAGTGCAGAATCCAAGCAGGTGTGCGCGAAATATATCTTGGCATTTGGAAGTTCGGAAGTAACTTTATTTCTAAGCTATGCATATACTTGGAGCAAGCTGCTACCATTTGTTAGCTTATCTTATTTTGACGATTCGACCAAACCACCATTTGGAGAGCAATAGGCCTGGATATCCAAATATGTAGCCAGGTTTTGAAACAATTCTCTTTGTGATATTTGTAGAACACCATTTGGTATAATTGGTACTTCCGGCTCGCGTTTTTGCACTTGGTAGAAATACGAGATGGTAAGTTACATATATTCTAGTCCACTCCGTTCAGAGTTCAGTTTCAGGAAGTAACCGCGCTTTAATGTTACCTCATAAAACTACATCAATTCGACAGTCGTTTCACACATGGCAGACTCTCGGTTTTTTTCTCGAAGGGGCTAAAGAGAGCTACTATAACAAGGATATATCATAATCGTTGCTTGAGCAAGAGACTAGCCCACCTCATGGGCAATGGTGCCGTGTGCGACTTCATCGCTCACTGGCATTTCTTCATAGATAGGGCTTTGAGTGGCCGACAAAAAGCCATTATATATATACTCATGAGGTTTGTATCGAGATCTAAACGAGTGCCCATGTGCAGTATGAACAATTAAGCCACCAACAGGTGCCACAAACGGCAAGAGCCACACTGCATCCAAAACCATTCTAATTCCGACGAGCCAGCTTTACCTCGATCCCACTCTGCCGAACAAAAAACTCATTATGTACCTTCCACTCCCTATCAGGATGGACCAGGCTGATATCATAACGAGCCACCAGAGTCGCCATCACTTTGTACACCTCCAGTAACCCGAAATGCTTCCCGATACAAACGCGACTGCCCCCACCAAAGGTCAAATCGGCATTGTTCATGGTACGCAGACGCGCGAGGAACTCTTCTTCAGTCTCGCGCGCCTCATCCCGAAGCCACCTCTCCGGGCGGAACGTGTCCACGTCGGCGCCCCAGACAGACTCGTTGTGACTGACGATGTACGGGTTGAGTCCAACCACTGATCCGGCGGGGACGTACTGCTCGTTGGGGAGGGTCAGCCCGCCGTGCGGAACGTATCGCTCCAGGTTCATCCCGACTGGGGGGTGGCATCGCATGGCCTCGCGGATGACGGCGTTCAGGTAAGGATACTCCTTGGATGTTTTGTAGGACACGACGGGTGCATCTGACGCGGTGTGAGGGGCGATCTCGGCACGCAGGCGTGTCAAAACTTGGGGGTGCTTCAGGGAGAAGTATAGGGCTGCGTTGAGGACGGCGCCCGTCGTGTCCGCTCCGGCGATCATGTTAATCATGAGGTAGGAGATGATCTGCATGTCGTCTACGACGTCGGGGAACTTCTCCTTGGCTTCAATAAATTTGTCCAAAAAGTCGGGCTGACTGGGATCATGGTAGTGGCTGTCCTTGCCCTGGAGCCGGTCGGTGAGATGCTGGATCGAGATATTGGTGATGTTACCGAAGCTGGGAGGCCCGATCCGATAGATGGGGTTTTTGTCCAGCAGATGGTCCAGTATCGGGAGTTGTGCGACCAGCGTGAAGTATTTCATCGCGGCATCGGCGATGCCCAGGGTCCCGTCAAAATCACAACCATGTTGCAAGTATCCGATGGGCTGGCTGAAGGTAGATTTACCTACCACGTCCCAGGTATCTGGGTGGCGTCAGCCAACAAGACGCCACTGGATTGATCATGAGAGTGCCAACTTACAGTATGCAATCCACTCATCCAAAGCACATGCACTGGTGGCGCTGGATTCGTCGACAAAGTTCTCCTCAAGTCTTTGACAGAGGTACTGTATCATCTCGTCGATATGGGGCTCCAATGGGAGCACCCCCGTCATGGAATAGTGCTTGGAGATGGGCCGCTTCTGTCGCGCATGCACCCTCGGCTGACATTCACTGAACAAATTGTAGATGATCTTGCCATTGCTCATGGCGCTACTTCCATGGTAGAATTCGGTCTGTTCCAGGTTAATTAAGGGCCATCCACGTACGGGACGAGGGGGTTCACTTTAAGGTAGTCGGCCTTGACGTTATAGATGGTTTTGATCAACTCGGGATAATCCAGGTCCAGCACGTTGGGCGCAATGCGCACCACAGGCCCGTACTTTTGATGCATCTTCCGAATAACAAGGTGGTAATTTCCCTGCCGTGCGTGATGCATTCGCCAGAGATTCGTTAACCCTATTGCAATCTCGTCAGTGCAACGTCCCTATCTCCAACCGGAATCCACCAGACTCCCCACCCCATTGGTTTCACTTGGCTTACCTGCGAGAAATGGGCCGGGGAATCGGCGCAGGGGGGAAAAGAGATAGGTCGTCAAATACCACAAGGGCAGGGCTGCTAGAGACGCCCAGAGGAGCAGAGAGGCCCCATCTCGGACTCGAATGGGCCACTCTGAAGCGATGAAAAAATCCATTGGAGTCATGGTACGACGGTAGATGTCTGGGTACTTCCTCAGATTCAACGGTTTTCTCAGATGAACTCAGACAAAATACTGACCACCTTGTCATCATAAATAGACGACCATACCCAGATGACCCCCCTTCTCCCTAACCGCGACTACCACTCGACGAATCACCGGGTCTGTGGTCTCTCCGATGGGGGGGTCCATTGTCGCGGCACAATGTCTTGGTTCGCGGCATGTTTTGTGGTGCTTGGCGTGCAACCACAGAGGTGCCAAAGTACGGTCGTGGTGCCATTCGTCTAGCCACTAGGCCACTAAACTGGGCCCCTGTCACGAATCCAATGAAGCCCGGTAATTCTCTGGCAGTAAAACCCATAGCGCGGACCGGAAGTGTGTGCAATCCTTCCCCTCCGCCAGGTGTGGGTCTACGTCCTGCCGTTGAAAGTTGACAGTTGACCTGTCGAGTGCACGGCCATGATACCGTTGGATCCGGTCCACTACGTCTGTGCTAGTGTCCGCGGGCGGGGAATTCTTAGCAACATGAAAACAACACGTCCCAGGGTCCAATGCTCCGTACGAGCGCCACTGCTAGGGTATGGTGGGTCCATCAAGTCGCCAAAGTCCGACCCAACAGAGTGTCACTTAACACCTCCCTGTATCCCTCCGATGCCGTAGTCGACGAGGTTATACTGGGTCCAGAGGGGGCGATTAAGGACGGACCGCTAGCTAGGACCTTTCTCTTTGATCAGGATTATCCTGGCTCGCACCTGGACATATTTGATTTCTGACAGCTCACAGGGACCGGGGAGTCCCTTCAGTTACATATGGGGGGTGTGGAAAGGCATCACCACCATGATCTCGCTATTTCTATTCCGTATCTCCGTCGCGGTTGGTTCTAGTGCACAGGCTTTCTTACTGCAGCACCGTCCCCTGGCGATCCTGTCTCAAAATGCTGGAGGGAAAAGGAGTTCGGGCGGTGACAGTGATGTGGGTGATGGCCTTCCTCTCGTTTGTTATGGTTCCACTTCGGCTTTATACCAGGATATACGTGAATAAGGCCATCGGCCTGGACGATCATGTCTTCACGTTGGCATGGGTGTGTCTTCCACTGCTGAAAATTCGTCTCCTCGAGGGAGAGCTGACCACGCTCTAGGTCTTCCTCTTTCTGTACACCATCTTCGTCACGATTGCGGGTCATCACGGCTTCGGTCAGCCCATGGACTCCCTGCCGGTGGACGAGGCGGTCAAGGCTGTCTACAACGAGATTGTTGGACAGACGTTTGCGGTACTGGGCATGGCCATTGCCAAAATCTCATTAGGCATCTTTCTGCTCCGCATTGTTGTCAAGCAGTGGCACCGCATCTCCATCTGGATCTCCATGGTCAGTCTGGCCCTCATCTCCGTTTTGACGGCCATTCTTCTCTGGGCGCAGAAGACCCCGATTAAGGCCACCTACGACCCTCGCGTCCAGGGTCGCCTCGTCGTCGCCATCACGCCATTCTCCATCCTGCTTGGAAGTGAGTCCGTCTAGATTGGATTCCAGTCGGGAAATAGTGCGACGCTGACATGTCCTGCAGGCTGGTGTGCAGCGGTGGATTTCTATTTTGCCCTGCTTCCGTGGATCTTTGTTTGGAAACTGAACATGAAGTTCGCGGAGAAGATTTCCATCGCCTGTAGCTTGAGTTTGGGGTTTATGTATGTTTTTCTTTTTTTTTTACCCTTTCCCTCTTTTTTACCCTCTTTTTTTCTTGTTGCCTTTCTCTGTGTCTTATTGTCTTTTCTTCCCATATAATCACTTCTCTTGCCTCATTTCTCCCAGGTAATAACTGTCCCAGTGCCTGCGTCTGCGGCATTATCAGAACCATCGACCTGAGCGGCCTCGGCAGCGCCAATTACACCGGTAAGACACCCAAAGGGAACCAACCGGTCATGAATACCGATCTAACGATCATCTCATCCAGAGGACACGGTTGGTCTTATTATCTGGTCTGCCGTGGAACTGGCAGTCACCCTGATCTGTGTTGGAGTGCCGACTATCCGTCCTCTGTATCGCGCCATCGTCCACGGGTCGCGTCCGGAGAGTTCCGACCGACGGTATATCAAACACAGCGAGTCAGACCATTCGTCGCGGTTTCGCATGCGTGCCATCATACCCGATGCGTCGCTCTTCACTACCGTGCGCGATGGGACGACGGTGTCACATATCGCCCCGGACGACCGCAGCGGCGGCCAGATCCTCCCCGGGCAAGAGCACTATCCTAGTGATGGCATCCGTGTGCGCGAGGAGGTACGAGTCGAGCGGGTGTAGACTCTTCATCGCCTTGTCGTGTTTGCTGTTATTCGTTTGTTGCTTGTTGTTTCACACTGTCCGAGCACCTGGGTTGGCGTGGCATATTGTGTGATTTATCCACGTGTGCGACTATATAGAAATTATTTCAGGGATGTCTCGATCTTCTGTTGATGACGTGTGTTGTAGCAGGGATTTTCTTCAATTGAAACCAGCGTCCGTTATCTGGGGTTGGGACCATCATTTCCCTTCTGGGTGTTGATGAAGCCTGTGATGCGGTCCGAGCGGTCCGATCCGCGGAGAAGACAACAATGCCCTGGGGTAAACTGGTGTCAAGTATGGGGATTGAAAGAAATACCACGAAAAGAGCAGGAAATGGGATATGAGACAGTGTAGATAAAATTTCCATGGACGAACGATGTCTGGGGCATAATCATCAGCTGGGGGCTGCAAGCAAGGTTGTCCGATTGACGAACAACACAGCGTCAGGATCAGGCGCGATCCCCACACGAGTCACTGCAAGTCTTGGAGATGCATCGGACCGATGCCCGTTCACGCCTCATATAGATAAGGCGTCATCGGTTAGGAAATAAGCCAGGAATCGACCGCCATTCTCTGAATTCTTCCAAGTACATAACACATACCATGACTTCATACTCCGCCGTTCCCTTCGCCGATCCGGTGTGGCTCACCCGCCAGTACAGCCCCTATTACAACGACTCTCACCGTCGGCTCCAGCGCGAGGCTCGCGCGTACGTCGATACTCACATCCTGCCTTTCTGTGACGAGTGGGAGAAACAGGGCGAGGTCCCAGCCGAGGTACGTCTCCCCCAGCCATCCACGAAGTACATCTCCTGTCTGACGAATGCCTCCCCGGTCGCAATAGGTTCACCGACGCCATGCCGATCTCGGATACACGGCCGTCGCATCGTTTCCCCTCGCCGCCGACTATCTCCAGGGCCAGCGCCTCCCCGGCGATATCGACCCGCGTGAATGGGATGGCTTCCACGATCTGATCGTCATCGATGAGCTGGCTCGCTGCGGATATCTGGGCATCATCTGGGCGCTGGGATGTGGAAACTCCATTGGCGGACCGCCCGTCATTAACTTTGGAAACGCGGAGCAGAAGCGTCGCTTCCTGCCAGATATGCTGCGTGGCAATCATAGGTTCTGTTTGGGCGTCACGGAGCCGGACGGTGAGTGTCCTCTGTCGCCAGGGAAGAGGAATACGTGCTGACCGAGGACAGCTGGCTCCGATGTTGCAGGAATTACGACCACCGCGACGCGAAAGGGCGATGTGTATGTGGTGAACGGCGCGAAGAAGTGGATTACAAACGGCATCTTTGCGGATTACTGCACCGCTGCGGTCCGGACGGGGGGGCAGGGCGTCCAGGGCGTGTCGGCTCTGGTCATCCCGCTCACGTCCAAGGGGGTGACGCGTCGCAAGATTGACAATTCGGGTGTTCATGCCAGTGGTATGTTTCATGAAGTTATCAAAGAGGACAATGGCTGATGCGGACGCGGATAGGGTCGACGTACATCGAGTTTGACGACGTGGAGGTTCCCGTCATCAACCTCCTAGGACAGGAGAACCGAGGTTTCCCAATCATCATGAGCAGTAGGTCTTTTGCCAAACAGCGTTGGACCGGTGACTGACATCCGCAGACTTTAACCACGAGCGCATGTGGCTGGCCTGCACCTCGCTCCGCATGGCCCGTGTCTGCCTGGAAGACGCGTACATCCACGCCATCACTCGCGAGACGTTCGGGAAGAAGCTCATCGAGAATCAAGTCATCCGATCCAAATTCAGCACCATGGCCCGGGGGCTGGACTCGACCTATGCTTGGATGGAGCAGCTGATTTACATGTCCGAGGTGGCTCGCAAGAAGGGCACGGATGCCGCCATGGGCGGTTTGTTCGCCAACCTCAAGGTCCAGGCCGGCCGAACGCTGGAGCTGGTCAACCGCGAGGCGCAACAGGTTTTGGGCGGGTTGGGATACTCGAAGAATGGTCGGGGAGCCCGCATCGAACAGGTCAGCCGCGATGTGCGAGTGATGGTGGTGGGAGGTGGCAGTGAGGAGATCCTGTCGGAGCTGTCGGTCAACCAGGAGATTAGGGCGATGAAGAAGATGGACCAAAGTAAACTTTAAGGAGACATGTCATATTGGATTTTTTATACACAAATTTGATGACTACTGCCATGAGACTTCCACGTCGTGACATTTGCAACCTAGACGTAGCCCTACAAGGACTATCCCGACAGTGTACACAAGTGAAGAAACTACTCCTATCACTCGGATCGAACATTCACTAGACTAGACAAAATGTACAGAAGAACAATCAATGTCAAACCGAATAATAAGTTCAATGAAACCTTCTAGCTTTAAATTAATCAACAGAGCACAGTATCTTGCCCTCCTCGACCGCGTCGCCCTCCCTCCACGTCGTCTGGAATGTCCCATCCGCACTGACCGTGATGGCCACCTCCATCTTCATACTCTCAATGACCATCACATTCTCTCCTGACTTCACAGGCTCTCCAACCTTCTTCAAAATTGACAGAACCTTGCAAGGCATTGGGGCCGCCACCGTCTTCAGCTGCGATCCGTCCTGCGCGGCGGCCACTGACCGAATGCTCTCTACCCAGGACAACACGCTGTCCCGACGGAACTCCATATGCGTGCCAACCGCTGGGAAATGACAGAAGATGCTCTGCGTCGTATCTAGTCGGAGTCCGAGACCGTCGGGCCGGACGGATGGGATGGCAATTTGCGCCCGCTGCTTCGACCCGTTGATCGACACCTCGACGCTGGCCGTCAACCACGCGTGTGGGCTTCTGTCATCCGCGATCCACGAGTTCACATGCACCCGGTAGGGTGTCGTAGTGGTTGCGGCCCCCGATCGGAGCGTTTCACTAATGGCGTTGTACCGCGCCGAGACCTCACCTGCAGCCGATCTCTCCTTGTCTGCGGGCTGACTGCCCGTCGGGGGGGGAAAGGAGTATATCTCGTCTCCCCCAGCCGGATCTCTGGTTGCTTGGGCCTTCCACAGCCAGACCAGAGATTGCAGAGAGGTTTCCCCGTCAGGGAGTTGATACGGCCACTCCACGGCGCTCACGACGTCACAATGCTTGTTTACTGAGTCATGGTGCTGGTTTCGGAACTGACGCCGGACATTCTGGAAAGGCCGCTGACGTGCGCGCAGCGCGTTGGACGTGGCCAGATGGCGAAATACCACGCTTGGCAGCGCAGAGAGAATCTTCAAGTCTGGTCCTCCAATGGTGGGTGCCTGCAGCAGTTCGTCCTGGTACGTCGGCAAGAACGACGTCGTGTACCCGGGATTGTGGAAGGCCGGGTGCAGTAGAGACCGCTGTAGGAGAAATTGGTTCGTCTTCACGCCCACGCAGGCCGTCTGGGCCAGCACGCGGGTCATCTTCTCAATTGCCATCGCCCGCGTCGGTGCCCAGACCACGATCTTGGCAATCATCGAGTCGAAATAGATAGACACAGAGGATCCCGTCCCGACGGCGGTCTCGTAGCGAATGTCGCGACCCGGGCCCAGCATCCCTGGTGCCGGCTGCCACAGGTAGATCTGGCCGTGCTCGGGGAAGTAATCTCGCCGGGGATCCTCTGCGCAGAGACGACATTCGATGGCATGGCCCCATTGAGTGACGGTCTGGACGGCCGACAGCGCAGCCAAGCGACCCCCGGCGGCCACGTACAGCTGCAGCGCCACCAGGTCCACCCCGGTGACTTCCTCCGTGATCGGGTGCTCTACCTGCAAACGGGCGTTGACTTCCAAAAAGTAGAACTTGCCCGTTTGCACATCAAAGATGAACTCCACGGTGCCGGCATTTGCATACCCGATCTCCTTGGCAATCGTGACGGCCACCGCGGACATCTTCTGCCGCGTGTCATCGTCCAGGAAGGGACACGGCGTCTCCTCGATGACCTTCTGGTGTCGTCGCTGCACGGAACAATCGCGGTCAAGAAATGAGACCACCTCCCCGTGCGAGTCTCCCAAAATTTGGATCTCGACATGTTTGCTGCGCTCGATGTACTTCTCTAGGATGCAGTCGGCGGAACCAAACGACCGCTGTGCCTCTGACTGCGCTCGCTGTAGCTCTGCTCGCAATTGATGCGCCTCCCGGATGATACGCATGCCCTTTCCACCACCTCCTGCCGACGCCTTCAACATCACAGGCAACCCGATCTCCGTCGCGGCCTTCTCCAGGTCGCCTACCTCCTGGCTGGATCCTGCATACCCGGGAATCAGGGGCACTTCGGGCGCATGCGCGCTCAAGTAGTCCTTGGCCGCGCGTTTGTCGCCCAGCGTCGACATGGCGCTAGGGCTAGGCCCAACAAAAATCAAACCCGCCTCGTGCACGCGCTGGGCGAAGTCGGCGTTCTCACTCAGGAACCCGTACCCCGGGTGGACGGCGTGGGCGCCTGCGGCCACGGCCGTCTTGACCAACAGGTCAACATCCAGAAAGGGGTTCCGTCTACTGCGGTCGATGCTGCCGAGGTTGATGGATTCGTCTGCTTCCTGCACGTGGCGGGAGAGAGCGTCCCTGCGCGGTTCGATTAGTACACGTAACGAAGTTAAGGCAACGGCCCAGGGAAACTCACTCGTCCACGTAGATGGCTACCGACGTGATTTGCAGTTTGCGGCACGTCTGGATAATGCGACAGGCGATTTCGCCGCGGTTCGCGATCAACAATTTTTGAATGACGGGTCGACCGTCGCGGTTCAATGGCGGGGGTGCGACGAACAGCGGGCTCCGCACGGTGGAGGCATCTGGTACTTGCATGCCCGACATTTTGATGTTGGTGTCGGAGGTGTGTCTGCCTGTGGCGGATTCGGGTGTGAGCTCAGACGGCACGTAAATAACCCCAGTACTGGTTGGGTTACCTCATCTGTGAGGCCCGGACTAAGTAATGCGTCGTCACGATCTAATCCGTTCGCGCCCGCTCCGCATCGGACCGTAGTCCGGCGATCGGTCCGCCAGGTGGAGCTGCGGATATCCCCCATGGGGTTGTGAGGCTATCCGACTTACGGATTCAGAGGACGGTATATTCTATCCGACAAGCGAAAATGATCTAGGGTATCTTTATGGTTAAGTCATACATAGCGCCCGATTAGGAATGGCCGGGCTCACTCCAAGTCGGTGGTATCATGGCCATGCGCCGCATACGAATACGCTAAAAGACAAGTACAGTCATCGAAATTGTCTATATTGGTAACACGAAGTTCACTCTCAGCTATGAATTATCAAGAACGTCCTCGTAGTATCACATAGTTCCTCTACATCCTGGCCAGCAGATTATGCGTCGACGTCCCACTGACGCCAGGCAACCCGACCACCTCCAAGCACAGTCCCAACACATCCCGCGTATCTCTTGGGTCGATGACCCCATCGTCGATCAGCATTGAGCTCGTCGAGTAGCACTCCCCATCCCGCTGCGCACTGTCTCGGAAAGACTGCACCCGCTTGCCCAGCTTCTCTGGCGACAGTACCTCACCCTTGGACTTGGCGCTCGATCGCTGCACCGTCTCCATCACTCCAGAGAGCTGGTCGGGACCCATCACACTGCACCGGCCGGTTGGCCAGGTGAAGATAAAACGGGGTTTGTAGGACCGTCCGCACATGGCGTAGTTCCCGGCGCCGTACGAAGCCCCCAAAATGATGGAGATGTGAGGGACGGTGGAACAACTGACGGCGGAGACCAACTGCGCCCCCATCTTGATGATACCGGCATGTTCGGCTTTGGCTCCGACCATGAACCCGGTTACGTTGTGAAGGAAAACGATTGGGGTATTCCTAGAATGACCCTTCAGTAACGATAGGTGGGCTCGCAGGAGAAGACGGGCTTACTGCTGGTTGCACATCCGGATGAACTGGGCCGTTTTGACCGCTTCAGTGGGATTGATGACGGATAGTTGATTGGCAACGATGCCCACCGGAAAACCTGACCTTGTGTCAGTCCCTAGTCCCGGTTGATTGGGGAGTGCCGTCTTACCTAGGATATGGGCCCATGCGGTGATCATGTTGGTACCATATTTGGGCTTAAACACGGATAGGCGGGAGTCATCCACAATCCGCAGGAGGACCTCGTGCATGTCGAATGGCTTGCGGATGTCCGGGTTTACCAGCGACAGCAGATCCTCCACTGGGTAGCGAGGCTCCACGGGGTGGATTTGCGTCGGGACCGACACTTTTCGTACGTGAAGGGATGCGACCCACTCGCGGGCTTTGCGAATTGCATCGAATCTTGGCTCATTAGCCTCTATCACTGCGAAAGGCGCGAAACAAAGCACAAGATCAATAAAGAAAAGGAACGTACTCGTCACTGGCAATCTGGTCCGCCAGGCCGGTCGTTGTCGCATGGACCTTCGCACCGCCTAGTTCCTCCGCCCCAATCACCTCCCCCGTGGCCATTTTAACCAGGGGGGGCCCTCCGAGAAAGGCTTGCGCCTGGTTCTCCACAAAGATGGTGTAGTCCGACAGCGCGGGGTGGTATGCCCCACCGGCCGTGGATGATCCAAAGACGATGGCGCACGACGGCTTGCCGTGTGCTGTCCGGACGGCGAGATCGCGGAACAGCATGCCTCCCTTGTGGAAGACTCTGAACTGTTGGGGGAGGAACACCCCAGCCTAGATGGTAGGTTAGCATATCATTTCCTAGACGTCAGTCAGCGAAACTATACCGATTGGACCAGAGAGACCAAAGGCAGATCGTTTTCGAAAGCCACCTCCATCATACGGTTGACTTTCAACACCGTCATTTCGTTCCAAGCCCCACCACTTTGAGTAGGGATATGCGACATGAGAAGACATGGTCGACCACTGAATAGACATCAGTCCCAACAATCCACAGGAATAGTTGACGGCTAGCATACCTGACTGCCCCGATCCCAGCAATTAGATTGCCGCACGCGTTCGAGTCGGGGTTTTTGTATCCCGCGAACGCGCACAGTTCGAGGAACGGTGAGTCGGGATCCAAGAGCAGCGAGATGCGATCCCTGGCTATACGCAGTGTTACCACTTTGGTCACGCGACCGACTATAAAATTCCATACCTAAGAGCTGGCCTCTCGACTGGTGTCTCCGCATAGAGTGGTCGGTGCCCTCGGCGGCGACCTCCCCCAAAGCTGCTTCGAATCGCTCCAGCACCGGCGCCCATGCGGTTTCATTCTGGCGGAATTGCTGTCCGCGCAGATCAAGCTTGGAGCTGGAGACGGGAAATAAAGACTCGCTGGCCATGTTGTGTGTTGGTTGCTAATTGACGGTCAACGAGGATAGTAAATACGGTGTCTCCCCAACGTCACCAACGGAGGTTGTTATGCATCCGCATGTCGGACCGACCCCGGAAACCCCATGGACCCCACCCTGCACCAGCCAGCGTCGGGCGGATAAATGGTCCAGGGCGTCTAGTTGATCTATGAGAGTCGCAGCACGACATACTATAGCTTTTCTTTTTCAAATTCTATCCTACTGTGTGGGTTCTCGATTCTCCCCCATTGACCAATTCTGCCTGGTGCACTGTTTTTATCCTACCAATCTTTTTCCTCCAGCCCTCAATCATGGCCTCAAAATCGTCCTTAATCCATGGCCCTCAGCAGCCTGCGCTGTGGAATACGAGTCTAGGGCGCCTGATTGACGACCAAGGGGCGCGCTTCAGCGACCGACCAGCTGTCATTGTTCCATGGCAAAATGCCCGTTTCTCATATCGTCAACTGTGCGATCAAAGTAAAGTAGTTGCTGCAGCACTGTTGCGAGTCGGCCTTCGCCATGGTGATTGCGTTGGTGTGATGGGAGGTAATCGCCATGAATATGTCGAGGCGTTCCTTGGTGCCGCGCGCATTGGATGTCCCGTTGTGGTGTTGAATAACACATACACGCCCAAGGAGCTGGGGAATGCTGTCGGTCAATCTTGTTAGTATCCCTCTCCGACGGGTTAGAAATGCTCATTTTAATTAGAGGTAGCATGCAAACTAGTGTTTATCGCCTCGCATATTGGCACCCGCAGTCTGGGCGACCATATCGCCCTGCTCCGGGGCAAAGAACAACTCAACCCGATACTCCCAAGTCTTCAACGTGTGGTGTGCTTTGGGTCTCAGCAAACTGACAGGGTGGGTGTAAATATCGAGAATTACAACACCTTATTATCTCGTGGCACTCCTAGAGATGACAGCCTTCTAGAGCATGCACAAAATGCCGTGAGCCCAGAAGACGTCCTGAATCTGCAGTTCACCTCAGGCAAGGGTCCCTCGCCGAAATTCCTCGACATCCAACTAACTTTCGCTGATCGATAGGAACTACGGGATCTCCCAAGGCGGCCATGCTCACCCATAAGTGTGTTTCCCCTTACAACCCCCTCCGTTAGGGATGAGACTAACAGCGACTCAGTAACATTGTTAACAATGCCCGGTTTGTGGGACGCGCCATGCATTTGACGCCTGATGATATCATCTGCTGTCCTCCACCCCTCTTCCACTGCTTTGGCCTGGTCATGGGTTTCCTGGCCTCCTTCTGCCACGGCAGTGCCATCGTGTTCGCATCCGACAGTTTTCATGCCCCTAGCGTGGTCGATACCGTGGTTGACTTCGATGCTACGGTTCTCCTCGGGGTGCCGACCATGTTCGTCGCCGAGCTGGAGATCATGGCCAAAACCGGGCAAAAACCGCGCCGTCTGCGCACGGGACTGGCCAGCGGGTCGTCTGTCTCGCAGGCTCTCATGAACGAGCTGCGCGCGAAGATGGGCGTCGACAAGATGTTGATCGCTTACGGCATGACGGAGACCAGCCCGGTGACGTTCATCTCGGACATGGATGACTCGGACGAGAAGCGAACCACCACCGTCGGACGTCCCATGCCGCACACGGCGGCCAAGGTCATTAACCGGAAGGGAGAGACACTGCCCCGAGGTCATCGCGGCGAGCTGTGTACTAGCGGGTATGCCTTGCAGAAAGGGTACTGGAAGAACCCGACCAAGACGGAAGAGGTGATGAAGAGGGATGCGGATGGACGGTTATGGATGTTCACCGGAGACGAGGCCATGATTGACGATGAGGGATTCGCGCTCATCACGGGCCGGATTAAAGACATCATCATCCGAGGTAAGCTTTTGCTCCCTCTGTCGCCCGCGAACTCCGTGCACGAACTAACCTAATACAGGCGGTGAAAATATATTCCCCCGAGAAATCGAGGAACGCCTGGTCGCTCATACCGCTATTACTGAGGCCAGCGTGGTGGGCATTCGCAACAGCCGATATGGCGAGGTCGTCGGCTGTTTCCTCCGCGCCATTCCAGGACAGCCCCGATTAACCACTCCGGAGGTGCAACAGTGGGTTCGCGACATGCTCGGTCGCCACAAGACTCCTCAACATGTATTTTGGCTCGGCGACCCGCTGGTGGGGGAAGATTTCCCTAAGACAGGGAGTGGGAAGCATCAGAAGCACTTGCTTCGCGATATTGGGAACCGCGTTGTCCGTAGTGAGCAGGGCGCCAAGCTGTAGCCGCCTCTTTCTTTGGCGTATCCTTCGATTAGAGATCCCAATTGAACAAATCAATCCATATACCTTGGCGTTTTCAGAATTATCGTCACCATTCTCGTGTTATTCAAATATCCCAAATGGACCATTGATAGGATGCACATGCTTGGATGTCACAAGTACATTCATCGGTCCGGCTGTCGGACGCCTAACCCGTGACGGAATAGATCGACGGTGGATCCAATCCTCACGATCACCACGAGAATAAGACGGCGGTCCGTTTCCCCGCAACTTTCCCCTTCATCGGTTAACGGAGAAGCGCGCGTATGACATACAAGAGAACTGGATACCATGCCGCCCAGACCCTTCCAGTCCCCACATTCTCAGTTCCTTCCATGATGCATCCGCCTTCGCCCGTCCGAATCGTTGAGGTTGGTCCTCGCGATGGGCTCCAGAATATTCGTCAGCCGATTCCGACCACTGCTAAGCTAGAGTTGATCCGTCGATTGCGAGAGACTGGGCTACAGACGATCGAGTTGACGTCGGTGGTGTCTCCCCGGGTCATTCCCCAGCTTGCAGACTGTCGCCAGGTGCTCCAGAATGCCGCCGTCCGACAACTTCTGGACGATCGAGGCCTGCGCCTTCCGGTTCTTGTCCCTAATGTGAAAGGCCTTGAGATTGCCCAGCAGCATGGGGTGCGGGAAGTCGCGGTCTTCGTCAGTGCCACCGAAGGCTTTAGTAAGGCGAATATCAACTGTTCGGTGAACGTTGGAATCGACCGTGCTAAGCAAGTGGCCTCCATGGCTCGTGCGAGCGGCATCGAGGTTCGGGGGTATGGCCATTAGACCCTCTCTGTTGTATTCTTGTTTTCTTTCCAAAATTTACTTTGCCGTAGTGTGCCGATGGACTGACTCTCTAGATACGTTTCGTGTATATTCGCCGATCCCTACGATGGTCCGACCTCCCCCTCCTCCGTTCTTCACGCGGTCAAGGCACTGCTCGATATGGGTTGCTACGAAGTCAGTCTAGGTGATACCTTGGGTGTTGGTGTTCCAGAGAATGTGCGCACTCTTCTAGAATATCTTGTGAGCCATGGGGTGCCTCTGGACAAGCTGGCCGGTCACTTCCACGACACGTATGGAGGCGCTGTGGCCAACGTCTGGGCTGCCTACCAGTTGGGCTTGCGCGTATTTGACAGCAGCGTTGGTGGCCTCGGAGGCTGCCCGTTCGCCCCTGGCGCCAAAGGCAACGTGGCGACGGAAGACCTGGTCTACATGTTCCAGCAATCCGGGGTCGACACCGGGGTAGATCTCACGAAGCTGGCAGAGACGGGCACGTGGATTTCCAAAGTATTGTCGAAGGAGAATTCCAGTCGCGCTGGGGCTGCTTTGGCAGCCAAACATAACCTGGCCACCAGGAAACAACCCAAACAGGCTCGGGACCGCTCCACGTTGCCATGGGCTCTGGTTCGCGAAACCGAAGGTCTGCTCCTCCACCGCTCCGGAGTCAATCTCAAAATCATCCTGAATCGGCCTCGCAACGGCAACGCCCTCACCGAGTCCATGATCTTGGACCTCACCACCGAGATCTCGGCAGCAGGTCGCGACCCCACCATTTCGCGTATCATCATCTGCGCCCGCGGGAAGTTCTTCTGCACGGGCATGGACCTGGCCAAGGGCAGCACCCCGGTTGCCCAGGGCTCCTCGGCGCGCGACGCACAGTTCGAACGACTGACGACCCTCTTCGAAACCATCGACCAATGTCCCAAGGTGACCATCGCCTGTATCAACGGACCTACATTCGGCGGCGGCGCGGGTCTGGCGTTCGCCTGTGATATCCGGTTGGCCGCTCAACCCGCCACCATCACGCTGAGCGAGGTCAAGTTGGGCCTCTGCGCGGCCACAATCTCCAAGTATATCATTCGCGAGTGGGGCGTCGCGTTCGCCCGTCAGGCCATGCTCTCCGCCCGTCCGGTACCCGTGGCGGAGTTGAAGGCCTTGGGTGTGATCGCCGACGTCGCAGAGAGTCCTGAGAAGCTCGAGGTTCGCCTAGAGCAGTGGCTGGGGCGGCTCAAGATGGCGTCTCCTGACGCCTCTCGAATGTCCAAGGAACTCGTGCAGCTGGGCTGGGCGCACGCGGGCACCGACGAACAAGCACAGGGCATCAAGGGCTTGTTTGATGCCATGATGCGACCCGAAGCGGACGGGTCGCACGGGGTGAAAGAATTCCAGGCGAAACGCCCGGTAGACTGGGATGCATATGCGTTACAGCGGTCGCAAGCCAAGGCGAAATTATAACTTCCCCCTCCAAGTGATGGTGAAGGGAGAATCTCGCAGCCGAGGAGGCGAGTCCAGGGACCGACTCCACTTGACTCGTTGACGGGCGAATCGACGTGGTTTCAATTGACTTCGGTGCTCCACTCCTGGCAATAGTTAACCGTCACAAGCCATACAAGTAGATAATAACCCAGTTAGACTCAAACCTGAATAATAAGATTACCCAGGTTGACCTAGCCTTCTTCCCCCACAGAATCCATTCAATGTTTTTCGTTGGGTCCATTCTCTCTCCCCGCTTCTCCTCATTTTGCGCTGCTGCCTCTTTCCCTGTCCTTCGTCCTCCACCGCTTCTTTTTTCCTCCCTTTACCGTCGCTTCCCCATATTGAGTCCCAATTAGAGGTCATCGGTAACAATCAATCCATGGCCCACCGTTACGTCGACCCCTCCTAAAAGTCCGAGAGGCTTCATCCCCGACCGCTCACTATGAATCCGGATTCATTCCACCACGGCATCACCAAGCGCATCCGACAGGCCTGCGCCAGTTGCCGGTATGTCTGGGTGCCCGGAATCGGTGTTTTTTTGTGCTGATCGTCGCTCTTCTTCTTGTTTCCTTCTTGTATCAATAGTCGCAGAAAAACTAAATGCTCCGGGGAAAAACCGGTGTGCTTCCACTGTCGCCGCAACCGACAGCGCTGTGTTTACGAGCCCTATTCGGCAACCGTCACGACCACCGACAACAACCCCCCTCCGCCGCCCATGTCCACCATATCTGATGATGTTGGTCTTCTCCGACTCCCGTATCAGTCAGATGCTCACGGTCCGTGCCAGGGCGGTCTCCTGCAGAGAATCTCGATGATTGAGTCTCGTCTGGCGGAGCTGAGTGGCCAACCGGTGCAGCAGCAATGGTTAATCTTCCATCATTCTCCGACCTTCCGATAGGGACTGACCCTCATCGACTCGTCTCTAGGCCCGCACCCTCCCAGACAGACTTCGACGACACCCATATACTACCCTCGACGGGGCGGCGCAGTTCGCTGCAAGCTACTCCTCCCCAGTCCACGACATTCTGCAAGGATCCTTTGTACGTGAACCACCTGTCATGAAGCATGGTGCGCGGCCATCGAGATCGGGAACTGATGCTCCATCCATCTTCCAGCTCGTTCCCTCCTTCCCCCGTCATGCGATCGGTCATCGATACCTACTTCATCCATGTTCACAATCAGCCGTATTCGTACTTCCAAGAATCGTCCTTCCGCGAGAAATTGAAAAACCACGAGTTGCCCCGATGTCTAGTCCTTGCTGTACTCGCCTCCGCCGTCCGATTCTCGGCCCACGATTTCTACGCGGGCAAGACCCATGAGGCCGTCGACACGTATGCGCGAGAGTCGTGGCTCTCGGTGCTGACGGACCATTTGACGGTGGAGAACAACCTGGATATCGCGGTGGTACAGACGGTGAACATGCTGGCCGTTATTGACTACACCGGTATGTCCGCGCGCGCCTTCATACCCCTACCCTCGGTCTGACTCCAACGCCCAGCCGGCCGCGCTCGCTCCGGTTGGCTCAAGATAGGAATTGCCGCCCGCATCTCCCAGGACCTGCGCCTCATGACCGAACCCGATCATCCATCGATATCCTTCACGGAACAGGAGGAACGACGACGGACGTTCTGGTCTGCGTACTTGGTGGATAAACTCATCTCCGGGTGGCAATCTCGACCGTTGGCGATCCACGACGAAGACTGCCATGTCCAGCTGCCCTGCGACGAACAAACCTTCCAAGCGGGAATGGGGAAAAAGACCCAGACACTGTCCCAATTGTCGTGCTGGGACTCGAGCTTGGCCGACAGCCCCAGTCCCTTTGCGCTGGTCATCCTCATGGCATCCATCTTTGGGCGGTGCACGCGATATGTCCATCGCCAATGGAGCGCCGATAAGGTTCCTCCCTGGGATACCAAGTCCGAGTTCTCCGCCATCAACTCGTCGCTGTTGCTGCTAGAATCCTACTCGAAGTTGGGAACGACTTCCATCGCCGAAGCCGCCGGCCACGATGGCGATCCGGCTAATCCGCAGCAGATGGGCCACTTCATCTTCGCGCACACCATGTTCCACCTTTGTCACTGTTTGCTCAACCACCCATTCATCGTCCACCTGCGACTCAAGCCGTTCGGATCCAAAATCCCCCACAGCTTTCCGGCGCGCGCCCTACACGCAGGGTATGACCATTCTAAACAGTTGCTGGACCTGCTACACAATGCAATCGAGTCGGGTTGTCTCATTGAATCCTCGTTCTACCCTTATTGCATCGTTGTCGCGGCGGGCATCCAGTCTCTCGCCTGCCATGTGGAGCCCCCCGGGCCAACAGACCCTTGCGCGGCCACTGCCCTCCATTATGTGCATCGAGCGCTAGAGCTTCTGGAAGGAATGGGTCGCCTCTGGTCGCATGCGGCAAACATGGTCTGTTCCGTCTATTTCCCGGTGGTCCGTGGTGTTACTGACTGTTTTAGGCCACCCGCCTCCGCGAATTTCACTCCCAATCGCATCTCCTTTCTTCCCTCCTCGACCCATCCCACATCACGGTAGACCTTGACCGTGCCTCGGCTGACGCCTTTCGCACACTGATCGACTATGGCGCCGTTGGCGCAGCTCCTAATCCTGGTACACGCGTTATAGGAGCGGACGTTTCTCCCTCCGCCGCGTCATGGAGCACCAGTATCCTAGCCCCGACGGACGCCTTCGATGGCTCTACCCAGGGTTTCCCTGGTATGTCGCCATCCATGCAGCTGCCTGCGATGGACAATCTCTTCAACTGGGACACGCACGGCTAGGTTGTCGGAGCTTGCTAGAATGGGTAAACAATTAGCGAGAACACGCATACCTTATCCTCATCATGTCAGGGGACCACAATGCCCAATGACCGGTCTTATGCAACAGGATGATCCACAACACCTGCGGTGATTGCAACACCGTTGAAGAACGCCGTGCGAGAAACGCCTCGCGGTCTCGAATGGTGTGCCGTGCCCGTGTCCACAAGATCAGCTAAGCCTGCATAGCCAGCCATCCCTCTTGTCCTCCCGACTCCAACAAGGCATCGGGCCATCCTTAGTCGGACGGTGTTTACCAAGTTTCCAGGTTTCTTTTGAACCCGCGCCAGCATCGTCCACGCGTTGTCCGGGTCTTACCCACAGCACCGACCTGTGCGTTCGTCCGACTGCGTTGTTTGTTTTTGCCTTGCGAGAGTTACTCACCCGGTGATCCTGGCTCGAAATACGGTTGACTGGACTTCGCAGAGGGGGTGTCGAAGGATGGCGTGGACGAAGTTGCCCTTCTGTTTGGGTCGGTAGACTGCAAACAATGTAAACATCTCGTGCCGCGTCGGCCTGAGCCACCCTGGACGGTGCTGTGGGAAGGCTCCTCATGGGCATGGGATATGAGTTGGGCGATGTTCATATGGCTTTCAAGTTACCTCCTTGTATTTCATTGTACGATTCGGTGCTTTTCAGTGGTTTATGAGAGTAGTACCAGCATGGCTTGTTGGGAACAAGACCACACATCTTCTTGTATGTATATATATTCTAGCCACGAGTTAACTTAATCAAACATTAGAAGGAGCAAGGAACGGAATCAACTATATAAGATAGAAACAATGCAAGAAGATAGAGCAATGAATTCAGACCAACAAAATATCCGTCCCTAAATCTCTGATCACGTCTCGCCAATCCACCGCGGCGAGCCCCGGGTCCATCCCCTTCTCCGCGCGCAAAGCATCCCGTCTCTGCCATACCTCCTCGATGATCGACTTGACTGCAAGCCGGTTCCCTAGCCCGAAATGCGTCGACTGCTTCAGCCACAGGCGTGATGACTCCATATCCTCCGCTGTGTAGGCTTCTACCGCCGCGATGAATGCCGGCCATAACGAGAAATTCCCACGACTCTGCGCGGAAAAGGCGGCTATATTATCGAATGTCAGCGATACGTACACTGCGACGCGCTTGGGTGGCACATCCAGGAGGGCTCGGTATAGGTAGATGTAGGTTGCGAAGATGAACGCGTTGAGCTGGTATCGTGCTAGTTCCTGGATATTGGGTTTCGAGGTCTGTGGACTACCCTCGAGAACCCGTTCGATCTCGATGTCCCCGAGAGTATTATCGAGGGCTTCCGCCTGGAGAAGATCCAGACAGGCGAGTACTTGGGAGACGGTCCGGTCGGCAGTTAGGCACGTTCTGGCGGAGGCGTCTGATCGCATCTGTTGGCTGACGGTCGTGATAGTGGAAATGCACTCGAGAAGGAGTCGCTGGGCACCGATGGTGAATCCAAACTGAGGCGTTGAGGAGATGAGCGAGCCGCACGCTAGGTCCGAACTCATGGAGGGGGAGACGACCGGTCCAGCTTCCCTACGGGTCGCTACCGCTGTCGCTGCTGTTTCATCGCTGGGTGGTAGGAGTAGAGTGGTGCTCTGGCTATCTATCAGGCAGGTAGCCCCGATGATCTTCACAATTAGTAGACTCTGGGTGGAAAAACACGCAAACTCCGATTCTTTCCATGGCTCTTTGCCATTTGATTCGAGGAGAAAAGCCCATGCCCCTTGGAGATGATGCTTCCACTTGCTAGAATTGCCACTGTAGACCTCAGAGCACTTCAGCTTCGCTGTTATAAACGAGGGGTCAAGTAACTTCTTACCTCGGCCATCATCAGCGTCATAATGGCTGCCAGCGTGCTACCAGACTCCCTGCCAGACACTCGCAGAGAGTCATTCACGTATTTGATTGCCGTGTTGTAGTTTAATGTGGCCAGCCGCATCATCTTCTGCCTGTCGCTCCCCAGATGGGCAAAGTTAAATGCTGCATGGGCCAGAATCGCATGGTACAAAGCTTTCTCCCCGGACCCGGAGTACTGCAGTGAGACGGCAGGGTAGTGCCGTTTCCAAGGATTGCACGGATGCTCGAATGGCATCATGATGGATGCCACATAGTCGACATAGTGGTGAAAGAGGAGCTTCTCCTCGTCACTAGGCTGAGGCGTTTTGATACTATTGCACACCAGGGCCTGGTTCATATTGGACACTAGCGATCGTGAGGCCGCAGCAGGAAAGACAGAGAAGGGATTATGCTCTATCCCCAGAGGCCAGGGTGTCTCGCTCGCCCTGTCATCATCCAATTGTGCGATCAAGAGATCGACCACGTCAGAGTCGAGAGCGGCATAGTTTGCCCAGGTGAGCTCTAGATTTTATCAGCCCGTCAGTCGGCTCTTTTGGATAATCCGGCGGGCCAGCAGCTACATACCACCGTGCATATACCTCCGTCCGGTCGATCGGTAGGGCTTGTTGCCATTAATCCAGACAAGACGCGTACTGGAGCCATCGCATTCGAATCCCAGTCTCTTGCATGCCGAGCAAGGGGATCCCTCGTCGCACTTCACCTTCCGCTCACGACAGCGCCAGCAACCCTGCTCTGGGAATCAGGGCAGCTCCACAATGACCATCCCGGAGCATCACACTCACCGTAAATTCCCTCCGTCGCTTACGGATGCGCAAGACAGTGGTTTCCATGCTCAGCCGAATGCAAATAATGGAGATGAGGCATGCCTTCGCGAAGGAAGATGGAGACGTTACGTCCCCGCGGCAACAGTTGCAGTTAACGTGGTGTCCGAGACTCTTGGCATAAGCCAATGCATCTAAGCTAATAATACAGCACTGGTTATTGGTTATCATCTGGACGTGGTTAACTACCTAGGCATTTGCCTCCTCCAGCATTTCTAGATTCACTAATCCCTGTCTATATCGTTACCGGCGAGTTTACCCGGTGAATGATCTGCTTCTGTATTGAAAATAAATATATATATCTACTCCATAGGGAGTACAAAATATCACTTGAGTCTCAAATCAAATGGAATCCTACTACGCAGATATATAATATGTATAGCTCCGCAAAGCTCTCATTCTAGTAATATCTCTGGTCTGGATATCCGGAAGCTTGTATGAACATCTTTATGGAATCCCAAGACTGCTATGTCAAACCGTTGACCAACAATTGGTATAGGGCTCAGGCTGACTGATACACCCAACACACCCCGGCTCTGACTAACTGGCACTTGACACTGGCATCTTGGCTCTGGCTCTTGGAATTTACATAATACTCTAGGACAACTCTCTATAACTACCGATAGGCTTTTCTCTAGAGGCATTCGGCTTTCTCAGGGCGAGAATCAAACTCATGACCTCTCGGGCTCCGGGCTCATAACCTCTGAAGACCACTACGCCGAAACATTGACCTACGATTGGTATAGGGTTTTGCCTGACTGGTATACCCAGCATCGAAGACCCTATGTAGAGATTAAGCCTAATCTCCAAGCTTCCAGTTAAAAAGAAAGGATTCAATGAATGGTATGAATACCCAGCCCTGTCCCTAGTCCCTTCGATCAATCAGAATATCAAAATCACGATCCAGAAATAGGCTGTTATTGGAGCTCTTCATTGGCAGCATTGGATCCACGGACGAGATGTCATATCTCAGAAGGAACTACAGGGATTGGTCAACAAGATACAAGCCTTCAACAGAACAAAGAAGCTCACCTCAACAAGGACCTTTTGAATCTCGAGAAGCGCAACGTCCTTACCCAAGCATCTCCATTTGCCCGCCGAAAACCCCAGATCCCAGTGTCGATCCATCAACCGTAGTTGCGGCGGCGTGGACTCCAACCACCTTTCCGGCCGAAAAACATTGGCGTCCTCCCCAAATGCGTCTCGCGATCGCATTACCTCGCAGGCGCGGTAGGCTCTGCCCGTGCCTCCGGGAATCAATCGTCCGTCCGGGAGCGTTTCTCCTTCCGGAGGCACTTCTTTCTGGAGGTACCCGGTGGCAGGGGGTCTCGGTCGAAGACCTCTTCCCTAATACACGCATACAAGTAACTCAGGTGTTGAAGCTTTTCAGAGGACAAAATCTCCATTTCAGTATCAGATGGTGTTCCCGGGTTCTCGATTCCATGTTCACCAAATTCGGCCAAAATCCTGCGCAACACCTGCTGCTTCGAAATGATATAGAGTATGGTTGCTCGTAGTGCGGTCGCAGTGGTGTCCGCTCCCGCAAGGCTGCAAAGTACAATTTTCTTAGTCTCTGCATAACTCTTGTCGGTAGGTTTGGGCACACATTTGGAGCATCACTTCAGACTCAGCCTGGTCTTTGTCCAGACCATGGCGCTTGAAGGCCGCTAGCATATCGCCGTGGTCAGGTTGACCAGGCACAAACCGTTCCTCGACCGCCGAACGCGCGATCCTACTTTAGCGTTAGATATGTGTTGTCTGCATAGTATGGCCCAGGATGTAGAGGGATGTAGAGTGGGTCTGCCATAACTTACCCCATGATCTTACCTATTCCGATTTTGTCGCTTTAGGAAGGCGCCAGGAGCTTGTTGATCCGGCTGATTTCAATCAACTTGACAAGCGACGGGACCACCGCAGTCAAGCACATCACTGGAAATAGGGACGCCACGTTCGAGATAAAGTCATATACATCCTCATCCACTTCGAGGTAGCACGCTGGCTGGCCAAAAGCAATATCAGTGATCACATCAAATGTGAAGTGACTCGAAGCGCGGGCGAAATTCAAGGGACGGTATGCCCCCGAGGGAGAAGAGAGATATTTGTGTTCTATAAGCTGCTGCAGCCTTCGCACATGGTGGTCAATGGACGATTCGAGATGGAGTTTCTCCTTCCCGGAGTACTGCAGATGCATGGACGTTGCATTAGCAAGACCTCAGGGCCGGGACTTCGTGTATATGTACTTACCCCAGCTGCCACCTGCGGTACTATCCCCTCCACCCCCCCCTCCCTGATTTCTATGAGACCACAGCACACACACCCCAACATGATTTTGCAGAATTACCTAGCCCGTCTATGAAGAATGATTTTAGCACATGTAACCTCATGAAACTGGGGGTTTTTTTGGTTCGCACGCAGGTAAATTGGAAGGCAGTGCAAAGGACTCACCGAGACATATTGAGACTCGGCTGGCGCGCCTGACAGGAATGCCTCCTTGTATGATTCATCTCCTGGTGTGAAAATCGGAATAGGTGATGGATCATCGTGCACAAACATCAGCTGGTCTAAAGAGCTGAACGGAACCTTGTCAGATGAGCATCCTAGATGGATTGAGGACTTTCCTGAAAAGGAAACCATAACGTACGAGAATTATTCAAATGAACTCTTCAGCATGACAAGAAAGATTGCCGGAATCAGCAATAAACCCGGTCAATCTTAAAGAAACAATGGTATTCTTTTGGGTACGCCGAATTGTAGAGGTTGGCTGGTGTGATGCGTATCAGCACCTCAAAAAACACCCAGCTGATGCGAGTGCCAGCGGACGTGTTAGTTCATGTCTGACAAGCGCATAGCTTCAGTTGCCAAAGAGGCCTTGACAATCCGATGAAGCTCCGGTGACTCGGTTCAGGTAGGGAATATCAATAGTAAGTAGTCTGTTCACTGTTACGATATACATCAAGCACTCGGACGGCCAATTTGGCCACATATATGATCGCTTAGTCACGTGCTTGTTGGACTCTTCCACAATGTACCACTTTTCAAGGATCTTGATATTTTGATATAGGGCCAAATTGATCATCGCTATCTGACTAGCTTGTACAATTGCAATATAGTCTAACAGCAAGCGAGCGGGTAATAATACAACTGTAATACTGCAACATCTGGGTTCATAACTGTGGGCCGCAAAGCTGAGAGTGGGAACGCCGAGCATTAGCCTGTGGGTTAGCGCCCGTTAGCACTCCCTGGCCCATCTCGGTATTAGTTGCATCTCGGTATGGGTTGCATCTCGGTATGGGTTGCATCTCGGCATGAGTTGCGTTCTCTTTATGGCTGAGGGGGAAGCACTCGGTGCGCCCTACCGACAATCCGGATCAACCATGTGTCAAATTTCATAGGTCATTGGGGGGAGACCTGGTAATCGCTCTCTTGAAATGGAAAATGTGCAGATTTTGCTACTCACATCACCTCAATAGCAGATAGATTGCGAACATATCGTTCAAGGATGGGCCTATCGACGACGGATAACACGAATGATGGAATTTCATCGGATCCAGAGAAGCAGGGCATGAGCGCTCGGCAAATATCGTTGGATCCTTCTCAATGGCGCAGTGTAAGTCAGGACCACCGAGAACAATCATCCAACAAGTCAGCTTAATGGGAGTAAACAGCGAAAAAAGATATTTGTGGTAGCCACGGGCCTTGTCATGTTATTCAACAGCGTATTCGACTCGACAATTCCCAGCGGCGGAATTCGCTTCATCGCGAACGGTCTGCATGTCCATAACGAAACGCAATTGGTACTGCCCACGTCTGTGTATCTTCTCGGATACGTGACCGGCCCGCTTGCGTTTGGTCCTTTGAGCGAGATATATGGCCGACGCATTGTGCTGGTAGGAAGCTATGTCCTGTTTACCATCTTCACGTTAGCATGCGCCGTTTCCCCCAATTGGCCGGCCTTGATCATCTTTCGAACACTCTGTGGAATATGTGCATCCAGCCCCGTTGCAGTGACTGGAGGTCTTTTTGCCGACGTTTATCGCTCCCCTCTAGCTCGTGGGCGGACGATGGCGCTGGCAATGGCAGTGACGACTGCAGGGCCGCAATTTGCTCCATTGGTAGCCGGGTTTGTCGGACCGGTTGGATGGAGGTGGATCTTCTGGATATCACTTATTGTTGCCGGTATCACTCTGATCCCTGTTTTGCTCCTTCCAGAGACTTTTCAACCGGTCCTTGAGCAGAAGGCGGGGGAGCGGGCAAACGACATGGTCACCAAGGCACTGACTCGACCGCTTTACATGCTATTCTGCGAGCCCATCATTTCATTCACCTGTCTCTACCTCTCATATGCTAGTGCGATTTTCTGTGAGTGTCCTATCCCAGAGACAAGGATAGCACTAAATGATCAAAGTCATGTATTTCGAGGCATATCCCTTGATATTTCAAGGAGTATATGGAATGAGCAATGGAATTGCTGGCCTTGCATTTATTCCGAGTAAGATCAATAGACTCCGGCCACCAAGATTGTCCGTCGTGCTAACCAATTCCAGTCGCCGTTGGAGCTTGCGTCGGGATGGCCCTTTTCTTATGGTACGACTCTATTCTTCGCAGCGCAAAATTGCGCAAGGCTCGCTGGTCCACAATAGAAGAGTACCAAAGATTACCTCTGGCATGTGCTGGGGGACCGCTGTATGTCTTGGCCTTATTCTGGCTGGGGTGGACTGCCTCAGCGGATATTCACTGGATTGTGCCCATGCTCGCGGGCATACCGTTTGGGATGGCATTCTTTCTCATCTTCGTGGCTCTCATCAATTATTTGGTTGACGCCTATCACGAATATGCTGCCAGTGCAATGGCAGCAGCTAGCTGTTGTCGCAGTGTTTTCGGAGCAATACTTCCACTTGCGTCCACTCCCATGTTTCGCCACCTTGGAATCGCGTGGGGGTGTAGTCTTCTAGGCTTCTTGAGCCTACTGATGACTTTGATCCCATTTGTTTTCATCCGGTACGGGGACCGAATTCGAGCAAGAAGCAAATTCCGGCAGGGACTAGGACAAGAATAAAGTTCATGACTGGTTATCTTCAAAAAAGACTGTATCTTAAAACATGGAGAATATATAAAGCAGCGTCATAACAGGTATCTCTTGGGAGTGAACATAAAACAAACAAAATTATTCGATCAATAATCGAGCGAATTATATATCTGGAGGGGCACTTTCAGTTGCAACGATCTAGAGCCGCCAAGCGCAAGCCCAATTCGCAAGAAGTACTCCCTCGCCACATAACAATGATAGAAGGTTGGGATGACGAGTAAATCCCGAGGTATCGAGATGGGTGCGACGATACTCGCGTAATGGGACTCCTGACCTTCCCTGTCCCGTGGCAACCAGTTCAGACATACTTTATTCCTCCACAGGCATACGATAGTTCGAAATGTTTGCCCGTCTATTTCGCGCTGCAAATTGGTCTCGGTAGGCAACTCAACCATAGGAAAGGCAGTGTAATACGTCACAGCCTCGAGGACGATTCGAACTTGGCAATCCTGTGGCATTTTGGCCTTGGTGTCAAAGCTGTCAAATCTGAGTTGCAGCGGCATGGCAGAGACCGTCAGTCTTTCGTCCCGGCTGTTCACGGGGAGATACAAGGCGTTAAGCTCATGCGTATTCAACGTAACGCGACCCATTTTCGCTGTCCACAGTGCGGTTCGAAGAATAGTTGTATCGGATAGTTGGATATCACGATCCTCATTCCAAAGGCGAGGTGGTTTTTCGGGATATTCGGGTAGTATCTGAATGCGCTCCTTGGCATGTAGCACTCCGCCATCCGCAAGGTTGACCCGTGCGTAGATGTAGTAGACAATTCCACACATCTTTGGACAGAATTTGTCGGTTCTGTACTCAATACTCGGTGGAAGCTGAAAGTGGCCGTACTGAAGCTCGTGCGATGATTTATGTTCCCTGGAGCATGTATCAAATGGTAGATTACTGGGCAGGATAAAAGAGAAAGTGAAAGTCCGACGACCTCCACACGGTCCCTGTGTTTCCATACTGTCGTGTTGGCTCATCTGGAGAAACGTGCAATCCACATTACTGCCGCTGTTCGGGAATGGCATCATTCTGGTTACGCTCGTCCTTGCTTTCCCTGGATCTGTTGTGAGATTCTACCTTCCCAAATTCATCGTGGGGACAGTCAAACCAATGAGTGATATAGCTATGCCGGAGAGTTGACAGGAGGTTGTTTGGTGCAGCACAACCTCTCCTGTGACAGTATCGCCTGTCGTAAAGACTGCACGCTTTGGGTTCAAGCAGATCTCCATTTCGGCAAATACTGAGGATGGTAGCTTTTGGGTCAAACAAATTGTACATTCGTAACGTTGCCCTTTCACGACGGATGTAGGTGATAATGACATATATAGCCACATCGCACAACCCCTGACCCCATGACGTCGAGTATGCCGTCTCTGCGCATTATGCTAGTTTTTCATCTACCCCTATGCAAAGCTTGCTGATGGACCTCACCTACTTCACATTTCCTGGGCAACAACAAAATGAAAAATGGAAGGGCAACGCGAAGTAGGACCAGAAAAGACCTAGAGCAATGGCCGAAAAAGGCCGATCAATGCAGCGCTTCGGTATCAGTTGCCAAGGTCCTTTCACTCGCAAATGCTCGGGTCGACGCAGTTTTACAGAGTAATTTACAGTAACATACACCAGGCACAACTCTAGGAGTGTTACATCTCTTCAGGACGCTAAATCAAACCCTGGAGACGCCTTACCCTAGCGCTGAAGACGAGATATGCAAGTATGGGATTCGGTTGCGGCGATTTTGTCAACATAATGGAGCGTTATGTTTCTAACAGTGTACGTTCCGAGCCCTATCGCATAGCAATGTATGTAGGAAGTCCACGATGTCCATTGCAGGACAACACTCCCTCATACTCAACGACTTATCAAGACCGCAGTTTGTCGATATCGCTCTTCTATCAAGTTGCCCCCGCCTACTATAATCTCGGTAAACGGTACGTATGACCAAAATCGTTCACTTCCATCAACTTATACTGATCTGCTAAATCTACAACCTCATGCAGCTGCCTTGACCTAGCCGGAGAACTATTGTCATATTTTCACGGTCAGATTTGCGAACAATTATCTCAACGGGACTCCGCAATACCTACAAGCACAAAGGCTAGGGTGTAATAAAATTTTTGACCCGAACTCCTCGCTGAAGCAAGAGGAGCCTTTCCATTCTACGACACCGAATGCGTTCACATTGGACCCAGAGGCTGCGGGCTTACCGTGGCCCACGGGGTTCGGATGCATTCGCCAGAGCAAATTCTGGAAAAGTGGTTTGAGTATCTCGACCGAGCTTTTAGAGCATTTTGCTCAGGATGAATTGGCCAGCCAAGCAGTCAAGGCGACCGGAAAGTCCCTAGGCAGGATTGCCGCCCGTGAACTCCTTACCGTTGAGGAAGACCGTTTCACCAAGTTTGCGACGTATCTGTTCCCAGAAGCCGACGAAGAGAGAATGAGACTTTTGGCCGCGACCATCGTGTATATCGTCGTCTTTGATGGTATGGAACTCCGCATCCCTTTCTTGGTGTGGATGCTGATACAGGATCGCAGATGCATGGGAAATGGTCGAGGGGAACACGGTGAGCATGCAAGTTTCAGACCTCCTTAAAGGCAGTTTCTCCTAATCAGTCCGTAGGTGAAATACGTTCGAGATGATTTCTTGAAACGGCTCCAGAGTCGTAAGGGGCAGAGTCAGTGCTGTGACAGTGAGCTTCAAGCCCTGATCTCGTCCACGATTGATGGATTTCACGAACATGATACTCAGAACGGTGATGGAGGTCAAGAAGTTATCGATCGTCTAGTTGACTTATGCAAGCATGTCCCTCCTGATCATCAATTTGGCACCCTGGGAGAATATCTGACGTACCGCCGCATCGATGCAGGTGTCCCGTGAGTCAGAATATTGCCCATTCATATGTAATCAAAAGCTGACCGGCAACAGATACATTCTGGCTTGTGTTCAGTTCTCAATCGCCTCCAGCGTCATAATTGAAAGTTTAAGATTGGAAAAATTTCTCCGGCTCATCAGTGACCATGTATCTCTCGTGAATGACCTTGCTTCTTATGACAAGGAGAAGAAAGCATACGATCGTGGTAGAACCTACCACCTGATCAATGCAGCGGTGGTGGTTCAAAGGCTGTTCTCCCTGTCAACTACCCACTCGGCTAAAGCCCTTGCCTACGCCATGCAACTAGAATTTGAGGTGGAAATCGACCAGGAGCTTTCACGGATGCGAGCTGCAACTTCCTTAACCGCAGAGGAATGGAAGTTTGTGGGTTCTGTTTTGACGATGACTGCGGGGAACGTTTTTACTCCATTGTCTCGCCTTGGTACGGTGGGAAGCGTTCACGAATTGTGGATTGACTGCGAAATGTTTCTATTCGGATATGTATTTAGAAGGTCATAGTGATGTTTTATCTAGGTTGACTCTGATGAAATGAGCAACTGAGGCCAATTCTCGCCTGCCACTTGGCATTACATGCCCACCTGGATGATGAACAACCAACGGGGCTATCCCTTCCTCCTCTCCCTGACATCTTTCTACTAGCTTCATTGACGCGCTTTCCTCGACCACCGTATCCGCCGAGCCTAAGATATGTAGCATTGGGGTACAGATCTGCGGGTGGTAAAACGGACAATAAGCCTGATGTGTCGCGGAATATCCAGAAATGCTAATTACAAACTTGAGCGGGGGGTGGCTGAGTGTAGAGAATGCCGCGGGATATGCAAACCCGCCCTCCATTTTCGAGACTGGAAAAGCATCCCTCCGATTTTCTTCAAGAAGGGATGCAACCATTGCGGCTATAGCTGCCCCCTGACTGAAACCGATGGCACCGTCGAAAGGTCCGGCGTCTTTTATCACCGCTGCGAGGGTCTCTAGTCCCGTTTCCAGTCCAGGGTAGACGCCGTCAATGTACTCAGACTGCCACCAAGCCCACTGGCCATGCTGATCTCGGAGTTTCGAAGATGGCCCCGAAGGCTCCAGAGCAAAAGGAGCAGTAGGGTAGTAGAATTCCACACTCCCTGGCTGTAGGGGGGCAAGGACTTGCCGGATGAGCTTTTGCATAGCCTGAGATTTGGCACGCAAGAGTTCTCCCGACTGTCGGGATCCTACACCCGTGAGCACATGGTCATACATGCCAGTCGCAGAAACATACCGTGAACCATTAAGAGTTTCATTGTCAGACTTTGTTCGGGGTCTTGCTTATGGCTTATGGGTACTAGGGTTGCGGCCGAGTATCCGGGGTCGGATTACCAAAAATGACAAGGACAAGGTGAAAAGCGATGGGGCTGATACAAGAGCCGTAGCACACCCGAAGTATTATACCCCAGGAAGGCGGGTCGAGCATCTTATTCAAAGCACGTAATTAGCCAACTGTGGGGAATGTCTTGCCTTGCCGAATATCTTTGGCAACTGTTCCCGACGCCGCACTAGTAAGGGAGTAGTATCTTGCAAATTCATTACCGGACGATGGCCATACATATCTTCCGCGGTACTAGTGTAGACGAGTAACTAAGACAGCTTACTACTACCAGTCGATGACCTGGCAATATTTCTCTTTTTTTTTTTTTTTTTTTTTCACGCGATCAGGTGTGTAACAGTTTGAAGGACCGTTATAAAGGCCAGCTTCAGGTAACATCTTTATCAGGATCCTGATACTGCACTGCGATGTCGGCGACGAGAGGTACAAGGGTCAGAAGCCATGTAAAAAGTAAATAAGCCCGTAGACTTCTGTAAATCCCTAGGCCTTTCTGCTCGACAACTGTCCCTCGACTCTAGTATGGCGCGTCAGGAGATCATCGCATTACTGATTCTCCTTCTGACATTTGGACCTGCTGTCCTCCTATGTCTTGTGGGTATTCTTCCGTTTGTAATCAATGCCATTATCAATGTGTTCTTCAGTCCACTTTCTGAATTCCATGGGCCCAAACTGGCGGCCGCAACATCCTGGTGGTCAGCATACCAGCAGGCCATCCAAGGGAGATCGATGCAGACGAAAAGTATGGTACGTAACATCAATGTCCGGCTTCCAGTGCGGAAGAACAACACTTGGATAGGAGATATTGTCAGAATAGGTCCGAATAGAGTATGTTGCTCTGCTCTGCCCAATTGAACCTTGCCCTCTGGTTTCACAGCCGTACAGTTTCACTTCAACCACCCGTCTATGTACGCTTTGCTAGGCGGAGATGGGGTCACTGTGACATTCGTGAGATATGAGGACAGCAAGCGGAGGAAAGACATCCTCCATACTTTCTTCGCCAAGGGCTCAGTCTACAACGTCCAGTGGTTAATACAGGATAATGTAAGTGTGCAAGCTTGGTCCAGCCTTTCTGGTTTTAACTCTTTTGGCAGATAGAACAGTCCTGCAGTCATCATTGCCGGCATCATGAATCCCCGCACATCGTCTAACCTGACGCTGGGGTTCCGTTGCCTAAGATTAGAGACCATTGCGGAGACATGCTTTGGAAAGTCGGCATCGTGCTTCGAGCATGAGGGTTTCTCTAGTCCGATTCTCGAGGCGATGGAATCAATCGTCACCTGGTTCATGGTGTTCAAGCATTTTGCAATCTTCCGGAGGGTGGTTCTCACCATCCCGGAGTGGGTTGGGCTGGCGTTATTTCCCAAAGCTCTCGCATTCGCACAGATGAGAAAGGTAAGACCGTCACATAATTCCAGGATAGAGTTACCCACTCTAAGTGCGTGTAGATGTTGTCGGATCAAATCGATGAGATTTCCAACAACATGGATAAACCGGATACTTCTCCCTATCCCATCATATATCGTGCCCTGCTTGGACCTGTAAAGCCTCGCGATGCTTACGTTCCTTCGCGGGCCAGTCTTCTCGAGGAGGCTGTGGCACTGGTTATAGAGGGAACAGATACAACTGGCGCAACGCTTACAATCGGGACATATCAGATTCTTCGCAACCCGAAGGTCTACGCAAAGATCAAGGCAGAAATATTGGAGGCTTGGCCGAAACTTGACCAACGGCCGAAGGCTAGTGAATTGGAGAAACTCCCTTACTTGGTATGAGATTTTTGACAGAGGAAGGTGGCGTGGTACACTGATCTAGGCATCGCAGACGACAATGGTAAAAGAATGGTAGACGATCGTCAGTATGGGAGTCTTGTTCCCCATGCAGCATGAAGAAGCTTTCTCGGACGCCGGCGTCTGCAATCCTGAGCGGTGGTTGGGCTTCAATGCCAAGAGCCTGGATAGATACTTTTTGCCAGTCTCGAAGGGACCAAGAAGCTGCCTGGGGATGACATATGCACAATTTCTTGACAAGTGTGAATGAGCTAATGTATTCTGTTAGTCTGGCTTGGTGTGAACTGTATCTGACTATCAACCTCTTTCGCCGGTTTGACCTTTCTATTGACGAGACAGACCACGCTTCAGCATATGGTTTTCGTATGAGGCCTAACTAATACACCTACCAGGGATGCAGACTTCGACTGGGTGGATGTCGGGCTGGCACTGTTCAAAGGACACTTCCGGTGCTACTGTACCCCAATAACCTCGTTAATGATCTAGAGAGAATAAAAGACATCTTCATGGAAAGATGGCAATCCTAAAGCGGTCTTACTCGCCGCGGAATTCATCGACCAGACTCTCCAAGTCATGCTTGCCTCGACTAGAAAAATTCCGGTATGTCAAGTTTTCCTCAATGAAATCCCTAGGCATGCGTTAATACTAGATCTGTATTACAACATCGCTGCGCTGAAACCCTGTCCAGACATGAGTCCAGCCAGGACGCGGTATCTGACTGTCCAGGAGGGCTTTCTCGATCTTCATCTAAAGTCTAGCCGGTCGAGTGGTGAACATCTTCCCGCCATGCGCCGACAATGACCCTTTCTCGACCTTCCCTGTAGGCGTCCTCTTCAGTTCATCCATGATTTCAATCACCGTCGGTACCTGGGATCGAGCCATGCCCTTTCGTGACCAATTCCATAACGCCTCCTCGTCCACCCTGCTACCCGGGAGCAGTGTAACCACCACTTTCAACTCATCCTCCGTCCCGGGACCCAGCCTCCCGGGGACTGCCAATGCAGCGGCCATCATGACGTCTGGATGCTGAAGGAACTCCTCCTCCACCTCGGCCGCACTGATGTTCTCCCCCTGTCTCCGGATAACGTCCTTCATGCGACCGAGAAAGTACACATTCCCATGTTCGTCCGTCTTCGCAATGTCTCCGGTGTGGAACCACATTTTGGAATAGGCCCGCGCCGTGGTTTTTGGGTCGTTAAAGTATCCGTGAAAGAAGGCATTGGGGTTCTCACTTCGCAGCAGCAGCTGGCCAGCAGTGTTGGGTGGCAGCGGCTCGTCTTCCCTGTCTGCGATCCGCAGCTGATACCCCGACCTCAGAGTCCCACAGGACCCCGGGACCCGCCTGCCCTGTTGTACGATGGGAATGCTCGCTTCAACGCTGCCGTACAGTGTATGTAATGAATGACCGAAGCGACGCTCATATTGTTCTGCGAACGCTGGGATGGGTACCCCCCAGGCCAGCCGCACGCGGTGTTCACGGTCTCGAGGGCTCGGTGGTTCCTTATAGATCAAGGCGAGTGTCGCGCCCATAAAGTCGTAAACTGTGGCCTTGGTCTCTCGGATCTCGTCCCAAAAACGACTTGCGGTAAATCTGGGGGAAAGCGCCGCAGTGGCGCCGAGGAGAATTGCCGGAATGACGGTCAGCGCGGTAGCGTCTGCGTGAAACAAGGGAACGGACAGTAGAGCACATCGTCTGCCCGCAGATTACAGCCTTCGATCAAGAGCCTCGCTTGGGTGATGAAGTACTCGTGTGACAGGATACACAGCTTCGATTTGCCGGTTGTCCCGCTAGTGTAGAGAAACGCAGACGTCGAGGCTGGAGTCGCCGCGAACGCTTCTTGGGCGACGGGGCCGGAGTCGTAGAGTTGTGGCAAGCTCTGTGGATCTGCGCCGCCTCGGATCCATATATCTTTGTCAGGGAATGCTCCTGTCGCGCGGAGTAACTCGAGAAACGGCTCGTCCACAATGGCCACCGTTGCGTCTGCCGCCACTACTGCATTCTTCAATGTCAAGGACCGCCAATCGGTGTTCACTGGGACCCATACGGCCCCCAGATAATTTGCAGCCATCCATGTATGGACCATCTCAAGGCTATTCTCCATCATAACAAGTACTCGACTGCCTGGCCGCACACCGATACGTTGAAACCCGCTGGCAAGCGCAGTGACGCTCCGCTCAAAACTCCGGAAAGAGACGTCCTGCCCCTGGCAGCGAACGAATACCTTTTCGGTGTGATTTTCGGCGGCTTTCTTCAGGGCGGTATTGATATCGCGCACGGGCTGGCTGCCATGTTTCCTCCGAGCGAAATCCCTAAACGCGTTGGCCGCCTCGATTCGAGCAAAGCAATAACTAGCCGCATTCACCTCCTCATGCAGCGCCACTTCCATATTCGGAAAAACCGCTCTTTCGATGGACATCTTGAGGCTGGCCGCCGCAGTCCGCGGCAGCTCGGACAATTCCACGGCCAGCTGCTCCGCGCGGGCCTTCGGATTATCCGCAATCTCGCTGAGCAGTCCGTGGGCCGAAGCCTCTTCAGCTCCAATAGTCCGACCCCGGATGAGCAGCTCCTTCGCTTTGAGCAAGCCGACCATCTGAGGCAAACGGAGCGAAATACCCCCAGTCACCGCATGACCCAGGGTGACTTCGGGAAATCGGAACTTGGCATTCCGGCCGCCGACGACAAAATCGGCGGCCAGCGCAAACTCCGCCCCTCCGCCCACAGCGTACCCCTGTACAGCGGCGACTATGAGTGCTGGGGCTGAAGCAGTGAGCCGGGTGATGGTCTGGAGCTGGTCGAATGCCACCCGAAGCTCCTCGGCGGATCCGGACCGCGGCGCCAGGGTCTCCTTGAGATCCTCGCCAGCACAAAATGCGCGATCGCCTGCACCTTCTATGATAAGGACGTGGGCACCGCCATGAATTCGCAGGGCATCGGTAAGATCATGCAGAAGCTCTGCATTGATTGCATTCAGGCTACCGGGTCGATTAAGTGTGATTTTGGTCACCTTGGGCGTGGGATGGGATACAATCACAGTGGACATGGTGGGCGAAGCGAAGCTCTAGAAGAGGGGCGATGGAGAAGTTAAGACAAGTGACACCGGCCCAGGACGGTCGAATATATACCCCTAGCCATCGTCGGATGCTACGTGCCCGTAATGCGCGGGGAAATGCAGGGCAACTCATAGCGAGCAAAGAGCACTGATACGGTACTAGCTTACTTACACGCCCGCGGGTGTGCTATTATCTAGATCACGACCAACTACATAGATAATAAACATATATCCATCTTTTTTGCTTACTGGCAGGGTCCTTGTACATAATACCGCTGCAAGATTCAAGTAGGGCCTCGCAAAGCACGTGCCGAGCTACCAATACTAGAGGTCTATGTTCGATTTGCCCAATGTATCTTCCACCCCTTTGAAGCATCCTTTCTGAGGTTTCTGGCGCATTTGCTCTGTTCCCTGGGCCGCGGACTTGATCAAGTACCTTGATTATACGGGGACAGGTATATGGGCTACGATGACTGACTGAGAACAATGTAAGGCATTAAACTGTGTGCAATTGATCCACCCATTGTTCAACCCATGTACGATTGAAAATGCTTCCTCATCAATAGTGACGGCTTTCGATGGTTTAGTTAGACCCGTTCTCCATGGCCATACTTAGCGAAGCCCGCTCCATGCGCCCGATCATCTTCCAGATCACGATCGCTCACCTCCATGCGGATGTCTGTCTTCATTACAATGCCATCCTCACTCCCAAACCGTCCGGACTCATCGAGTCGCTGGTGCCGGCCGTTTTTATTCAACGTGCTTAGCCGGTTCCCGTAGCTCTGTCCGGGTGTCTGCATGTTGCTTCCATATTTGTGGGTGGTTCCCCACACCCGCCCGAAGAAATGTTTCATCGCGACGGAGAGCGCCGGCGCAGATCCGCAGAAGATTGCTATCGTTGTCAGTTATGCCCTGGCAGCGGTGGATCGAGACGGCGGGGATAACTTACCAACGAAGACCTCTACCTCGCACCAGTTCAGCGAGTCCGCCAGCTGGTAGTATTGGTCTTTGGTGGCCGCGAGCCGCTTGACGAAATCATATCGCACGCAGCTGGCTGTTTCTCAATGAGCAAGAACCCCGGTGCCCGGGAAACCGGGGGAACGCACCAGCGATTGACAGAATACCCAGCCCAAAAACACCGAATAAAGCTCCCTTCTTCCGCTGCAGGAGGTTAGCATTGGGGTCTTGTTGACTGCCCGGGAAACGGGTGGGGAGTACCGACCGTGGAGAGTTGGATGCCCCACAGCATCGGAATGGGGGTGAGAAAGATGAGGATATCAGAGACAATGTTTAGGGCTCCGTTGGCTTCGTAGAAGATCTGCTGCTGCTCGGGGCTGATGCAATGCCCGGGCTTCTTCCCTGTGGGGTCCCAGAACTTGGACGGCGGAATGCACGACAGTACCGTCACGAAAACACTAGAAACCGTGAGCCCGATGGTGAAGAACATCGAAAAGTATACCGCCCATTTCATCAACTTGCGGTGGTCCAGTCGGAGGTAGAACCAGAGCAGGGACATTTTGACGAATCCCATCCCGATGATATAGAGAAGACGGGTGGCGTAGATGGCCTTGCGGGGATTTGTTAGTGGAGAAACCGGCGGCTCGGTGGAAGGCGGGGACGGCGTCTTACTTTCATCATGGGTATCATGCCCTCGGGGGGGATATCGTTCACTAGCTCGAAATCTCAGTTTCGGTTCATATGGGGGTCGGAAGACAAGGGAGGGGCGCGTACTGTGTCGACCAAGACCATAATATGCGCCTACAGAAGATCATGTTAGTAACTTTTCATTGCACCCTATCCTCCAAGGGGTCGCAACTTACCGATCATAGTCGCGATTGTCAACCCGAAGGTGAGAAGCTGCGATTTTGTCAGTGAAGGATATAGATCAACCAAGGCCGACCACCCGTACCGTCCCAATGATCATGAAAACTAAACGTCGTTAGCAAAGCCACTCTACCAGCGTCGTCATGGGTGCCTACCATCGTCGGTTCCTAGGGCGCGGAGCATCACCACGCGCACCCACACTCGCACAAGCATGACAATAGATATGAAGACCATGAAACTGATGCCCACCCCAAAAGTCGAGGCCTGCCGGGTCCCGTCTACCAGGCCCGGCTTGGGCGGGGTTTGCGTCTGTCGAGGAACTGCCATCCTGTGTGGGGAGGTCTGGTCGGAAAGGGGCCAGGGCAGGCTGGTGGCGATCGGGACGTTGCTCAGGTCCCAGGCAGGGACAAGGGTCAGTCGGGTGAAGAAGTCGAAGCAAGAAAATACAAAGAAGAAACCAGATGCACGAATATCAACATAAGTAGTAGACAAAGCACAGGGTAAAGCTTAGGTCCCTCGACCCCTGTCGATTTCTTCTAAATCCTGATTGAGAATCATGTCTCCATGGAAGATAACGACCCCCTTCGTCTAGCCTAGGACAACACTTGTTCTCTGCAGAGGAATGAATTCGCCCTATGATATTTCTATTCTGAGTCGAGCAGCGGGGCCAAACGAGCTTGGAGACTTAAACGGGTGCAGAGCACAGGACGCCTTGGAAAGCGTCGGGCTGATCATCAAGCGTGCCCACCATCCGCACTCTGTCCCCAACATTTCGGCCAGTAATTATCAAACCATCGGGTCATGATAGGCACGGACATACTGTTCCTGGAAGGATGGTGGAGACGGTGCCCTAGCTCACGGCCCGGACGGGACGCGATGGTGGCGTTAGCTAGGCGTCCTACTAGCTGTCATCCCGGGAACGACGACGGTCGCGGTCGTGGGAAGTTGGATAGGTCTGTTGATCGGACGAGTTACGGCTGATAGAGTACGAGTCACTAGTCGCATCGGCGCTGGTGGTGATTATAGCCCCCCTTCGAGGTGCCTTTAGGTTTCTATACTTGGTCTGGCCCCCCGGTAGCATCGTCACTAAACGGCGCTACTTGGTTCCGCGGCCTAGGCATGCAGGGTACGCATGTAGGTGTCAATTTCCCACACCCCCTAGCTGGGAAATGGATGAACATCTCTGTCATGGCCTGGACGAGGTTGCAACGGTATTTGCACATATTCTCGCGACCGTGGGGCCGCAGCTGGGGGGCCGAAACAAGGGGGACTCGGTTGGGGTTCACTTGGGGGCCCTCCCTACTACCGCTGCCGATCGATCCATAGTCGAGCATTGACAGCTTGGCTTGGTAGAACTGAATGAGGACCAACTGAGCTCGAACGACGGGGTACTTGATCCTGGCGGGCCGCTTTTATTGTCTGGGACCAATCACCTCGTGGAAGGACCGATGAAAACGGTCAAGAGTATTGAGTAGTTCAATGATTTTGGATACCATGGAAAAGGTGTGAGTAGGTGCAAATCTATTAAAAGTCAAAAAACAATAGTCAGTCGACCCATCGGGCGATAGCTTGTCTCACAATTCAACAGATTGAACTGTGATGTACGATGGATAGATGGATCTCAAGACAGTATGGCATGAGCCGCAGTGTACAATATCCAAGGTCATCCGATGCTTTGAGTCGGGTGAGAAAACGCGACCTCGATAGAGACAGCGTGGGAATCCGTCAATCCATAATATGTGCCGGAACTATGTAGATCAGTTACCATTCTTGCTTGCCCCAATGGACACACATACTTCGTCTAGCGAAAGCGTTGGGCTAGTGCTAGAAAATTCTTCAATGCTAACGCGCAGTCGAACGTGAATAGACGGAAGAGCTGGCTATTTGAGGTAGAAATCTTTTCGCAATGCACCCTGTTACTGGGAAAAAGGGCAAACGGAAATTTCGGAAGAGCGACGATATTGATGGATGTTGAAGGTATAAAAAGGTTGTGAATAGTTGAAAGATGGCAAATGCATGGAGTTTACTATGTGGAACAACACCAGAAGTCGGCTGACATGCCCGCTGGTTGTATTGTCTCACGCTTGGAGGTTCCACTATAGCTTTTACTAGATATCATATTGGTCATATATAGGACTAATTATATACATGACACAGCTACTCAACCATCAAAAATGTGTTCCAAAATCATAATTTGCTGGATATAAGACGATATCGGGAGTTCAATAAGATGTTTAGTGCGATGTCTCAGCGTGCATGCTTTCATCAATATCAGGGATCAGAGATAAGTATGAGTTATTAAAATCTAAATCGATTGCATCAGTAAAATTTCAGTTGACAAAGACTATCCTTGAATCGCCAGTACGATCACTCAAAATTAAGTTGGCCGATGCGTGACCAAGACTGTACTATAGAATTACATGCGTTGGATGGTCATCAGGGGAACATTGTCGAAAGAGGAGCCACAGCAAGTAGTCAAATGGGAAGTATATTAACAGCAGAAAATATATATAGTCTATATTACAGTTGGCCGACAGCAGAACGGGTAAAAACCAGAGTCCACTCGAAGCTCTGGCGCAGGTCCACTCCGACGCAGGGTTCCTCGCTCGCGGGCAGTCGCCCTCAACGGACCGCACCCCGGCCTCGGAGTATTCTCGCTCGGAGGAACAGACATCGGCGGGTCACGAGCGGTGACGGTATGATACGTTGTCTCAAGGCCGTGCCCACGTGCTGGACCGCCCCGGGCTTCCGACCGGAGACCGATGGGCCATGGACGCGAAGGCTCGAACGCGCCAGTGGGGAACCCTCAGATGCAACGATCGGGGTAGAAAGAAGGGCGTCGCCGGGTATCGTCGCGCGCGCAACAGGGTGCCATTCCATTAGAAAACAGGGGAAAGAAGCAAAATAAAGATATAAAGAGAAGAAAAGGGAAAAAAAGGAGAGAGAAAAAAGAGGAAAAAGGAAAAGGGAAAGAAGAAAAGGAAAAAGGAGGAATGCACAATCGTGACTCGTCAGGTACGATCGCCGGCCCCGGCGTGACCCGGGACGACTCATGGTTCCTTGGGGTTCGCCTCGTCGTAGTTCCAGCGACGGCGGTTGTCCCGGATCCACCACTCGGCGATGTGGGCGCCCTCGGCAACCCAGTCGGCGGCGACATCGCCGTGCTTGCTCCGAACGACGGCGATCAGCGAGAGGACGTCGAAGTCCTTGATGGCGTTCAACTCCAGGGGGTCAGTGCCGAAATCGCTGAAGCGCCACTTGGCGTCCTGGACGAGGGGCACGACGAGGTGGTAGGTCCGGAGTGGGGACCGGACGGAGAGCCAAGTGCCGCCCTGGTTCAGGGTGGTGAACTGCCACTGCTGAGTGCGGCCGACCTCGGGGGCCTGCTTGCGGAGCATGGACTGCCCCTCATACAAGGGGAGGAGGTCGCCGACAACGTGGGCGGCGCGGTCGTTCAGGGATCCGGTTTCGAGGAGCATATCCAGAATGGTGGGCAAAATCTGGTTGGATAGGACCGGGTCTTCGACCTCGACCTGCGGCAGCTTCGGGTGGGACAAGACCATGGGCACGTGCTCGTTGGCGATGTGCGGGCTGGCGTTGGGGGTGACACCGCCATCATTGGGCAGCGACACGCCATGGTCACCCACAAAGATGAAAAGCGTCTCGTCGGCGACGTTGGCCTCCTCGAGCAGTCCGATGAGGTCAGTGATCCAGCCGTCCTGGTAGGCCAGGGTGTTCAGGTAGCGGTTGATGTTGTTGTTGAGCGGGAACCAGGTGTTGCCGAGGAGCTCCTCGTAGTTCCAGCCCGGGACGGTCCAGGGCAGGTGGGTGGCGCCGGTGAGGTGGCCGAGGAAGAGGCGCTTGTGGTTAGCCTCGGCATCCTGGATGGCGGCGCGGACGTAGTTCTTCAGAGTCTTGTCCATGTAGCCGCGGTAGGGGACGTCCTCCGAGTCATTCGGGGCGAACTCGCCGCCGGCAGCCTTGATGGTTTCCTTGGTCATCATCTGCTGGAAGCCGAGGGCGGGGAAGAGCTGCGAGGCGTAGTCGTAGCCGCCGTTGACCGACATCATCCACAGGGTCTCCCACGGCCACTGGCGGAAGTCGGGCGAAGCGGCGGTGATGTTGGGCTGCTGGTTGAGCAGGGCCAGCACGTGGGGCAGACAGGGCTGGTAGAAGTCGTACAGCCACTCGCGGTTCATGGCGATGGTCAGGGCGGTCAGGCCGCACATGGTGCTGGTGAGACTCTTGAGGGTGAAGGTGCCGGTGGTGTGGGCGTTGCGCAGGGTGATGCCACCGCGCGGCGCGGGGCGGTTCGCGGACGTGCCGAAGCCGGTGTCGATCCCCGTCAGGCGCTCGGCGGTCGGGGTGAGGGAAGCGAGGCGGTTCATGATCGCCTCGGGGACCTCCCCGGGGGCGTAGGACTCCCGGACGCGATCCATGATGCGCGAGTCGGCCCGCAGGGGGAAGACGTCGTGGCGGTTGCTCTCCAGCTTCATGAGGATGACGTGCTTGATCTTGAGCTCGCCGCGGCGGATGACGTCGCGCAGCGGCTCCAGGATATCGTTGTCCAAGTTGGAGGCCCGCAGCGGATCCTTGGCCGGGTTGTAATGCAGGGACGGGCGATCCTTGGGGAGGCGCTCGCCCGCATCGTTGACGGTGAAGGTGTACCAGTCCCCGAAGCCGCGCAGCGGTTGCTCCGGGAGCCAGTCAAAGGTCGGAGGGACGTCCAGCGCGGTGTGGTTACCCAGCCAGCTGTACTCGCCCGGCAGGTAGGTCAGACCCTCGAAGATGGGGTGCGACCGGGCGGGCACGAAGGGGGCGGCGGGCAGGGGGTCGGAGAGATACTCGTAGGCCCGATCGGTCGGGCGGATGATCCGGACGACGAGCACGGCCAGGGTGACCAGAATGACGGCCAGCCGGGTCGCGATGGACCAGCCGGGGCGCGTGGTCTCGGGCTGGGCGGCGGTCTCCCGCGGCGGGGTGGGCAGCAAGACGGACTCGTTGTCGCTCCGGTCGCTCTTGTCATCCTCGTAGTCGTTCATGGCGATCTGCTCGTAGATGGCCGGGTCCGGCAAGGGTTCCTTCTTGCGGCGGCAGTGGCGGACCACACCGGCAACGGAGGACATCCAGATCAGGGCGAAGGCGCCGACGCGATCGTGCACGCGGGCGGCCAGGAAATAGGCGGTGACGACCATGACCACGCCCACGACAATGGACAGGACGATGTTCCAGATGACGAACTCGGGGGTAATCATGTCTCCGAAGAATCCGGCCACTGGGCCCCAGTGGATCTCCCTCCGTTGGTAGAGGTAAAGGGCGGTGTTGGCAGCGGTGAGGGGGAGGAGGTAGAGACTGGACGAGACAACGTTATGGTTAGCCGGGAGGGGGGGCGTCCCTTTTCTTCGTGGTCGATCCCAGCGGGTGGTGCCTTACCTGAAAGCCGTGATAAACAGGGCCGCGACGATGCGGATGGTCCGCCATGAGAACTTGGCGGTCAGTCCGCGGGAGAACAGGATCAGGGCGAACTCGGGGAGAAAGAAGGTGGGGCCGTAGGCGAGGAATTTGTGGAAGTCCAGGTAGTAGCTGAGGGCGTAGACGTGGAGGACTTTGGAGAGGGCGAGGGAGAAGAAGATGAGAGAAAAGAGAAACTGGCGCGAGGCCTCCCAACCACTGTCAAAATAGAGATGCGGGGCCTTGATGGCGGACCAGAGGCCCTGACAACAGTTGGTACACCACATCCCGAACATCCTGCCGCAGTTACTCATGATGGCATTGGAGTTCGGATGGGGGAAGAAGGACACGAAAGAAAGGGGG